AAGGAACACATGGAACATAAGGAACACAAGGAACATAAGGAACATAAGCAACACAAGGAACATAAGGTACACAAGGAACATAAGAAACAAAAGAAAATGGACAAGTTCGGTAAACCTTACACACACTCTTTTGGTACAGACACACAACATGACTTCAGTCAAGGAAATTTCAGAACAATGTTGTCATTTATAATTAAGCTTGAATAATGACTGGTTTATTGTAAACTGTAATCAAATTATATTCTTTGCATGAAAATTTGGCTTATAGTGTTGACTTAAATATATAAATAATATACTACATGTGTATTAAACCTATTTATAAGTAAACAATTAATAATAAACAAATGTACTCTCCTAGACTGTACAAATACCGAGATTCGTATGTACTGTATATACCTACAGTACACGCCTTCGGTTCGGTATTCCTTACACAAACTCTTTTGGTACAGACACACACACGTGACGTTTCCGCCCCCTGGAGACCCTAATGTAGACCGCCCCCAGATATGGGAAGCACCGTCCCAAAACCTGTTCCACTGTCGGACCTTAAATCCCACCAAGATTTAAACCCAGCCAGAGGGGGGCGGTCAAGGAGATACTTCCAGTGGCTGGCAAACCAATTAAACCCATTGGTTGGTTGGTATCTGACAACCGTGTTAGTTGAAGCAAGATGGTTTACCGGTATACGACCTAATCCGTTTCCATTAAAATGAAATAAGGAAGTTGAGAAGAAAAAAACTTAAATTATTGGATGGAAATTTGGGCAACCCCAATTTAAGTTAAAAAGATAAGTGAAAGGATCGTCATTTCTAAATAGTGCTGTTAACGATCCATAACTGTGTCATTTAAAGCTTGATCTAAGAAATAATAAGTGATTACAATGTCACTTCTACCGTGGAAGTGCCCTAAGGAATGAGTTATCCAGGAAAGCGACTGGCAAGATTGTAAACTAATCACGAGGTAGAAAATATCGAATTTTTCTTAATTTATAATAAAATAATTCTATATATATATATATAAATTTTTGAATAAGATATAAATTGTATACGCTTGCTGTACATTAAATTATTAATTTGTAACTTTTTTCTTCTTAGTGATGCATATATTTTTTTTAGGCAACCTTAAATAGGAATAGAACACTTACCCTCTTTCAAATCTCGGAGATGGAGGACCTCCATAATCACGCCTAGGTGGTCCACGGTCGTCTCTAGGCGGACCCCTAGGTGGTCCTCTGGGCGATAGTCCCCTTGGTGGGCCACGAGGTGAGATATCTCTTATCATTCCTCTGGGTAGTGATCCTCGACTCATACCACGAGATGGTGGTGGAGATAGATCTCTAGGTGGTCCTCTGGGTGGGCCTCGAGGGGACATATCTCTAGGGGGACCTCTGGGCGGGCCGCGGGGTGATAAGCCTCTTGGTCCACCTCTAGGTGGGCCACGTGGCGATATGTCTCTTGGGAGACCTCTTGGTGGTCCGCGTGGGGACATATCTCTTGGGGGACCTCTAGGTGGGCCACGAGGAGACATATCTCTGGGAGGTCCTCTTGGGGGACCTCTAGGTGGGCCACGAGGAGACATATCTCTAGGAGGTCCTCTTGGAGGGCCGCGAGGGGACATGTCTCTTGGTCCCCCTCTTGGTGGACCTCTCGGAGAGAGAGATCTCGGTGGTCCCCTAGGTGGTCCTCGTGGAGAAAAATCTCTAGGAGGACCCCTCGGTGGTCCGCGAGGAGAATAGTCTCTTGGGCCTCTGGGTGGACCTCTTGGCGACATGTCTCTAGGATGACCTCTTGGCGGGCCTCTAGGAGACATCCTTCTTGGACCTCTCGGGGAATAGTCCCTGGGTGGACCTCTACGTGGTGAGGGAGGTCCTCTGTATGGTCCTCGTGGAGGTGGGGAGAAGTCACGTGGAGGTCCTCGTCTTTCCTCTCTGAACATTGGAGGAGGACCACGTCTGTCTCTGCTAGGATCCTCATACCTTGATTCATACGGAGATCTTGATCTACGGAAACCTCCGCCACCTCTTCCCCGCCCACGACCACGCCCTCGTGGAGGTCCTCGACCTCGATCCCCATATCCTCCACGACGTGGCGGACTACGACCTCCGTCTCCATATCCTCCTCTTCGAGGTGGACTTCGACCTCCTCTAGGACCTCCACGTCCCCTTCCCCTGCTTCTAGATGGTTCTACGCGTAGTTTCTCTCCAGAGTAAATTGTTCCGTGCATTTCCTGTCAAAGTTTTCAATTATTATCAAAATAAAAACAAAATTGTAATAAGTATTTCACAGAACTTATGAAAATATTATTAAGTATAAATATCTTATTTAACAAAACAATTTTAAAAATTAAACTAAATCCCTTTTAGATATTCTTTACAAAACTCCAGCCGGATCAGCATCCAGACCCGGATCTATGTAATTGTGGCAAAAATTCAACCAAAACGTTAGCAAAAAGACAACATTTTAGGAAAATTAGTTTGAAACAAAAATTATCCATGGGCAATTTTTTTATTGAACGATCCCAGAAGCAAGTTTGACTCTTACCTCACAAGCTTTATCTGCGGCTCGTGGTTCTAGAAATGTGACGAATCCGAACCCATTGCTGATAAACACCTGCAGATATTTAATATTATTATTAAATCAGTCTCTCCGTTATTTATTAACTAAATAAAAGGAATAAATAAATATTACCTCCTCTACCTCTCCGAACTTCTCGAAGGATGCTCTTAAATCTTGCTTTCTCACCAACTTAAAACATGATTTTTTAATCTTTCTCTCCCCCTCCCCCCTTCAGCAGTTTTTTTATTGGGTTGGGGGGGAGGGGAGGGGGGAAGGATAATTATATTTGAATACTCAATCAAGTCGAAACCACCCATAATTTTCTGTTTTCTCTAATATAACGGACAATTTTATCCTCTCCGGAGAACAGAATTAAATTAAATTTTTCTTTATTGATAAAAATAATTTAAACTTAAAATTTTTATGAAAATAAAATCCTCGTTGAGATTGAGACAAATCGTCCAATAGTTTTTAATCTAAATAAGTTCACTTTTGTCCCATCACATTTCAAAAATTTGGAACGAAAAGAAAACTTACTTAATCTTGATTTAAAAAGAAATTACCTCAGATATATTTCCCACGAAAACTTTGCAGCCAACTGGAGGCTCAGCCATTTTTTTCTAAAAACAAAATATTCATAAAAATATATCTGACATCGGAATATGCGAATCAAAGTAGGCTTTTTATATAAACAATTTTATCGCCTTTTTACTACTTTTCTACACGCTATAATCACAATATCTACCAAAGAGGGATTATTATACAGGAATGGCACAGTTGTTGTTTTTTGGTTGAATCATGAGAGAAAAAGCGAATGATTATCTACCGAAATATGAATGAAATATGAAATATGTACACTGAAATTATCACAAGTAGTTGATAAAAGTTTTCAGAAAAAAAAATGTTGTTTTTATTACACAGATCTTATTATTTTTCTTTCGTTCAAAATAAACGTGAATTTAGTGAACGGAGTAAGCTCGAAAAATCTAGAGAAGTTTAACTTTAAAGTAAGCTTTTTGAACGAGAAATTCACTTTTAAGAATGAGTATTTTTCATTTATTCTTATAATTTCAAAGGTCCACACAACATGACTGGATGACTGGAACAAATTTAGGGAGTGCCAAAGGAACTAGGTTCGAAGTCTGTCTCTAGGAAGGTGGTGATGGCCTGCAGAAACTCTTCAGGCTGGTCCAGATGAATGCATTTACCGGCTCCAGCAATCTGATAAAAAAATCAATCAATCAGTATTTAAAGGACTACTTAAGAAAAAAATTTAAATACTCCCGCCCCCCGCCCCTCCCTTCATTTCCAACCTAGAAGAAAAACAAATTTTACATTTTTTCGAAGTAACACTTGGGAAAATTAAATTTTTTATCAAGTTTAAAAATGCTTGCTAATTACTTACATTTTTCATTTAATTTTTCCTCTCCAGACTAAAAAACTATCCCCCATCTCTCTACAGGGAGAAGCAATGATTCTTAAAGGGGGGGGGGGTTAATTATGAAAAAATTAACATCAAGTGGCAAATTGATCAACTTTTTTTTACTCAACATACAATGGGGTATCATGGTTCTACTTAGCCAAAGAGTTGTTTCTCCATGGAATGATTTACCCTGTGATATAAAAACTGCACCAACGTAAAATACTTTTTAAATCCAGATATGATAAATATGTAAAAAAATTTCTAATCTAGTTTATTTTGTTGGGACAAAAAGAGCCAAAAAAAGAGAACTTTAAAAGAAAACAGAAAGCCCAAATAAGAAAAAAAAATAATCTAAGAAAAAATTTAAAAAAAAACATGCCGAAAAGTAAAAAAAAATGTCAAGGAAGAGAAAAAATAAAAACTCTACCAAAAAAAAGAAATAATTGTCCCTTATTTTTAATCTTGATTCACTGTATATTCGTAAATATTGAATATAATATACTCTACAATATTATTGTGATATATGCAACCATATGAATATCATGACAACAATCGGAAATTTTCTTATATACTCCGCCAGGAGTCCTGAAAATAATCCTAACATAAACATAAACTCAAGACCCCAAAACATGTTATATTTCTAACCTTGACAAAGCAAGCGTTTGGGAAGAGTTGTCTGATACTCTGGATATCCTTCTCATTTTGCCAGCTCAGTGCATCATCTCCGCACATAAACAACGTCTAAAAAGATAATATTTATTTAATAAAATGTTTTCTTTCATACATACTAATCTATGTTGCTTAAATAAGGTGTTACAATTCTTTACTTTATAGCTTTATGATGTTTTTTTTACGGTTTTTATAGAGTTTTTTTACATGTTGAATTTTTGCCTTTTTCTGGCGTCATCTTGTTCAAAAACGAAGGTTTTACTAATCTTGGTTCGACAAATATTTCGTGTCTTTAATCTTTGACGAAATTAAGTTTCGGGCAGACTTGTTGAATGTTGATGCACTCTTGTTGGTAGAATTTCACAAATAAAAAAATAATTAATCATTAGAAATTAAATTGAGAAAATCAAAACAATTGACCAGAAAAAAAGCAATTTAACAATTGAAAAATTAAAGAACAATCGGGTAATGACAAGCCAATCTAGCAACCAATTAATCAAATTCATTAAACGTGTCAACTTATCCGAGCCAATCCAAATCTTATCAATGTTTAATCGCGTTGAAAGCAAAGAAGGAATTGAATAACTTAAAAATATACAAATTATTTTAAAATATGGATCAGTTAATTTACTTTTTCCTAAATAAAATGATTAATGAAAAAAAATTAAAAAATTACTGGTTTCTTGAAGCAGAAGCTCTCCATGTTGGGGAACTTGGCCAGGTCGGGGTTGGCTAGGATGGCCATGTGATTAACTAAAACAAAAACACGCGTCAAGAAATTAATATCATTATCTTTATTATCATCAATTCTTTTAGATTTCAATATTCTATCTGGTAGGATATAGTTTCTTGGTAAATTAAAGTAATTATAAAAAATTCGGCATCATTTGCGAGTTTATTTGGAAATTGGCCTTCAATAAGTAAGTTTTTTCATTCTTTTTGATATTTTTTACCCAAAAATTCAATTATTTACCCCTATAAATCATTCATTTTCCCCTATAACTTAATTTATTTTCCCCTATATATATCATTTATTTTCCCCTATAAATAATTTCTTTTCCCCTATAAATCATTTATTTCCCCCTATAAATCATTTATTTTCCCCTATATATCATTTATTTTCCCATATATATCATTTATTTTCCCCAATAAATCATTTATTTTCCCCAGTATATCACTTATCTTCCCCTATATATTATTTATTTTCCCCAATATATTATTTATTTTCCCCTATAAATAATTTATTTTCCCCTATATATCATTCATTTTCCCCTATATATCATTCATTTTCCCCTATATATCATTTATTTTCCCCTATATATCATTTATTTTCCCCTATATATTATTTATTTTCCCCTATAGAACCTTATTTTTCCCAAATTCAGCGAATAAAACCATAAAACATTCATAACTTCTGGGGGGAAACTGGTGGGGGAAATAATTTTTCGAGAAAATATACACCCCTGAATTCACATGCCCGGTTGTTTGTCTATGTGAGCAGTACAATGCGAGGTTTGCACTGCGGTAGGGCGGGGGGGGGGGATTTTTCTTGAAAAAGACCCCTAGATGATCTACCTTGTCCTAGGTTAGAGATAAATAACGCCCTCTCCGCCTGAACGGGTATAACTAGCTTCAAAGCATTCTCAGCATCCATTCTAAACTCCATACTATTCAGCAATTCTAAAATATTAGCACAAAATTTATTGTTTTAAAGGGCTCTTCACGTAATCTTAAAGGGAATCCAATTCTAGGTTCATGTGACCCCCAAAACAAAGATGGTATTGCCCGATTTACAACGATACCCTTGAAACCTTTATCTTATCAAAAATGTGGAAGATATCCTAGTTTTTCTGACTTTATTGGTAACATTAATTTCTGTTTCCTCGTTGCTTCTTATAAGCAAGAAATGCAAAAATTTTCTTGCATCGCCTTAAAGGAACCGTCGGTGTAATTTCAGATAAGCCTCCAATATTAAAAAGTTTCATGACTGATTCACAACGGTACCCTATAAACCGTTATAACAATAACAATGAAGAAGATCTTGGTGTTTTTTCTAGACTGAGCCCGCGATTTAAAAAATTTGGGAAAATACGGCTCGGGTCTAAGCTGTCGTTGGGGCTTATCTACGGCTTGAGCTGCATCTTATTTTCTAAAGAGTTGAGACCAAAAAACCGGTTTAACCCATTAGTGACGAGACCATTAACTATTAGTGAAGTTGTTTTAGAAGGATCTTGTCAAAACAAAACTTGATTGTACTCATGAAAAACGATATTCAATTAAATTTTTAAATTTTTTTTTGTACAGGGTGACCTGTAAAATATGAAAATCTAAAATACTTTGGTTATTCATAATTATTTAATTATCTTCAAAACTTTACTTTTCGTGTTTTAGGTATTTAGATCTTTAAAAGAAGATTCCAAAAATATCTTTCAATTTTTTTCTAGCAAAAAAATTGACAATTTTATAGATTCAAAACTAAATTGCAGGGTGTTATTTTGGTTTTTTTCCGAATTCAAAATCTTGTTTTTTTTTTTTTTTAATTGAAAATTTAATAAAAAATCCAATTTTAAAGTTACGTCAAATATAAAATATGTTTTGAAAACAGGGCCTCCTAAGGAAAGCGCAGGAAAAGACAGGACAACATTTAGTTTAAGATAAAAGGCACTTAAAAAAAATCTCACCCGGTCAAAATTGACCTTCCCGTCACTAATGGGTTAATATTCTATTCGGAGGATTTTCATGGTAGGAATTGGCGCATTCCGGGTTTTTATGAGAACAAGGCTCAACATTGAGCCTTATTCACCACTAAAACCAACCAAGGATGGTTTTATTTTCATTGGGCCAAACTCCTTAAGTCGAGTCGAAAATATTGCTGCTGTCAATCACGTGAGACAAGCTGTGGTCAGAGTTGGGTCGAAGATTGGGTCTTAAAGTCAGGTTTAAGGAATTACGGGTCGAGCCGAAGTTTTTAAATCGCGGGCTCTGAAAAGTTTTTAATTCAAACACTTTAGTCCTTTGGTTACGTAGCCTGCTATTCTCAAATCACATCACATTTTGCATTGATGGCTTAAGGCTCCTAAATGAGGCCGGTTTTGAATTTCAAGTCTTGCCCACATATGGCCGGGTTTTTCAGCCCGATCTCTACCAATAAATTGTTGTTATGTTTTTAAATTTTAAGTTAGTTTTCAGACATTGCGTGAATGTTTTCTAAGTCCCTTTAAGTGCTTCAAGGTACTATTCTTTATTTTAAAAAAGTTAGATTGACAACAGTACCCTGTAAACCGTAATATGAGTTACAATGAAGAATCTATCGGGGGTTTTCCAGCTTGAGAAGTTTTTAGTTCTAAGTTTCGTAGTAGGCTATTCTATAAACAAATTCCTCAGTCCCTTCCGGGAATTATTTTTTTAACGCATTAAATTGCTTTTTTTAAACATGTATCACCTATAGAGCCTGATTTGTAACTAGCAGCAAGAGTTTGAATGACGTAACAAGCCTGCCTAATCTGTTCCCACTTTTCAAACACCTTAACACAGGAAATAATTAACCGTTTCCAGTTTATTTCCGGTCGGACAAACTTTAAGGGGTTGTCCGCTATTAATCTGCAGGGTTACCCACAAAGGATGAGATTGTAAAGACGACATGAAACATAGATTCCGCTTATAAATAGTCTAATCAATTTTTTAGGAAAGGGTTGACTTTGAAGTGTCTTAACGCCTTGGTAAGACACTTCAGAAGCTAAATTAAGTCCTCTATCTTTAGTCTAGTCTTTTAACAGAGTATTTCATGACTTAATAAGGAGAGAAACAAGTTTATACAGGAATCATAAATTTAAGGGAAAAGGCAGTATAAACTCCGTACAATCGTCTCTAAAGGCTCATCCTCTATGGATAACCCTGTACACCTGTACTGCACACTGTGATGCAAATTAAAACCTTAAACCATTCTGTAATTGTTAAAAAAAGGAATTCAAGGATTTCAATCATTTGAATAATTTTAATTACAATTTTAATTATCTTTATCAAATGAAATCAGACTTTAAGGGATTTCCTGGTAAACCCTCTCCAAATTTTGGGTAAAAATTTTTTTTTTTATCTCTAACTTTCATCAATAAAATAAAACTGCTTTAAATATGATTTATTTTACTATGTAGAAAAAAAATAATTTACTTACCCTGACACTGTTTAGAGGTGATGAAGCAACACAAACAAGTTTATCGACTAAATCCGGCCTAAAATAAACTATAGTTTGTCGACTAAATCCGGCCTAAAATAAACTATAGTTTGTCGACTAAATCCGGCCTAAAATAAACTATAGGTTGTCGACTGAATCCGGCCTAAAATAAACTATAGTGTGTCGACTAAATCCGGCCTAAAATAAACTAAAGTTTGTCGAATAAATCCAGCCTAAAATAAACTAAAGTTTGTCGACTAAATCCGGCCTATAATAAATTATAGTTTGTCGACTAAATCCGGCCTAAAATTAACTATAGTTTGTCGACTAAATCCGGCTTTAAAAAAACGATAGTTTGTCGACTAAATCTGGTCTAAAATAAACTATAGATAAAAAATTATCGTGTGAATTTATGGGGCACAATCAAAGAAAATTTTTCATTCTCATCACCAAAAAAATGTGAATTTGCTAAAATGTTTTAGGTTACAGGGAAATTGCAACCCATCCGAAAGGTCGTATTGACGAATCTTTGGTGGGGGAATTTTTTTTCTTTACCATGAAGGGGGCTAAACCCATGTGTGTAGCTCTGCCCCTTGAGCCAGAAATTTAAGAGAACATCGTTAAATGAAAATCACTTTTCATTTTTGGTCTATACATTTGCGCAGATTTTAAATTATGAATCAGAAAACAAAAAGAGGAAGAAAAAAAACAGCATGAAATAGTTTTTCTTAGCAAAAATATTGGATTTAACAAACTGTTTGACACCAATCATGAAACAGGGTTTCTGATACTGGGTTTTATTACGATACTTTGTCTTAAGTTTCTAGCTCTGATAAATTGAAAATGATCCTGGCAAGTGCAGTGAACACTGTACATCCCTATCCGTCCTCCAATAGCGTGTCGTATAAAACTGGTTTTCACTAGCTAGCCCCCCCCCCTGTATTTCACCCCTTCTCCCTTAAGAATCGAAAATGAACATGGTGAGTGCAATGTACATCCCAATTCGTCCTCCAATAGCGTGTCAGATAAAACTGGTTTTAACTTTACCATGAAGGGGGCTAAGCCCTCCCTCTCTTGTATGTGCCCCACCCCCCACTTGTATGTGCCTCCCCCTGGAAAATTTACGAACCTGGTGAGAGCAGTGTACATCCCTATTCGTCCTCCAATAGCGTGTCAGATAAAACTGGTTTTAACTTTACCATGAAGGGGGCTAAGCCCTCCCTCTCTTGTATGTGCCCCACCCTCCACTTGTATGTGCCTCCCCCCCTGGACAATTAACGAACCTGGTGAGAGCAGTGTACATCCCTATCCGTCCTCCAATAGCGTGTCCAATGAAACTGGTTTTCGCTACATTCAAACTACTCAGCAGTCGAACTATATCCCCTGAACAAGAACAAAATTATTTTTATGGTACCCATGAAACCTCAATCTTATCAAAACTGGGGAAGATATTATCCTCTTCCGACTTGAAAAGTGTTTAATTCTTTGGGTTTCTCCATTGCTTCTTAAAAAAAAGAAATGCGCAAGTCACTTTCGCAGAGGAACCACAAATGAAAATAAACAGCTAAAAGAAACAAAAACTTGGATATCTAAAACATACTTGATCAGACAAAGGTTCCAAGGGTACCGTTGTAAATCGGGATTTGCCTTCTTTGCATTGAAACTACGTGAACAGTCCACTTTAAAGGGACTGTTCAAGAAAAATTAAATGGATAAATCCTAATCTAATTTAGTATCGATATTAGTCTTTTTCTGTCCGTGGCTTCTGTAACAATTAAACCTCTATAGTTGCCTTTAGAACGTGACATTTTTTGTAAAGAACGGTTAATAACGGCCCACTCAGTCCGCAAAGGTCATAACCATAGGCTTGGACCGTTGAGTAAACGATTTTTTTAGTAGTAATTTTTTTCACAGAAACATCGGATAAATACAAAAGACTTGTAGAATTGTCCTTTCTTAATATAATGCAATTCAATTCAAATAGCTAGGAATTCAAATATGATAAACTTTTCATACTTCAGATTTGAAGAGTGCAAATTCTATTTTTATTTGCAAAACAATGTTTACCTGACATTTGTTTGTTTGTCATCTCGTGACTGCTCGGACTATTTCCATGATTTCTATAAAAAAGTGCTTATATATTCGACATCTAAATAAACTGGGGTATGTTTTTTAAGAGAAATGCAGCGTTGATTTAAGATTTTAAAGACGTCATGGCATCTATTATAACCTAAACATATTAATCATATTTCTTGTACATGCTGATTTAGATCGTCTCTAAAATGTTTTTGAAGGTAAGGAGAAATTCAGCCTTTACCAGAAATAACGGTTTTGCAAGCGATTCGGTTTTAAATTATCTAAAATCAGATAGACAGATAGATTTAGATAATTTTAAACCTCTGTTTGAAGTAAATTACGGGATGGAGGCTAGTATACGGGTGTGGCTTGCCTTCCCGCCCTCATCAAATTGTTAAGTTTGGTTTACCTAGCATCCGGAATGATAACGTTCCGTTTGGTCAGATGATTCAAAGCTTTTCCTGTCTTTGTCCAGTTCTCCTTTCTAAACAGAAAAAAAAATAAAATAGTTTCAACCGCCCAAGACTAGTAGATTCAGTCTGCTATGAAATGTCGACCTTGAAGAGTCGCTAAGCGTTGGTCTTTGATTTTACCAATCTAATTTTTTAACAATTTTCAAATTTAAAATCTTTTTAAACAAAATTTTATAAAGAACAGTGAATTTTTTCTCTGACTGTTGTATCTTTTTTTCTTAGCTGATCATACATCTGTTTTCTGTTCCTCTCTTGTACATCTACGCATTCTAATCGCTTGTAGACAAGGAAAAAATACTTTTACGCATATTGCCCAGAGCTGCAGCTCTGTGTTTTTGCAATTTTCTTTTTCATACTATTATTCAATTTGATATCTTGGGCCATAAATTTCAAATTAAGTAAAATAGAACGTTACTATTTGTATTCCAATGCAGAGGTGTCAAATTTCTCTGACAAGTTTTGTTGTGGATTGATGATGCATTGATGCAGCTATTGTTTATATTAATTATATATATATTCTTACAGGTTGGAAAAAAATCACTGCTATGTAGGGTTTGGAAATTCTGGGGATTCATTGTCAGAATTCCGCTATTATAATGACAAATGGGATAAGATAGGTTAGGTTAGGTAGTGGATATTTTCGACAGAAGGATTCTTGATTCTTGATTCATCTCGGACAGATACTCGAACATGGTACTGACATCTTGATGCTTACACATGAACCAGATTCAATCGAAAGAATTAACATCTTCGCGACAGGTTCTGATTATTTGAATACTTAAAAACAGCTAACCAGGCTTGTTATTAAGGAGTATATTTAAAGCTTTCAGTAGCAAAATATGGATCCAGCTAGGTAAAAAACCTCCATTCTCCAGACTAATACAGCAGATAAAAGATGAATGGAGGCCTTTAATGTTACTTGTAGTTCCATCTTTTCCATTTGTGTGCAGGGGTGTATACCCCTAATTATGCCCCTGGCTAAAGTTACTTTAGTTTGCCATTTTCTCTCTCTCACCCTGTATCTCTGAATACTTTTAGAAGCGCCTAGCAAGACCTAGTTGCTGCTTTTCTGATTGCTAAATATACACTGTAACAATCAAATTCAAATGTACATTTTTGTAGCCCTGAACATGTAAATGTTATAGCGCTTGTGTTTAGCTATTAGTATTTAAGAAGTCATTGGCAAATTCTCATAGATTAAAATGTGAGAGCTTACAATCTTTGAATTACATGGAGTACTTCCCAGACTGGTCCCAAGGGGTTTAAATCCTTGTGTGAATTTACTACGGGACCGGAACGGTTCAATATTGATTAAAAATAGTGTGATTTATTAAATGAGCACCCCATGTAATGCTGAGATTTTATAATTTGACTCAGGATCTGTAAAAACATTTAACATACCGTCCAAACAGGCCATGGTGTAACAGAATCGGTGGTTTGGTTGATGCATCATTTCCTCGCTCATAGCTAACCTGAGATATATTATAATACAAAATAGTCCAACCGTAAATATTTTTTTATTTCTATCAAATCTGCTCCCTTTTTCATTTTTTAGTGGCCCCAGTACAAAAGGTAAAATTACAAAAGTTAATGTGACAATAGGTAGAATTACAAAACGTAAACAGTAAAAATGAAATTTTCCAGTTTTTTTCAGGAAAATCCGCAAACTAGTGATAAAAATTCACAAAACTGTATTTTTCGTTGTAATTCAGCACTAAGCGGTTGGTCACCTATGTGGTAAACCAAAGGAAAATAAGAACATTGATTGACGACAGTAAATTATGAACATAATTTTAAGAAAACTAAGAATAGAACCGAGTTCTAATGTAATTCTAGCTTTTGTACTGGAGCCTTTTTAATATGTTTAAGAAGTCTTTTATCTATATATAATAAAACAAGACATTCATATTTATGTTCCCTTTAGCCGGCCGACCGAATGGGCTGAAATTTTGAGTGGAGGCTCATGGGTAGCCTGGGGGGTGACAAAATTCGAAATTTTTTTCATTGATTTTTTTTCTGTATCGAAATAGTTTTTCTTCAAAAAAAAAATCCTTTTTTTCTCTAAATTAGATTTTTAAAAATTTCAAGATCAGCGCCGGGCCCTTCAGCTAATTATCTATACATCTACTATTAAATGTCTTGTCTTTTTGCTTGTATCTGAAAATCGTTAAACGTGGCTAATACAATCTGGCCCAAATTTGTTATGATATCTTAATTGGCCTCAGGGTATGTTTACAGCCGATCAAAATTAACTCAAAATCAGCAAAGAAACAAAATGGCGCTTAGAAACGCAACATTTCGAATTTAAAATTGTTTCTAGAAAAAAAAGAAGAAAAAAAATTTTTAGTTCATAACTAACATAGGTGAGTTGTAGGTCAGAATGTGGATTTCCAGAAATGAATTCAAGATTGTTGGTCGAAGTATAACATCTGATCAACCCGACCCCAGACCCTTCTCTACACTCTCCAACATTCTAAACATTTAAACTTTTATTAATTTATAGAAAAAAGAGACGATTCATGATTTTTGAATATAGGGGAAAATGCAAAAGTAGTAAAATAAATACGTTTAGTATTACCAAACAATAATATAAATAAATAGTCAAACATCAAAATAAAAATATAAAACCAAAAGACGGAAAATATTGTTACAGTTGTGAAATATTAAGACATAAATAATTTATGGAATTCTTTTTATTATTATTACATATCATTATTATTATTATTATTATCAATCAACCTTAGTCGACGTATAGTTTTTTGAAGGGAGTGTAAAAGAATTTTCTTAGCAGTAACCTTAAAAGCTTTGCTTTATACTTTGAGTATAAATTCAATCTTGTTTTTTTAAACTACTAATTTATATTATTGGTTTCTCTGCAAAAAGATACTAGCGCATTTTTTCCTTTAAAACGATTGAGAAATTTTCATAATTTCTCACATAAAAAGTAAAGAAAAATTTTGTAAAAAAGTTTTTTTTTTCTAGAATACCTTGAGAATGACTCTACTCAACTGCCTTGTGCTTAACAACGACTTCATTAATATTCTGAAAATAAACAAAATTTACAACATTACTTTGGACATTTTACAAATAAATTTATTAAAATAACATTTTATTACGAGGCTTTAGGATTTCTTAAATAAAGGGGTACGTATTATTTTGAGATTGTGTTCAGGGAGTTCAGGAACATAGAACTTTAATTTATAAATTAACCAAATAGGTATCTTATTATCGTTAGGATTATGTTTTACATATTTTTGTCACAATTCCTATAAGAATTTAAACTACCTAGCAGCATATCGGAGGGGGGGGGGGGGGGGGGGGTGATTTACATTTTACTAACCAGTAACCAGTAACCATGAACGTGTCTGTGCCTACTCTTTAAATTCAGAAATTGAAAACGAATGACAAATTTAAAGGAACTTTATGTAACTATAAAGCGGCGGGTCCGATTTACAACGGTACCCTCAAAACCTTACTCTGCTAAAGAATACATGAGATATAAATTCACTTTCTCTTTGGAAATTTGATTATTTTGTGATTGGGTTCTTTTTGTAGAGACTTGCGCATTTCTGCTTAGAGAGAACATGACGAAATTTTCAGAATTAAACGCTTTGCACGCTAAAAAAAACGACAACATCTTCCATACTTTTAATCTGACACGTTTTTAAAGACCGTTACCGTTGTAAATAGAACACGCCCTTTTTCAAAACAAGGTCACTTGTAATCACAATAACAGTCCCTTTAATTTATGAATTAAAGTTTTATCTCTGCAAGTGACAAGACCACTATGTGGACTGTAGAGGAATGAATTCTAGCTCAAAAGTTTTGTTCTGAAGTTAGAATTCACGAGAAAATAAAAATGAAACCTAATTCACAAAATTTACTAAAATCTGAGCGACCGTTATTTCAAAAATAGAAGATGTTAATTGAGTCCCCAACAGAGAGCAAATTGAATGGCTACTTGTGAGTTGTCTTTTAAAAACCTTCCAGAATTTATAATTTGGTACTTTGGTACACATGAAATCCCTTAATTTAACTCAACCAGGCGTTTTTGAGCAAAAGTAGACTTTTTTATTAACTCGAAACATCGTCAAACTGTTTAGGGTTAAATTTTTAAATGATCGAAATAAGTTTTCTAATATTTAAGAGTATTAGAAGTAAAAAATTAGAATCGAGGAAAAATACAATAATTTATATCACAGTTTAGCCTTGAACATTGCGGGGAAGTTTGGACCCCTTTCGTTTTCCAAAAACAGAATTGCTACTTTTGAAGCAATAATTGCCAATTCCGTTAACTATCCTCCTGCTCTTGAAGAAGAAAATGCTTTTTCCAATGGTTAAACTGCTACTTTTAAAGCAAACTGCTAATTCAAGCAACAGAACTTATACTTTAAACAACAGAACTCCTACTTTAGATGCAGTTTCTGCTACTTTAAAAGTTTAAACAGCAGTATTTAGAGCACTGATTTTCTAGAAGCTACTTCAAGCTGAAGCGGCAACTGCTACTTCCAATAACAATACTGCTTCTCTTGAATGAAATGCTACTCTCAGAAACAATATTGCTACTTTCATTAATATTTCGGCAACTTTTCTGTTTTGTATTTGGAAAGTTGTGAAAGGTTATGAGAGGAAAGGTTGATGCCAGGATATTCGTCCAGCCTTACATCCTGTGGCCAGTAACCAATGGGTAGGACTAAAAGCACTTGACAACACATCCTGCAAAAATATGGATTATTAAATCAGCAGATTAAAAATAAAAAAACAGCGTTGAGCAAGAAAAATATGTTTATTGGATTTATAGAGAAGTTTTTTTTCTAATTTAAGAAAAGATCCGTTTGATCCGCAACATTTCGGCTTCCTGGATCCGGAACCGGATCCGCAAAAATATGTGGATCCACGAGGCAAATCAACCAAAAACTGGTTTAATAGAGAAGGTTTTTTGGGGGTGGGGGCCCGGGGTAGATTAATCTCTTGCCTTTTAAAATTTTTTTTTACTTGTATGGAAAATTAATTTATGTTAAACAATAAGCATATGTTGATATATCTACAAAAAGATATAATAATTGTTTTTTTTTTTTAGAAATTAAGAAAAGTACCTCAGTATGACTAGATTTAATTCCTAGATCGTACAGGGCTACTGGAGACTCAGGAACACAGTCGGATAGATCACTGCAGTGCTCATTCCAACCCAACAACCGGTATCCTGATCATATCAGATAAAAGGAACTGTTAGCGGAACTTTGCAATGTCCGATTCACACCGGTAGCCTAGAAACCTTTATCTGATAAATAATGCGGAAGATATCGTGGTTTTTCTAGGTTTATAAATATTGATTTCTGATAATTCTTTTACGTTTTCCTATATAATTCATACTTAATCAAAATAAGCTTTTATGGAGGGTCACTTGAAATTACGCTTTGAAATACCAACAGATGGCGAGTCATCTTATAATTAAAAACCCTTATCAATGTGTTAACGAATTTCTCTTCCATAAAAACAAAAATGCGTGATATTTATCAGATACGCGCATTAAAGCATGTTTTTTGTTTAACAACTTTTTTATTCTAAAAAAAAATCTGAAATTTTTTTCTTCAAAAACTTACCAAATCCGAACGGAGAAACAATAAATCTACCGCAAGGGCTGAAGCACTGTTCTTTAATAAACCCTCGACCTAAATCAAAATATATCTAAATGTCATGAAACTGGGTTTATTTCACGCTCTGTTAGAGTTAATATTTGTGTAAGATAACTAAATTAATAATAATAACTAAGGCAAATAAATCTGACTTCTGAACTATTCTTATAAATATAGATATACAGTATAAATACAAATAAATAAACAAAATGCGCAAGAGAGCAAAATTTCAGTTTCCAACATCAGGGAAAAAATTTGGGGGGAGGGTGATATTTCAAGAAAATAAACACCTCTGTATTCTCTGTAGTAAATACCTGTATTAGATTCTTCAATGTAATGAGTGAGTCGAGACATGTTTTGATGAATTTTAGCATCTGCCGGTATCTTATTGTCCAGTGCTCGCCGGGCAGCCGGAGATCCAAAATATAAAACCTATAACATTTTTCGGATGACAGGGGTTGTAGACGTAATTTCAAGTATATTCTCCACGCCCCTCCCCCCATTTTAAACTTTTTTCATCAAGAATAAATGAGATATCTATATTTTAATTTTGATTTTTATTCTTGTTCATTGGGGTTCTTCTTTATTAAGGTATAAGGAGTAAGATCTGAAACTGTAGGAATTGAAAACGTTCCAAACTTGAAAACGGAATTGAAAACGTTCCAAGCTTGAAAAACGGAATTGAAAACGTTCCAAGCTTGAAAAACGGAATTGAAAACGTTCCAAACTTGAAAAACGGATTTGAACACGTTCTAAGCTTGAAAACGGAATTGAACACGCTCCAAGCTTGAAAAATGGAATTGAAAACGTTCCAAGCTTGAAAAACGGAATTGAAAACGTTCCAAGCTTGAAAAACGGAATTGAAAACGTTCCAAGCTTGAAACCGACGCTATCTTCCACAACATTGATCAGATTAAGGTTAAAAGTGTATTAGAGGGTATTAAAGGGCATACTCCTCTTGTCATCAAGGTTCACATAAAAAACTTCAAGTAATTAAATATTCAAAGTTTCGAGAAAAGTTTTAAATTACCTTATATTTTCTATACCCCCCCCCCCCCGCTCTATCATTCAAATTCATCAAAAAAGGGTAATTATAGGAACTGAGGTGCAATTTCAAGTGTCCCTACATGCAACACCCGATTCACAAGAGTACCTTTTTCTGATCAATGTTGTGGAAAATATTGTCGTTTTTCTTCTCTGTCGTATTTAATTCTGATATTTCCAATATGTTTTCCAGCAGAATAAATCAAAGTCACTTTAGTAGAAAACCACAAGTAAAAATAATCAGCTTTCAATCTTATAATTGATATCTAATTAATCCTTGATCAGACAACGCTTTAAAGGGTACCGTAGTGAATCGGGCATTGCCATCTTTGCAGGGAGGGTCGTTTGAAATTACGCTTACAGTCCCTTTAAATACGCTTAATAAATCATTAGACAAAGGAAATAAAAAACTACAGTCGTCGCCGTATATATCTAAACACGACTTTTGATTTCAATTTTTGATTTCCACCAAGCTTTCAAGCAGTTTGGATACACATAAACAAGGAAACAAAGAGAAGCTGTCAATCAACAGCTTCTCTTTGATTACTTGTAATCTTTTAATTTGAGAAATCCTTGTTAGAAATCAAAACTTAACTAGTAAAGTCGTTTTCGTTGTATTGATAAAAACGCCGACTACTGCAAGTTACCCGACGTGGACCGTTTGCTCCTATTATCACAATTCCTCGTCTATCATTCCTTATCATTCTAAACAATTAAATCAATTACTTAATAACTTTTTGTAGAGGATGAAATCCTCGAATGAGGATTATCAAATACCGATCAGTATCGTCGGATTCTGGAACTAGAGAAGACCGACTCATTTTCCTCTCTTTTTATTCACTCGTTATTTATCATGTTTTTATATCTAGAAGCAATAAGTGAACTTCTATAGTGGTGACCCCGAAGTGTACTTCTAAATTATCATTTTTAATTACTCCAATTAAATAAATTCCTCAATCAAGCGGAAAATCATCTTTTTCACATTTTTGTCTTTGTGTGCACAAAGACAATTTAATTTGAAAATTTTGAGGTAAGGAATCTTAATCTTTAATTGTGTGGCCAGTTTGCTAAAAAAAGTCGCACTTATGATTTAAATTGTATCAAACCTAAAAACCAACTAGTAGAAACCAGTTAAAAAGCCAGGAGAAGTGATTGAAGAATGATTTTTAATGATTTTAAGAAATTGGACAACAAATGGCATGTTTTTTCATACTTTTAGATACCTTTTACCCAAAACTTGATTTTATTTCCCCTAAAAATTATTTATTTTCCACAATTGAGCGACTAAAACCCTAAAAATTATTTATAACTTCTTGGAGTAAAATCATTTTCAAAAAGGGTGGGAATATTTATTCAAGAATAAACACTTGCCACAAATTTATCTATTATCCGATAAAAATCATTTATTTTCCCCAATTCAGCGAATTGCGCAAACATACTTGACTTCTGAGAAGGGGAGGTTGAAATTATATTTAAAAATGGGGAGGGGGGGTAGACTGATTTTTAAAGAAAATATACATATAAGCAATCAACTGACCTATTATCCTCTACTTCTATCTCCTCCTCAGCTACAGGTTCAATAACATCCAACCAGTCCTGCCGGTCACTCGCCCCGGCTGCTCCTCCAATATTCCTGAGCGCGTCGAGCATGTTTCTAACCGGCTGGTCAGCTTGGGTGTCATGTCTCTGGCGTCTATCCCCAGCTCCGCCATCTTGGTTTAATGCATCTGTATCACGGCGATGCCTCGTCAACTCACCTTATCATTCAATGGTTTATTATTCTAGTCCTCGATTATAGGATTCGAGAAAAATTAGTCTGAAGACTAGACTGCCTTGAAATGTTTTGGGGCTAATATCTTAAGAGTTAAAGGCACTGTAAGCGTAATCCAAAGTGACCCTACATACAAAGATGACAATGCCCGATTTACAACATTACCCTTGGAACCTTCATATGATCGATAATTTGGAAGGTATTGTCTTGCTTTTCTAGGTTAATAAGTGTCAAGTTCTGATAATTCCTATATAATTTCCTGCAATAGAAATGTTTAAGTCCTTTTTTTGAATCAGACATAGCCTTCTTTGATAGGAGGGTCATTTTAAATTAAGCTTACAGTACTTTTGAGAAAATAAACAAATTAAGTAATTGTTAAAATGTCTGATTTACTTCAGCACCACAAATCACTTATTTGGCACCATGCAAGAGTTCACTTGTACATCGTCTAAATCATACCTTATCATTTTTAGGTTTAATGTTTGTATACTACAATTTAAAAGATTAAGTAATAATTTTAATGTCGTCTTCTATAAACCAGTACTGATTTCCGGGGATTGTACTACTCTTGCAAGGTGTTGGAGAAACCACTGTTGACTATAAATTCAGCTGGAAAAACAAAGATATGTTTAATGTTTATCGTTTTAAGGGTATCACTGTGAATTGCGCATGTCACTCGACAAAATTAAGCCTACAGTCCCTTTAAGAGAAGAAATCTTACTTGTTGAATTGTAAGACTGTAGATTGTATAAGAGAAGGGAACTATCTAAAACTTACCTAATAGATCCAGGGCTGCCATACTTTCTGCTGCAATAAAGTTCGTTCCATCTACATTGGTTTCTTCAGATCCTCCATCCTCATTCTCTACATCAACATCACGACCCTCAGCCTCATCATCATCCTCATCCTACATAATCATAAGTTTACCATCCTCAATCTCTAAATCAACCTCATGACCCTCCTCAACCTCATATCATCATCCTCATCCTACATTATCATGATAAGTTCACCATCCTCATTCTCTACATCAACCTCACGACCCTCCTCAACCTCATCATCATCATCATCCTAGATAATCATGATAAGTTCACCATCCTCATTCTCTACATCAACCTCACGTCCCTCAGCTTCGTCATCATCCTACATAATCATCATCTTTCATAATCATGATTAGTTTCTATTTAAAGAAAAGATTTAGTTTAACTGTTTAGTGTTTAAATGTACTTGGATAATTTTCTAATTACCGGATTATCTCGTTGTCGTCTTCTAACCCTGAGATCTATGTGTATCACAGCATTCCCATCCTCTCCCTACACATAGAGAAAAATCACGTAATAAAAAGAAAATCTTCCAACGAGGATGTATATATATTCAAATTATTTCATCCATTCAATTCTCAATTCAATTCAATTCAAGAAGCCAGTGAGTGTCGAAAAAATGTCGGGTACCTCATTCAAGGATGGGAAAAAACCCATATTAGTTTTTTTATTTCTTTAATATCTCTCTTATAATATCTTTTATCAGATTTAGCTATTTAAAAAATTTCACATTCAAAAATAAATGCTGGACGAGCGTTTAAAATCAAAAAAATAAATTGAAAACTGTATCAAAACAAGGACGAAAAAAACAGGTTTGAAGAAGGCAGAAAATATCAAACCTGACTTGTTCTAGCTCCTGTTGATATTATTTCTATTCTCCCACTTCTAAACCGTTGAACTTCTCCGCCAACATCATCAATACTAAAATTATGTTTATTGTCAAGACATAAATCCAGCAACAAGATGTTTTGAAATCCGCAATTCAGTCGTTCCGTACTATTATTCAAATAAACAATATATAGAAAGCAATTAAATTCATCATTGATATTCTAAAAACCTGACAATGAAAAAAAAAAAAAAATTATTCCATATTGGCAAAAAAGCTTACTAAACGGAAATTCATTGATACAAACGAAGTTGCTTAAAATTGTTCACCCAGAATGTCAAAGACAAAGACAAAGGATGTACACCTGTCTAGGACGGGAAGGACAGGATTTATACCTGACTAGGACGGAAAAGACCGGATGAATATCTGTATAAGACGGGAAGGACAGGATTTATACCTGTCTAGGACGGAAAAGACCGGATGAATATCTGTCTAAGACGGGAAGGACAGGATTTATACCTGTCTAGGACGGAAAAGACCGGATGAATATCTGTCAAGGGCGGAAAGGACAGGATTTATACCTGTCTAGAACGGGAAGAACAGGAGCTGGAGCTCGTCTCCAGGTTATTGGTTTAACTAGTTCATCATCTTCCTCCCTAAATATAATAATCAACTCTAAATATTCATAAAAAAAATACGGACGACAGATAAGTTGTTTAATTAGCCAATACTGAATATGTAAGGTATAAGTCCCAGTTAACTGTTCTTAAAATTTGCTCCTGAGTGATATAACATTTTTCTGGAATCATTTTCAAGAACCAAAAACGTATATCTCAGAAATTATATGACATGTTAACAAAAGGTATTTTTCACAGAAATTACAAATGGCCCCTTAAACCCTTGGAGTATTTGTCGAGCGCAGAGATGTTTGTGTGTAAACTTATCAAAACCCGCTAGAAGAGTCAGCTGTAAATTCTGGTTTCGATAGGATTATACACACATATCTCTGTACCTTGTAGAACACACAAAGGTATCTATATAATATTTATTAACTGTATTGCATATCTAGTATCAATAAACTGTAGTGTATATCATGTACACATTAAATACCTGGTATCTATAGACTGTATTGTATATCATGTACGCATTAAATACCTGGTATCTATATACTGTATATCATGTACGCATTAAATACCTGGTATCTATAGACTGTATATCATGTACGCAATAAACACCTTATCTATAGACTGTATATCATGTACGCAATAAATACCTGGTATCTATAGACTGTATATCATGTACGCATTAAATACCTGGTATCTATAGACTGTATATCATGTACGCAATAAATACCTGGTATCTATAGACTGCATATCATGTACGCAATAAATACCTGGTATCTATAGACTGTATATCATGTACGCAATAAATACCTTATCTATAGACTGTATATAATGTACGCAATAAATACCTGGTATCTTTAGACTGTATATCATGTACGCAATAAATACCTGGTATCTATAGACTGTATATCATGTATGCATTAAATACCTGGTATCTATAGACTGTATATCATGTACGCAACACCATTCTGAGTTTTCATCTGCCGACGTATTTCTCGATACAGCAACCCAACCTTGAGGGTGAATTCTAAAACAAGTTTTCAATCAGAGGTGTATATTAAGGGGGCTACGGGGGTCAAGCACTTCTCCCCCTGGATCAGTGAAATCAGTAATTTGAAGAAGGTTTTCAGNCATGGAAAGAAAAAATGAAGCCCCCTTCCCCTGGACAAACTCCTGTATACGCCCCAGCATTTAATCGTCCTATATGAACTTGTCCGTTTTTACAAAAAGGGTTCTATAATTTTATAATCTTTTATAATTAGTTTTCGAACAGTTTGGGGACTTTGGTATTTTCCTGTCTTAAAGGGAGTGACCGGCTATGTAAGGTAGTTGAACGGAGTATGCAGTGTTGTGGAAAACTTCTTCCGGATTCATTTGAGGCATATTAAAGAATTAGTTTATTTTAAATTATTAAATAAAGACGACATAAAATGTAAAAAAGTTCTACAATAAACTACAGACGTCATGTATAGGAACATGATGAGAAAATAAAAATTCATCTTATCATCGAAAATGAGTAATCTTGTTTAATTATTAGTTTCCATTTTCTCATTATTCTGGTTTATTCACAAAGATTTTCGTAGATTTTCTAGAATTATTATTGAAAAGACGACATTTAAAGAATTTGAAGAAATCTGCGAATAAATTCAAAGAAGGTAAGAAATTCAATATAATAATGAAAACGAAATAATCGATTTTAGCATTGATTTATTGACAAATTTCTTTTGAGAAATATGTTCCTAACCATCTAAATAGATTACTGTATAATTTTTACTTTAGTTTTCGTTGTCGTTATTTAATAGTTTTAAAAAACCGATTCTGAAAACGTATCCACCCCCAAATCAGGAGTTTTGAACGTCAAATTTGCGCTCAAACTCAGGGTTTACAGATCTTTAAAAAGTTTTAAATGTCTCAAATGAATCCGAAAGAAGTTTTCCACAACCCTGCATTCAGTTCAACTACCTTAAATAGCCGCAAACTCCCTATAAATATGTTTTCTAACCTTTTAAAAATAATAACACCTGTCAAAAAAAAAAAAAAAACATTTAAACTCAAACAATTGTAAGCAGGATATTGATTTTTACCTTAAACTTGAAATAGTATCTGCATCGTTTAGGTCTGGGAAATCAGATATCAGCTCAATACGATTCCGTTTAGCGTGGAACAGTCTGCTCAATCAATCAATCAATTTTCATAGTAAAACAAAATAATTAGATAACAATTATTAATATGTTCTTTGAACATAATGTTTCTCAAAACTACTCTCAAAAACAAAACACTTAATAAACATTGTAATTTTACTGCAAAGTTTGGTGGTTAAGACACAGAAACATTAAGATTTTCTTGAGACAAAAATTTGCTCTGCAAACTTTTAATAATCAGAAATGATTGTGAAATTCGCAAATACATCGAGGATCAAGCTGTTTTAGTTTCATTTTCGGATTACTTTAAGAAGTTACAGTGGGCCACAAAATAAATCAGCATAACAAGTTTTTTGATAATCTTCTGTCGGTAAATTTTATTTATTCTTTTCTTGTTATTTCTTTGAAAATTTTTTTGTTTATTTTTCATTTTTTTATAGAGGAAAAGTATACAGTAATTGATTGATTGCCTTGTGTAAATACAGGCTAGTTCTCGAGGTTGTCCTGACAACTGCATCATTCGGTACAAATTTGGTTTAAATCCTAAAAATTAGCATCATCCGGTACAAATTCGTTTAAAATTCTAAAATTAAGTTTCTTGTGGTACAAATTCAGTTTAAATTTTTTTTTAAATCATTATCATTTAGGTCATTAGAGGTCGCAAGAGGTCATTAGATGGTCAAACAATGGATTCATTGCTGCTACTGTATTCCCTGGGTTCCTAGCTTTCGTTTGATATGCATAAAGCCATACTTAAAATATTTTTATTTTAGAGGTCATTTCAGGTCATTAGTGGTTGTTAGAGGTCATTAAAAGGTCAAACACTGGATTCGTTGCTGCTACTGTATTCCCGAGGTTCCTAGCTTTTAATTGATTTGCATAAAGCCATAGTTAAAACATTTTCATTTTTGGAGGTCATTTAGGTCATTAGAGGTCGTAAGAGGTCATTAGAAGGTCAAACACTTGATTTGTTTCTGCTATTGTATTCCCTGGGTGCCTAGCTTTCGTTTGATATGCATAAAGTCATAGTTAAAATATTTCCTATTTGTAAAGGTCATTGGAGGTCATTAGAGGTCATCAGAGGTCATTCGAGGTCATTAAAATTGAATTTGATTTTATTTAAGGAATTGTGATCACTAATTAGGCGTGCAGCCAAAAAATTGGAAGATTTGAACCAAAAATGAAGGCAGGGCCGCCCTCTTACATCAAATGTGACATCTCCACCATCCCCTTTGGTTTAAATCCAAAAAACATATGGTGTATATTTTGTAATCCTAAAAATTAACATCAAATGGCACAAATTCGTATAAAAAGCTAAATACTAGCATTATTTGGTACAAATTCGGTTAAAATTCTAAAAATCGAAATCATTTATTGCAAATTCGGGTTTACTCCTGTAGATTGAAAATTTAGAAATTGAGATCATGAATTACCAGGAGATATCCCTTCATGTAAATTATTACCTTCTAAATCCTGACGGAGAGTTTGAAGATTGAGATCATGAACTACAAGCAGATATCCCTTCATGTGAGATATTACCTTCTAAATCCTGACGGAGAGTTTGAAGATTGAGATCATGAACTACAAGCAGATATCCCTTCATGTGAGATATCACCATTTTATCAGCAGCTGGGGTTAATCTCATCCTCATCAGCCCAGCAGTATAGAACACCTGGATATATAATAGTTGGATCATTTTTATCCCATCCGAACCTAGAGGATACAATCCGGATTTACAGGGTAAGAACACAGAACAGGTAGTATGGAACCATCGCTAACGCGTACCGGCGTCTGAAAAGCCGGTGTAGCGTTTCATCCAGACCGGGGTAATATTTGGCCCGGGTGCAATACAAAGACGGCATTAGTAAACAAACACATTTAAAATTTTAGCCTGCAGAAGAGTGGAAAACATGCCTAAATAATGTACATAATGTGTGTGCTTCTAATTTTTAATTTTATGGCCTACCAAACAAAAAATTGTAACAATTTCAANGGCGCTCCTCTGTTCTATCAATTTTTTACATAACTAGCGGTAATTTCCTAATATACGATTTTTTGACCACAACCCCTTCCCCCTACTATCAAATTTTGTACATGGATTTCACATGTAACACTCATCCGGACCAAATATAACGCCCGGGCCCTATTTAACGTGACACCGGTATGTGTCGTTTGAAAGTGCTCGATGCCGCAACGTTTATGTACAAATGCACAATGGGCTTAAAGAAAGAAAATATTTGTTTTCCATAATTACGTTTCAGACTTTCCCTCTCCCCCTGAATCCACTGTGGAGAGTGTTTGTGCAGACAATAATGTTCACAACATATACATTGACCCCAACTTATACAAGTCAACTGATGTATTACTCTGAAACATACACCTATTTACAGCTGTATGATTAGTAAATCCCTTTCAAGCCAGTGAGGCTGGCAATCCGCGCCAGGGCTGGTTCTATACTACCTGTTCTGTGGTTGAGTAAAAAAAGGGATTTTTGATGTTTTGAGAAGAAAAAAATTAAATTTTTTTGTTTGCTTCGAATTTTTGCAAAAAAATATGTGAAGCGATAAAAAATACGTCAAAATTTTAAGATTAATCTTTTTGTTTTATCTTACTCAATTTTTGATGAAATATGAAATTTCGGAAAACAATAGAATAAACTTATTCTATGCAAATTTTGGTTTCGCGTTTTCATTTTCAGTGCTTAAAAACAAAACAGTATCTTTCTGAAAACATCGATAATACCGGTTTTTTTACTCACCCTGTATGGTGTATATAATCCCATACGGATTAAATGATCCCATCCGGACCTAGAAGATCCCATCCGAATCTGTACGATCCCATTTGGACCTAGGATCATATCCAGATCTTATTGATCCCATCCGGAAAGAATAAAAAATTTGTCCAAGAAAATACGAAGGTTTGTTTAAAAAAAAAAGATTTTAACATTTAAGAATCCTCAATCACCCTAGTTACCTCTTATTAGGCATTGATAAAAATGTATTACCTTATTAAATTCTGGATTGGTTTCTGAGTATTTATTGAAGTCCCATGTATAAATCGCACCATCAAACCCTTAGAAAACATAAACTAATGTTTTTTTTCCGAAAATCTCAACAACAAATAACAGACAAAATAAAAATATAAAACGTATACCAGGAGCTATCAAAAGGTAGTTATGATAGTTTAGAAAGCCATTTTTTGGTGAAAAATATACTTTGATAAGAAACTGTCATCGTAATTTTAAGTGTTCTCCAACCGCTACCGCCGCCACACTCCGCCATTTCTGTGCTCCATTCATGCACATTGCACAAAGTATAAATTTAATCATTATTATGCTGAACCAGGGGAGCTCGTTTGTAAACAGCCTGAGCTATCTTATAGCTCCCCGGCCACAATATATATATAATTTAATTAATATATGTATGTTTAACTTGTGGCCTAATAAATGATTTGATATAAAAACTGTACTGCACATATAAATATATATGTATGTTTAACTTGTGGCCTAATAAATGATTTGATATAAAATGATTTGATTTGATTCACTTAGGTTTAATTTAATCCTTAATCAGATGAATAATAAGGAAGCTATTTTAGTTTTCTCTGTTAAAAAAAAACTCTTTGGAATGAAGAATCACTTCAAATTTCGTTACCAGTCCCTTTATCAATAATCAAACTAAGAAAACATTGATTGCATTTTCTGCCTGATGTGACGAGAGCGTTATCGTGCTGCGAATATTCGATGTTCTTGACCCAGTTTGTGTGTCCTTGCAGGGTTCGAACCCGAGTTTTTAAATTTCGAACATCCCACAGCGCTACCGTGTAGTCGTCTGAACAACTGGCAAAGGTTCGTGTGTCTAGAAATCTGAAGAAAAAAATGTTCCATGATAAAAAAAAATTTTAAGTCAAAAAAATAAATATATTTTTAAATTATCAAGATCCTCTTCCCAGACATTAATGGGAAAAGGTTGGAAAAAATGGCAAATTATAATTATTTAGATTTTAAAAAATTCATACTTCATGTGTTTTGATTTATATTTTGTTTTGAATATATTACCTGACGCAATTTACACAATCCTAAAAACATTCAATCAGATCTTTACGCAATTAAAACGAATTAAAGAATTTCATCTTAACAAGATTTTAGTGTTTCAGAACTTCAATGTTACGGAATAGTGTCACAGAATTTCAAAATTCAATGTTTTTGCATTTCAAAGTTTGGAATTTCTAATATTCAGAAAACAGCCTTTTCACCAATTCTCAAACATTTTTACTAAAAAAATTACTAACACCAACAAAACAATAAAAGAATTAAGAAATTAAAAATTGAAAAAAAAAATTAAAAATCTGATTGAATCCCTGGTGTGCGTTCTCTATACTCTTCACAACCTGCCTCGTGAGCGGGTCAAATATTAGAATGTTTTTCCGTTCACACGCTGCGGATAGGATCCGTCCATCCGGACTAAACTCAAGGTTGAATATTCCTCCTAAATTAGGGTCAAATATTAGAAAGTTTTCAGTTTACACGCTACGGATAGAATTCGTCCATCCGGACTAAACTCAAGGTTGAATATTCCTCCTAAATTAGGGTCAAATATTAGAAAGTTTTCAGTTTACACGCTGCGGATAGAATCCGTTCATCCGGTTAAAGGTTGAATATTCCTTCTAAATTCAGGGGTGTTAATTTTATAAATGACACCTTCCCTCCACCCTCAAAAATGGAAATTGGACCTAAAACTAAAAAGTTTTTTAAATACTTTTAACCCAAAAATTCAATTATTTCCCCCGAAAAATGAGGGGGAAATAATTTTAAAGAAAATATACAACCCTGTCTAGTGTCTACATTATAAAAGATGTTACGACAAATTATTTATCGGTATTTGTATATTCTTATATAAATCCCTTCCCCCTTTACAAATTCATTATATTTCCACACATTATTAGGAATATAAATTCATAAATGAATCTAGGGGGAGGAGGGGACATTTTTATGAAGACCTTTAAAAATAGGGAAATCCGGCAACAAATTCTTCCACCCCAGCTTTTTTTTTCAATTTGCCTTACAACAAATTGTTATTAATTTCTCTAGGTTAAAGATGCACTTCAAGCTTTTGGATACTTACTAAACCCAAAATTTATTAATTTCTTCATAACAATTTTTTTACTATTTGAGGGATTTAAAAAATTTAGAAAAAGTGAGGAAATTGATTTTAAAGAGAAAGGGGGGGGATAATTTTACATAAGAAATAAACCCCCCGTGTTTAATGGAGGAATGGAATGTACCTGTTGAGTGTATGGCTGTTTCTTGCATAATAACTCTTCCTTTATGTATTCTCTCAGATCTATAGGATGGGGTAGTGGAGTTCTGGAAGTATGGAACTGATCTAAACAATGACATAAAATATATAGGATGGGGTAGTGGAGATCTGGAAGTATGGAACTGATCTAAACAATGAAATATATAGGATGGGGTAGTGGAGATCTGGAAGTATGGAACTGAACTAAACAGTGATATATATAGGATGGGTTAGTGGAGTTCTGGAAGCATGGAACTGATCTAAATAAATATTTTTTTATCTTCATGGCCTAAACAAATGGAACTAACACATTGAGGTTTGAGGTTTGGAATTTGGATAATAATTAACATCGAATTTAAATGAATACAGGTTGGTTAAATAAGAATATTAACTCCTGTTAGATTGTCTATAAAACCAATAAGTATAAAAATTTAAAATATTCAATGATAATTGTCATTTTAATGAATAAAAAATGCAGATTTTAAAATTGTAAACGATTTACGGAAATTAAAACTTGACAAATGGACCGTTTTAGACAGAAAAGCTATAATATTTTTCAAGGGTAACTTGAAATTACGCCGACAGTACCCTATAACTTCAAGGAAAAATTGGTCGTACATTTTCTTAAACTTCCGATTAATATATATTAAAAGATGTGTATGGAGCAAGACACTTTGGCCGCCAAGTGTCTCGGCTCTCGATATTTCCGCGATTTCAGTTGAAAGACACCTAGCGGCCAAAAAATCGTCCTCAAAAGTACATCAAATTTGAAATAGATTACTCACATATCTGTTTGTTTGTTGAGAAGTCCTTGTGCCAGTTTTGAATTAAAAAGATTTGATTCCCCAGGATATGGTCGGATACCAGATCGTCTTCGGTCTAATAGTCATATTCATTATTTAAATCAATCAATCAATCAATCAATCATCCAACCAATCAACCTTTCAATCAATCAAGATGATCATATAAAGGGATACCCACAAAGCATTAGACTTCAAAGACAACTTTATGGATTTTAAAACTCATTTCTCATATTCATATATCTTCGGCTTAAATCTGCCGTATTTTAAAAAATGATATTTCTACAAGGAACTCAACGTGATTTCCAACTTTGACCGTCAAGCAGATCAACCTTCAAGTACAAGAGGTTTACCTTATTTAAACCCTGCATCTTTACACTTAACCAATTATATCTCAAGAATGTCCCAACCCGTCTAACCAATATACTTACGCCAACCCGTCCTAACCAAATGTATCTATAACTTATCCCAACCCGTCCTAACCAAATGTCACTTAATATTATCCCAACCCATTCTAATCATGTATCTCAAACTTATCCCAAATCCGTCCTAAAAAAAGGTATCTTAAACTTTACCAACCCGTCTTATCCATTCCATATGTAACTTAAAATTATCCAAACCAGTCACAACCAACCGTATCTCAAGCTTGGCCAAACCCGTTCCTAATCAAATTTAACATAAAACTTATTCCAACCGGTCCTAACCAAATGAATCTAACTTATCCTTACCGGTCCTAACCAAATGTATCTCAAACTTATCCCGACCCGTCCGAACAAAATGTAACTTAAACTTGTCCCAACCCGTCCTAACTAAATGTATCTCAAACTTGTCCCAACCCGTCCTAACCAATGTTTCTCAAACTCAATTTTTATGAACTTATTTATATCCTGGGTAATTTCCATTCACGAGTAATTATTAACAAATTTTAATAAGAGTGGTTAATACTTATTCCAGGACCATTCGACCGAAAACCTAACTTTTCAGTGTGCAAAATAAAGAGAACATCTGAACTCTCGTTAAAGGTTGTTAAAAATTTAGGAAAATATTAAAAAACAACAATAAAATATACGTAGTAGAAAATAAGATTTTAACCACTTTTCTTTGGAAACCCAGCTTAGCCTAAGAAATCGACCCGCTCAACTTATATTTTTAAACTTGTAATATTTCTCAATAAAAATTTGTGGCAAATCGGTCCGGGTTTATGAAATATTATCAGATTTCCAAACAGACCAACAGATAGTTCCCTACTTTATTTATAATAAAAACTATGACACCACATTTTTGAAAATAGGGTCAGAGTGAGATTGTATTCTACAAACTGCATGTTATGTATCATAAATTACGATTTAAAAGCAATGAAGAGTGACTTCAGAACTGCAGCGACTTTTATTTATGTTCATGTTAATAAACTTTTTTACCAAACAAGCGAGCTTGGGTATAAAAGGATTCTTAACCCGTTTTATTGCCAGTCTGTATTAAACTCTGCTACATTGATAATAGAAGTTTGTTAAGAAATAAATCTTTTTCATTCAGAAACGATAGGTTGGATAGCCATGAGATAGTTGAAGACGGAGTGGTAGAGTTTCAGATTCAAACATGATTAGAGAGATCAATAAATAGAAAAACTAGTGGTTTAAACCCTAGTGTAAAAGATATATATAGAATAGAAAAGGGTTTATTCAGAACATTTTTACATTCCTATCAACAGATCCATGAAATCAATGATCGACTCCCTAAAAATTTGAATAGAGGTGTGTGCTCTGAAAATCCTTTCATTTTCGGCATTTTATCTGAAATTTAATATTTTACAACAGTTCATCTTGAGGTTGTAAGATCAAAACTTTAAAAGAATTGATATTTTATCTTAATTTCACTCACTACACATTTATTTCAAGAAGTTACAATTTATTTAATTACTGGGCAGCGCTGACAAGAGCCTCTCCAACCTAAATAAAATAATTTCTATCAAATAATAATGGTTTTTAACTAATTTAAAAATAATAGCGAATAAAAAGAAAATAGAAAGAAACTAGTTAAGAAGAAACGGAGAGAAAAATGGGATCAGATTGGAAATATAGAAAAATAGGGTCAGATTGGAAATATAGAAAAATAGGGTCAGATTGGAAATATAGAAAAATAGGGTCAGATTGGAAATATAGAAAAATAGGGTCAGATGGGAAATATAGAAAAATAGGATCAGATGGGAAATATAGAAAAATAGGATCAGATGGGAAATATAGAAAAATATGATCAGATTGAAATATAGAAAAATATGATCAGATAGGAAATATAGAAAAATATGATAAGATTGGAAATATAGAAAAATATGATCAGATAGGAAATATAGAAAAATAGGATGAGATTGGAAATATAGAAAAATTGGATCAGATTGAAATATAGAAAAATATGATCAGATAGGAAATATAGAAAAATATGATAAGATTGGAAATATAGAAAAATATGATCAGATAGGAAATATAGAAAAATAGGATGAGATTGGAAATATAGAAAAATTGGATCAGATTGAAATATAGAAAAATATGATCAGATAGGAAATATAGAAAAAAGATTGGAAATAAAAACAGGATCGAAAGGAAGAAACAGGAACCGATAGGAACAGTTGCAGATGAAAATATGATATATGAAACAGGGACGAATCAGGAACTGAAGAAAAATATGCAAGGATTAAAAAGAAATGCATGAATAAAACGAAACAGAAACAGAAAGTATTAATATAACTATAGTAATAAATATTATAATAAATTTCATAGATACAGAAGGAACGCATAAAAAACAGCAGAAACAGAAAATAATAAATAATTATTAAAACTATAGTAATAGTTCATAGATATAGAAGGAATGCATAAAAAACAGCAGAAACAGAAAATAATAAATAATTATCAAAACTATAGTAATAGTTCATAGATATAGAAGGAATGCATAAAAAACAGCAGAAACAGAAAGTAATAAAAAGGAGATAAAATATTAATTAGATGAAGGGAACATTTAATACAACATTTTAGATAAAAATCCACGAATAAATTCAAACCTCGATGGCAATCTGTGCTTCCGCTCTTTCGACTTCAGTGTTAGCGGCGTTAAGTGCAGCCTGGGCATCAGCCAAAACTTGTCTAGGTTAATAAGCCTTAATTCTTCTGCCAAATTGTTTATCTATGTCTGTATGCCTATCTATGTAAGTGTTAATCTATGTTTATTTTTAATGTTTAATTTTTAATCCATGCTCATTAATTTATGTTTAAATATATTTCTATGTTTAAGTATTTATTTTAAATATTTATCTCTGTTGAAGTGTCTATTTATGTTAAAGTTTTTACAGATGTTTAGGTGTCGATCTGTGTTATTAAAGTGTCAATCTTTGTTAAAGTGTCATCTCTGTTTAAGTGTCTTTCTCTGTTTAAGTGTCTATCTCTGTTAAAGTGGTGTCTATTAATATTTAAATGTCAATCAATGGTCAAGTAGTGTCTATCTTTGTTAAAGTGTCTATCTATGTTGAAGTGTCTAACTTTGTTGAAGTGCCTATCTATGTTGAAGTGTCTATCTATGTTGAAGTGTCTATCTATGTTGAAGTGTCTATCTATGTTGAAGTGTCTATCTCTGTTAAAGTGTCTATCTATGTTGAAGGGTTTATCTCTGTTAAAGTTTCTATCTATGTTAAAGTGTCTATCTATGTTGAAGTGTTCATCTCTGTTAAAGTTTCTATCTATGTTAAAGTGTCTATCTATGTTAGAGTGTCTGTTTTGGGTAGTGTCCATCTTTGCCAAAATATCGATCTTTTGTTTAATTATCAATCTACGTTAAGAGTCTTCTTGATCTATCTATGTTCATTGTTCAAGAGTCCATCTATGCTAAAAAAAAACCTTTATCACCTTGCACCGGCAGCATCAAGGTTCTCAATCGGGTGAGCCTCTTCAGCAAGAATTTGAACAGAAGAATCTTCATTTATGGTGACGGAGCCGGAGGAAACGAAAAACTTCTTGCTTGTTCCATCCTCCTCATAACTAATTAAAATGAACAGATTTAAACAAGGACACAGGGGGGTATGGGGATTCCAGGTTTTTTAGCCCCCTCCGCCCCCTGACAGAGTTGGCAAAAAAAAAACCAGCCCCAAAAAAACCATTAAAACCCACTTTAATAGACCAAATTAGTGGGTTTTTTTTGAGAGTTTAGATTTTTCAATTTTCAAGTCTAATCTTCAATCTTTCAATGACACATTTTTCAAGAAATGAGGTCTACAGGTCTACTATCATTGATATTGATTATTAGGTTTGTATTACTATAACTGACACATGTATTCATTTATTCTGTGGTGACTAAAACCACTAAACTAAAAAGAATTATTGAGTAATTTTCCAAAAAACTTTTGAATGAATTTATTCATCCTTGTCACTCAGCTGAGTCACTCAGCTGAATCCTCTTCTCCAGGCAATGAAGAAGTAATGGTATTGAGGATGTTTCCTCTGTATACAGTTGCTAGTTTATTTGCCTTCTACCACCAAGACGGTTTCTGGTTTAAGACCAGACAAATCCCATTGTAAAAAACAATTGTAGAAATCGATCATCTACAATATTTTGAACTCAATAAGATACTACAACAGAATTTTCAAATTTGTTGCGATTGGATAGTGAAATACAATCCCTTGTTTATTATGTAAATAAGTGAGCTGAATCACATGAAGAAGGTAGGAAAAATTACTATAATAAAAGATAATTTTTTGTGAATATATAACGTACCCATTATCACAAAATATTATTTTTTTTTAACTATTGAGGTTCACCTATTGCTAAAATAGTCATATTTTGATGATTTATAAGTTTTAGTAGGCTTAAACAACTGTAAAATTTAAAAAAAAAACCAATAAAGCCAACAAAAAAACAACAACAAAACCCACTGGGATGGGTTAATTTAAAAAAAAACCGAAATTTTACAACCCTGACCACTGGAAATATGGAGATAAATGACGACAAATATTTTTTGCTGTTTCGAAGGAAACATTTTACCATGTAGGAAATTAAAGATAAATTTTAACTTTCGTTAAACAATTTGTATTCCTATGTGTTAAGGGATTGTAGACAACGAAATTTTAAAAAAAATTTGAAAGGCTTCGGTGGTACTTTGGTGGTTTAGCAAAAAAAATTTCTTTTTAAAATTAATAAACGACTCCCACCCATGTAATTCTGAATAACTTACACAGTGACAACACCGGGTTTAAGGACTGCAAGAGTAGGAACGTGGGCAGGGAGGATACCGAAAGATCCGCTGAAGGAAGGAACATCGATCTGCTTGACAGCAGCAGCGTTGTAGTGCACGGCGTTTGGGGCGGCGAAGGTGAAGGCCATGTCAGCATTTCTAGAGATTGATTTGTAAATCAACAAAGCGACAGAAATAGATCTATTACGCACATTAAAATAACAGTATCCAAAAATAATTACTTGCGTTAAACAATATAGATTAGAAATTGGTATATAACTCCTAGAACTTGTTATTGTACAGGGTATCCCACACCCAATTAGACCGCGTCAATGGGTCTAACTTGCGATTTTGGGGACAAATCAGAAAGTTTCAGAAGAATGAATCATTTTGAAAAACTTAATAAAGCAAAAGAACAGTTGTTAACAGAAAATACTAGATTTTTCGAGTATTATGTGCGTATTTTGATGATAAAGATGTGAGATAATCTTATATGTTACGGGACGCTCTGTGTAACTAGCTTGCTAGACGTTAGATGCAAAGCACTTCAAAAAATGAATAGGATGGGGGTTTAATTGCATCTATAGCGATATATCTTCAGACCCAAAGTCTAAATTAGGCTGTATACAATATAAACATTACAAACAATCCCCTTAGCCCAATTCAATTAAATTACATGGACCCTGGAAACTTTAAACTTTTATTAACGACAAAAAAATAAATGTAAAAAAGGGAGAAAAGGGTATAAAATCACATTAAGGAAAAAAACAAAGTAAAAACACACCTGGGGGCGCTAGTAGACATCATTCTACGCAGAGAGAGGGAAGCTGCAGTACGGAATGCCATCTTGATTAAATAAGTCTGAAAACAGGGAATATTGTTATTCTAACGTATGAATTTTTTAACAAGAGAAAAGCTTTAAACAATCCAAAACTGTATTTATTTCACTGATTTCCACGACATGAAAATAAAATGAGAACATCTGACAGATCCAAACCAAACTTTGCCTCCATACTTTTTCCAGAAGAAAGCAAGATGTCGAACAAAAAACTCACGCAACCTAAGAAAATTCAGGTTTTTTATTTTTAAAGGCTTTCTTTATAAAAAAAAACATTGTATATTTGTTCTCCAATGATATTTTCAAAAATTAAGTTCAAATAAACATAAATATTCAAAAGAATTCAGTGTTTAATCACATTTTAAATAGAAATTTTCTTTCTACGGCCATTATTTCTTGCGGAATTCTACGCGGCTAAAAGTCGGATTTTGATCCACGTTTCATCATGGTGGATTCTCATTTGAACTACTGCCGTTTGAACTATGGTACGATTCAACTATTGTTCGTTTGAACTATTGTTCATTTGAACTACTGACATGACGTCATATCCTGTAGTTTAAATCAACGCATTTCTTGCTCATTTGAACTATTTTTCTACCCCAATTCAGTTTTAAAATTTTTTTATAATCTTCATAAAGTTATATTCATGACAATTAATTAGATAAACATTACACAGAATGAACATAAAAATAGTTCAAAGGAACATGAAAATAGTTCAAATGAACATAAAAATAGTTCAAATGAAATAGTTCAAATGAACATAAAAATAGTTCAAATGAACATGAAAATAGTTCAAATGAAATAGTTCAAATGAAAAAAAAATAGTTCAAATGAAAAAAAAATAGTTTAAATGGACTAAAAAATAGTTCAAATGGACAAAAAAATAGGTTAGGTTAGGTTAGGTTAGGTTAGGTTAGGTTAGGTAAAAAATAGTTCAAATTAAATATTTTTTTGTTCATTTGAACTATTTTTTTGTCCATTTGAACTATTTTTTTGTCCATTTAAACTATTTTTTGTTCATTTGAACTATTTTTTTGTTCATTTGAACTATTTTTTTTTGTCCATTTGAACTATTTTTATGTTCATTTGAACTATTTTTTTTGTTCATTTGAACTATTTTTTTATTCATTTGAACTTTTTTATATTCATTTGAACTATTTTTATGAATTCATTTGAACTATTTTTATGAATTCATTTGAACTATTTTTTGTTTATTTCATTAATAATATTTTAATAGTTCAAATGAAAATAGTTCAAATGAACTAAAAAATAGTTCAAATGAGCAATATATTTACTCGTTTGAACTATTGTTCATTTAAACTACTCACGTGGTCCCACGTGCAGTAGTTGAAATGAACACAGTTCAAATGAACAATAGTTCAAATGGCAGTAGTCCAAATGAGATAGCATCTTCATCGTTACTGAGATTTTTACTGATTTATGATTGAAATTTAAATGAATCCTCAAATTTCAGAGAAAGAATCAACTAATGATAAACCGCTCCTAGAAATTTGATTTTAATAGTGGGATTGAAATAATCATAAAGGAAACATAACTTTTTCTTATACTTAATTGGTCCTGTTTAAGGGGGGATGGTTCTAGAATGAGGCATATTCCTGAAACTCCCCCCCACACTTTCCAATCCATGCTTGCCCCCCCCTACAGGGGGGGGGCAAGACTTCTTAAGGGAGGGGCATGCCCCCCCCCTTAATCAGGCTAGGGGGGGCCTGGCCCCCCCATAGTTGCGCGCCTGCTTCAGGGTTTCCAGTCGTAACTACGTTACATGTAATTATGCGTAATTACGCGTAACACTTTCTTTCACTTACGCAGGAGCATTATGTGTAATTACGCATTTATTACGTTTACGAAAGAAAGTCGAGTTTTGCGTAATTAATGCGTAATTACGCAAAATTACGTAATACGAAACAATTCCGTAATACAAAAGTACATATTACTTCTCACAAATAATTATAGCGGGAAAGTATTGTAAGACCCGCTACAACCATGTCAAACATATTTTGACAATTTTACATTTTTTTCAAACAAGGAAGATAAACTTGAGAAAGTAGGTTGAAATATTAACAAGTCGTCAAAAATTGAAAAAGGAATTGAGTCTTTGCCAAAAAATTTTATTTTCTAATCCCTATATTTTTGCAACCTAATGCCGTAGACCTTAGATATTTCAAACTATGAATTCTGTTATAGATTAAATAATCAAAGTTTGAAATATAAAAGGTTTCCACCATTAGGTTCCTAAGATATAAGGATTAGAAAAGTTGAGCTAGTGGCAAAGACTCAATTCCTTTATAGATTATGTATTTTTTTGATAAAAATAAATTGTTGGCCCTTTGTTAAACTTTTTAGTTGTCGAACATAAAAATTACATCAACATAGTATTGGCTGAAATTTCTGATTCAACTTGCGTGAAATTATTTTCCTTGTAAGTTAGTTGTTTTATTTAAATTAAAAATTAAATCTTCAAAATCTCATAGATGTAATTATTGCAAAATTTCACAAAATTACTTAATAGATCTTACCCAAAATTATGATGTAATTTCGCGAAATTGAAGTTTCGCTAATTATTCGCAAAATTATCTCATAGATATTACGCGAAATTACACCGTAATTACGCGTAATTATAGTTTCGCTTATTACGCGTAATCATTACCTAATTTCGCGAAATTACGTTGTAGAAATTACGCGAAATTATGCCGTAATAACGCGTAATTATAGTTTCGCTTATTACGCGTAATCATTACTTAATTTCGCTAAATTACGTTGTAGAAATTACGCCGTAATTTCGCGAAATGGATATTTTCCCAATTACGCATAATCCTGCGAAATTACATGAAATGAAAATTATTACGCGTAACTGCACGTAATTACGCGTAAGAGAATAATCTATTACGTTGGAAACCCTAGCCTGCTTTCCCCAATCCCCGATAAAATACAAGTAGTCCAGATGATGAAGCATATTAAACTGCGTAGAAACTATAATTTACAAACTAAACTCCGCGATCTTCCGATCCTCAGTCAGCTGACATTGCATTAAATGGAGGACCAACATTCATTCGTTCATTTTCACATAAAGCGATATATTCGCCTTTTATGATTCTTCAAACTATAATCACTAATTCATCTAGTTCCAGCATTTCCTAAATGTAGTCTGCCCTTTTTTTGTTAGTTTAAATTACCGGATATATTCAGAATTTAGTTAATATATATCAAATGAACTAAAATTTGAAAGTTAAAAGTTTTATAGATTTCTATCTCAGCAACAGTTAAAGATGTGATTTTTTAAACAAGTTGTTCTTTGTTTTTGAGATTTAAATCTGGTAATTTTCTAATATACGATCTTAGGTTAGGTAAGGTTAAGACAACTTCCGGGCTGAGCGCTACGGCTAGGACAGGGGGGGGCGCCCCCCGCTCAGTTTCAGGGGAGGGCGCACCGTACTGCCCCCCCCCCTATTTGCGCCTCTGAATGTTGTTATGAGAATACCAAAAGACAAATTCCGGGCTGAGCGCTGCAACCAGGACAGGCTAGGGAGCCGGGTGCTGCTGGTCAATTATATTCATGTCTTACATAAGATCCATTGTACAAAATTGTTAAGAGGGGGCCGGGGGGAGTCAAAAAATCGTATATTAGGAAATTACCACATGAAACTTTCAAATGTATTATTTTTGGTGTTGGTTAGGTCATGACAATTTCTAGGTGCAGCGCTGCGGCTTTGACAGGGTGGGGGGCTTAGTCTTAGAGAAAGATTTATTAATCTCGAATTCTCCTGCCGCCCCCCCCTTTATCAAAATATCTAGATGTAGTTTGTATTATTTGAGGTAGGTTAGGGTAAGACAATTTCTGGGCCGAGCGCTGCTGTAAGGACATGCTACGGGGCTAAGTGCTGCGGCCACACGTTCAACATTTCATGTTAATTTTTGACGTAGAAGGGGACCAAAGATCTTTTTCCTAGGAAATTACCGGCTAGGGGGACGAGCACTGTGGCAAGCATAATCTAGAGGCCAAGCACTTTGTCTACTTGCCCAACTAGGCCCACGGGTTACATATGAGATACATATGTTACTCAACTCCTACATAACCCTTTAGTAATACAAATTAGATTTAATATATTCCTATAGATAATAGGATACAAGGTGATGATATTTTCAAATAATTTTTTCTAATTTCAGAAGCATGTCTCGTGTTGTGTCCAAGTCCCTGAGCCTACTCCAATCTGGAAGACGTAGTCTTCATGTCAGCGCTGTCTCCGCTGCCAAACAGACAATGCCCGATCCAATTGAGCATGCCACCGGTAATAAGAGAATCTTAGCTCTGAAACGGATATGATCGTAATTCCAATAAAAAGATGAATAAAACGTGTGGTCAGTTCTAGAAATTATGAAATAAAATCAACATTTATAAGAATACTGAACTACGTCGTATACAGATTCTTTTTTTTAATAATTTAAATTTTTGAGTAAATTAAAACGTCGAAACAGAGCTATTTTAGTAAATTAGTATTCTGTGCTCAATTTGGCAACTTAGAAATAAATCTTAAAGCTATTGGATGCTTTGTATGTTAGGGATAATGAAATCTTTGCATGATTTTCAACCCCCCCCCCCCCCTCCCCCTGTTTAAAAATTCAGGCTTTTAAAATCCCTTTTATAGCAAATTTTCCACGCCCAACAAAATTTTGTGGCGAAAATGAAATGGTTTGCACTTTAAAACATTTAAATACATCTTACTCAATTCAACACCAATCACCTATATGTAATTAATTTTGAGCGAAAATTTCGTAGTTTAAAGATTATTCAGGTTTGATTATGATGAAATGATTATAATAAATTCTGTCAGGTTTGGAGAAATATGAGCTTCTGGCTAAACAGGCTGGGAACGATGATCCTTTCTTTCTCAAGGCTTGTGCGAGAGGCCCGGTAAGTCTATAAAATTATAGTTAGTTTTTCATAGGTNCCTGTGTTTAATTAACATATCTCATTAAGAATGATTCGGAGGACGTTCAAATTTTCTGACCTTCTTCCCTAAAAAAAAATTATGGACAATGCTTTAAGCCTTATATTAGGCATTTTCACCAAATATTTTACCATTGTAACATCAGAGAAATAAAAACTAATTGGGATTCAATGATAAACCCGAGGGCGTAGCCCAAGGGTTTATCATTGAATCCCGCTGAACAAGAGCATAAGTGAAATATAAAAACTTATTTGTAAGCCTTCATGATGTTAATTGTTCCAACTTGATAAAGTCGTATTTCACACGAATTTTGAAAAATTATAATTTCTTTGGTATTTGCTCATGGAACCTCACAAATATGACATAATATTAATCTTGTGTGGATAAAGATGTAATAATGGAATTCTTAAACTCGATAAAATAATCTTGATGCATTTTTTAACTCAGGCCTTCGTTAAAGAATACATAATTATTATTTCATTTCATTTAAGAATTTCCATTATTACATTTTTTTCCTCATAAGATTATCATTTTCTTAATACAACCTTTTGTATAAATATTATTGTATATTGTAGGGAACCAAGGCTGAACCTACTATTGTATAACTATTATTGTATAGTGTAGGGAACCAAGTCTGAACCTACTATTGTATAACTATGATTGTATAATGTAGGGAACCAAGGCTGAACCTACTATTGTATAACTATTATTGTGTATTGTAGGGAACCAAGTCTGAACCTACTATTGTATAAATATTATTGTATAATGTAGGGAACCAAAGCTGAACCTACTATTGTATAAATATTATTGTATATTGTAGGGAACAAAGGTTGAACCTACTATTGTATAAATATTATTGTATATTGTAGGGAACCTAGGCTGAACCTACTATTATATAACTATTATTGTACATTGTAGGGAACCTAGGCTGAACCTACTATTGTATAAATATTATTGTATATTGTAGGAAACCAAGGCTGAACCTACTATTGTATAAATATTATTGTATATTGTAGGGAACAAAGGCTGAACCTACTATTGTCAACGCTATGGACACCTACAGGAGTGTTGGTTGCGTCTGTAACGAGGAGGATACTAACATCAAGTGGATGTGGCTCTGCGAGGTGAAAAAGAAAATTCATAAAAAAAATTAATTATAATTTTAATTAAATAATACCTTTAACTCACTCCGTTGGAATTAAAACATAACCATCTTTGGGATTTTTCATTTGATATATAGCTAGGGTTTCCAGGCAAAAAAAAAAATGCGAAAATTCTCTTTCCGTATTTTACAAAGATTTTGGTAAAATTTTGCATTTTTTTCGAAAGTAAATTTTTTTTTAATTGAGACATTTTCGCGAAAAGAAATTCTCAATTCCTTTTCAAACATAATGTTCAGCTTAATATCTAATCAATCAAATTGTGGGTAATAGTTTGATGAGAAAAATCCTTGACTTCTGATGGATTTGATCTGACCAAAAAAAAATAATTATAGGGTGCCCCCAAGAGGTGTGCATGTGGATACTGGTTCGAACTCAAGGTAACTTTTTCCCTAAAAAATATATATCCTGGGGTGGAAAGTTTTAGGAACTACCACATTAAAAAAATTTCATCCCGTGTTCAGCGCTTTACCCCCCCCCCCAAAAAAAAAAAAATGTTTTTTTTTCTGCATTTCAGAAAACAAAAACCTTTGCGCAAGCATACCTTTCTACTGGGAGGGGAAGGGGGGGGGGAAGTAATTATTTTCAGTAGGCGGGGGAGCTATTTTTCATGAAAATAAACACCCCTGGATTAATCTATTTTGAAATTTAAAAAATATCATATTTTCAGGTTCACGCTGCCCCTGATAAATATAGCCTGCCCCTGTAAGTTTGTGAATTGAGATGTAGTCTAAAATTACGTTAATAAATCTTGATAATAAAATGTTTAATTGTTAAAAAAAACATCGGAAAAAAGTAGATTTTTTGTTTCTTCTGATTTTGATTATTAGGAATAATGTCGAAAGGGTTTATTAGCTTTCTTATTAAAATATTACTGTTTTATAACTTTATAGAAAATATTATTTGGTCGTAACATAAAGAAATTCTATTTGTGATATTAACAGACCTGAATGCAAGAAAACCCAAGAAAAGAACATGCTAAGGTGTATACTGAGGTCGCTAATCTGTCGAAGGGTTCCTGGAAACCTATCTTAGCCGGGAAACTAAAATTTTCAAATTCATACTTCTAAACCAAGCTTAGAACATTTTTTGAGGTTCTACAGAGTTCTCAACCAAAATTTGAGGCAAAATGGACATTGGGTTCATCGACATTTAGAATGACAGTGATTACTTCTTTCAATATATAATTACTAGCTTAGGAAACCAGCTTTGCCTGGAGTTTTCTTAATAAAAATCGACCCAATCAACTTAGATTTTAACAACCGTTCTCAGAACATTTTCGTGGTTCTAACGAGTTTTCTATTCATAGTTTGAGGCAAATCGGTTAAAGAGACATTCGTACAGACAAACAGAGACTGCTACTTTATATACAGGGTTGCCCTCAAAGGATAAGACGACATAGTTAACTCTACGGAATTAACACCGTCTTTTGTCTTAGATTTAGGATTCCCCTCAACTGAAACTTTTTTCTTTCCTTTCTCAATCATTTGAAAGACCATAAAAAGACTTCATTCAAGACTTGCTATAACTTTGAAAATAGTTTTAAGCAGTGCTTAGGATCCGGATCCAAGATTTTGGCTTCCTGGATCCGGATCCGGATCCAAGAGGTAAAATATCAACCAAAAACTACAAAAAACTACTTTTTTACTCCTGAAACCCAAATCTGAGCTTTTGAAAAAAAGAGAGATTATAAAAATGTTTCCTTCTTTCTGAATGGTTCATCAAGTTTTAGGATAAAAATAAGCGAAAAAATATATAACAAATTTGAAAATTATTTTTTGTTAAAAAATTTCAGTAAATCTTGAAGAAATGACCAGGATCCCGATCCATTTTTTTTTAATGCGGATCCAGGATCCGGATCCGCATCAAATTTAAATGGATCCTTAGCACTGGTTTTAGGTCGGCTGTACAGTTTCATCCTTTGTGGGTAGCCGTGTAATATAGAATATAGAGATAAGATCCGCCTAAAATGAAGATGTTGTCGGTCAGCTAATAGTCCATATAGTAATGAAAATATGTGTCCCACGAAACTACAGAAAGATGACGACTTACGGGTCTTATTTCCGGCATTTAATCGTCAGCTTATTTTAAACACTAATCACAAAACTCATTTAGTCCTGGCATTTCTAAAATGTGGCCTGTTTTTTTGTGATAATTTTACCGAAGATACTAAGAATTCTGTTAAAATTAAAATTTATCAAGAAACCAAAATTGTGAGTAAAGTCCTCACAAATGAGAAGTTGTTAACCAAATGTTTTTCACAAGTTTATTTTCTATATGTACCAAATAAGCATTACCAATGTTTATTTATAACAATTTTTTATTTCGAAATCAAGACCGGATTTTTACTGACTTCGTTCGATTGAAGGAGTTTCTTTATCCACAATGATAACCAGAAAATTCTGAATTAGGAAGACTGCTTTTAGAATCAAGTTATAACTTTAAAACATCCAGTAAGGTTAGGAAAATACTGAATCCATTGGCGATTTAGGAAACCTACCGTGGAATAGGAAGACGACATGACCGCAATACTTAAGTACGTATTTGATGTTGTTTCAGTGGTACGCGATTATATCAATAAAGTGAGACGACTTCTGTATTTAAATTTTAATTGTTTTTTCGAAATATAAGTTTACAAGTTATTCAGGGGAAATTAAAAACAAAACTTGGAACTAGGGTTTCTAGCGAACGAAACGTTTCGCGAAAATAAGTTAAGCGAAAATGCGAAAATTTTGTGAAAACCATGAGTTTTATTGGTGCAACAATTAATTGCTCAAAAGAACTTGTGGAATTCTCTGATATGATAGCTCAATTGTTATCATAATCATAATCATGTATAACATAAACAAGTAACAAATAACGAATAAAATTTTATTACGTATCATGTATAGTTATTAAGCAGGGTGAATTTAAAATATTCCGAAATATTTTGGTTCTTCCCGTAGTAGATTTTATTTTGTGTTTAAGAAGTTCTTAAATCTATATTTATATTTTGTGTAAATCCATCAATTAAGCCTGGATTTAGTCTTTTTTGATGAATTTTCGCAACTTTTTCTCTAAAATGTTGCATTTGTTTTGAAAAATTCTGTATTTTACACGAAATTTTGGTGATTTGATTTTGCATAATTTTCATTTTTTCCCGAAATTTTCGCATTTTTTCGCGAAACAGATTGAAGCGAAAGAAACGAAAATCTTGCATTTTTTGCGAACGAACGAAATGCGAAAATAAAGCGAAATGCTCGCGAAAAAAAAACTTCGCTAAACGATTTTTCATTTTCGCTGGAAACTAATTTCCCCCGTTATTGAAAGAAGCTTTTTTATTTACAGCTTCTCGTTGTTTACATATTTATGTGAACCCATGCTGTTTAAAAGTTAGATATAAATGAAAATTAAAATCTTCTTCATTATATTGATATCATCGCCTATCACTTGAGTAACTTATTACATTACTTATTAAGTGAAATGGGCCCGTATTTCATGTTCATTTGACTATTGTAAAGTCCTAACTTAAGTCTAAAAGTCTAAATTCCTATTTCTGGTTCTCACTGTAGTATAATACCAATTACTTAAAAATAAATTTTATACTATCTCAGATAAAATCATAGAGAATAGAATATATAGAGAGGAATTTAATGGAAAAAAGTGTAAAACGGCCATTTTGTTGTACTGTTTCCATACTGCAGGTGTACTTCATATATTTATGCTATATAACCTTTTGGGCCCTGGAATATCATTATATAGAAAATCTAAAAAACCAAATTATGAAATAGGCTGGTTTCATAATTGACCAATGATCATTTCACATAGACTCTATGCCTTCCACTTTACAAACGATGATTTTCCGTTTTAACTATAAATCAAATGATGTTTTTATTCAACTAATTCATTATAAAGTTTATTTAACAGTTTAAAAAATTCGAAATTGAAATGAATAGTCTAGGGAACATACTGTATTAATGCACTCTACTGCATATTATTTGTGAACATTTACATGATTTGTACACTTTGAACTCCCTTTCAGGCTGAAAGGGACTGAAAAAATTCATACCGAGAGATTCTTTTAATTCCTCTCTATATATTCTATTCTCTATGGATAAAATACACCCGTTTCAAGAGTAACAAAATCTAGTGTCAGATGTAGAATTATATTTATATACACATCTAGAATCACATTTACTTACACATATCTAGAATTACATTTATATACACATATCTAGAATTACATTTATATACACATATCTAGAATTACATTTATATACACATATCTAGAATTACATTTATTTACACATATCTAGAATTACATGTATATACAAATATCTAGAATCACATTCATATATACTTATCTAGAATAATATTTATTTACACATATCTAGAATCCCATTTATATACACTTATCTAGAATTACATTAATATACACATATCTAGAATTATATTTATTTGCACATACAGTGAAACCCTTAATAACGAATACATCGAAAGATTTCATTAAATGTCGTATTCTTCACTTTCTGATAATGGAATATTGCAGACATTTAGTTTTTTAATTAAATGATTATATGGAACTCTTTAAAATTGTTCCCGCATATTCATGCCTATTTATTTATTTTTGCAAATACTGAAAACGTAATATAGTATAAAATTGTCAAGACGACATTTGATAAATTCTTCCGATGTATTCGTTAGTAAGGGTTTCACTGTATCTAGAATTACATTTATATACACATATCTAGAATTACATTTATATACACTTATCTAGAATTACATTTATATGCACATATCTAGAATTACATTTATTTACACATATCTAGAAGCACATTTACATAGGTTTTTAAATTTCATGGCTTGATTCATTTATGACTATACATTTTGTCTCTTGATGTTTTGGCTTCTAAAATATTTTTTTTCAACATTTCTGCTATTAGTTTTTTTCAAGGATTTCCGTTCGAATTCTAGATATAAGCATCTTCGGTGAACTCGAACTCGTGACTTCCCCGGAAATCGAACCTGGAAAGATCGAAATTAATATAAAATCATATTTAAGTCAAAAATTAAGCCCCTCCACCCCTGGACAAATTCCTGTATACACCCTTGAATTAAAATATTAAAAACTAAATGGCATTTTTTTTATTTTCGATTTTAACACCCTCAGGCCACTCTTGAGTGTCCACCAAAAAAATCAGCCCGATCGGTCCAGCCGTTCGGCCGGCTATATACGCAACATATATATGAATGTCTTGTTTTATTATATAGATGAAGTTTATAGAACACACTGAACAAATAATATTTTACAACGGATGACTTGAATCACGAGGTAAAAGTGTTTAAACTCAGACGATTTGAAAATAAAATTTGGTCTTTTGTCTTAAATATTGTCCTTTATTGGTGTCCTAAATCATTTGGCTTAGAAAAAAAAAACATTTTTAAGCTACGCGGAATCACCAATGATGAAAAATGCTTTCGTAATTTTGTACAGTCGTCTCTGAAGTCTTATCCTTTTTGGGTAACCCTGTATAATATTAACAAACCTGTATCCATATCCGGTCCTGCTTGTGTCTTCCAACCCCTAGATATTTTTAATTGGACTGTAAGCGTAATTTCAAGGTACCCTCCATAAAAAGATAGCACTGCCCGATTAACACTGGTATCTGATAAAAAAGGGATAGTTTTTCTTACTCAAAAAGTGTTTATTTCTTTCCATTTATCCATTGTTTCTTATAGGCTAGAAATGAGCAAGTCAATTTTTGGAGAAACCACAAATGAAAATAAACAGTTAAATAAACAAAATCATTGAAATCTTATTCATCTTGATTAGAGACGAAGTTTTTAAGGAAACCGTTGTAAATCGGGAATTGCCATATTTGCATGGAGGCTCACTTATAATTGCGCTTACAGTCCCTTTAAGCTGGAAACTTTTGAATGAACGTAATGAGTTTAACTAACAAACAAATTAACCTAATCCCCGAAAAGAAATCTTTGAAACTTATCTAAGTGAAATGTTGCAACACCGTGAAATGGTATGGACGCTACGCTATCCGGCATGAGTCGTGTTAAACCCATTACTCTTTACAGATGCAACAGATAGAAGTAAGATTGAAAGCGATCACAATCGAATTCGATTCGACGTTAGCCTATGTGACAATTATTACATCCATTTTTCAATGGCTGTTCAAATATATAAGTATAAATGCCGTTTTTGAGTTATTTAGGAAAAACACACAGGGGGCCGGGGTGTTNCCCCCCCCAATCGTGACATGTTTAAAGATATAAACAAGTGTAAACCTAATTTTTTTCGTTGCTTAACCTTTGTTTATATCACGGTTTTTAAAAATAATCCAAATTTTTTTTTTTTTTAAACAAACCTGTGAGTTTATCAGAGAATCACGACTGTCATCTCTAAATGTAAAACATGTGTTGAAATTAATAGTTCAATTCTTACAAGACATAAAGTTATCTTTTGTTAATATATTATTTTTAACAACATGATGATGTTAAAAATAAGATAAAAAATTAAGTAATAAAGTACAAAGGTCGTCTTCAATTCTTGAATCTTAAGAAATTAAGAAAATATTTAACATTTTTGGAAACCATTTTGAGAATTTGTGTTCAGTTTTGCATGGATTGAAACAATTTAACATTCGTAAAATTAATTTCTTTATTTTCTACCTGATAATAGGTCGTCTAATAGGAGTGATTCCAACTTGTTCCAAACGTTCAAGCTAGGGGGGTAAATTCAATGTTAAAATGTTTTTAAAAAGTTTAGTGTGCCGTTTATGATTTATTTATTCATTCCAAAGGATTCAATTTTTCAATTGAGAAAAACTTTCAATAAATAATATTTTTGATATGTTTTATATTATAATATGTTTTATAATTTTATTTGTTTTGTATTTCGGTATGTTTTATATTTTGATAAGTTGTATATCTTGATATGTTTTATTTATTTGATTTTTTTGTATTTTGATATGTTTTTTATATGTTTCGTAGTTGTAAATGTTCTGTTTTAATATGTTTAATAGTTGAACATATTTATGTTCTGTTTTGATATGTTTTTTATATGTTTCATAGTTGTACATGTTCTGTTTTAATATGTTTAATAGTTGAACTTGTTCTGTTTTAATATGTTTAATAGTTGAACTTGTTCTGTTTTAATATGTTTGATAGTTGAACTTGTTAATGATCTGTTTTGATATGTTTTCATTTGATCAATGTTTTATTTTGATATCACTCTCCACTAAAACCCACATTTTCTTATATCAGAGCAATTGTAAATCACAGGAGTACACATTTCTTGGAATATATGTTGATTTGTTCTGTTTTGATATTGTTTATTGGCTGGAATATGTTCTGTTTTGATATGGTTTATTAGAATATGTGTTAATGATCTGTTTTGATATGTTTTCATTTGATCAATGTTTTATTTTGATATCACTCTCCACTAAAACCCACATTTTCTTATATCAGAGCAATTGTAAATCACAGGAGTACACATTTCTTGGAATATATGTTGATTTGTTCTGTTTTGATATTGTTTATTGGCTGGAATATGTAGTGATTGGATATGGTTTATTAGAATATATGTTAATTTGATATGTTCTGTTTTGATATTGTTTATTGGCTGGAATATGTAGTGATTTGATATGGTTTAAATATTAAATTTAAATTTTTCTAAAAAATATTAAAGAATTTAATTAAACCTGAGATTGAGTAACAATTGGTTCCGTTCCGTTCATTTCATATTTGTCATTTGGTCCTTTAAACAAAGATATCTTTAAAGAAACTGTGAGTATAATATCACGTGACCCCGACCAGGGAAACAAGGCAATGTCCGATTTACAACGGTACCCTTGAAACCTTAATCTGAGTAGAAATGTGGAAGATCTGACTCAAAAAGTGTATATTTTGGAGATTTTCTCCATTGCTTCTTATAAGCAATAGATGCGCAAGTCACTTTTGCAGAGAATCCACAAATAAAAATGCAGTTTGAAGAAACAAATACATGGATATCTAATTTATACTTTATAGTCAGACAAAGCTTTTAAGGCTACCGTCATAAATTGGGTATTGTCGTCGTTGCAACAGGGTCACTTGAAATCACGCATACAGTCCCTTTAAATCAATATTTTGTTTGAATTATTTTAATATACAGAGTGTCCCATTAAACATGAAAATTAAGTTAAGATTTCGCAAAATTTAGTAGTATCCCAGTAAAAACAATTAATATGAAAAAATTCCAAAATATGGTCTACCATATTTCGCCATTAAAATTGATGGTATTATATAGAGAAATTTGTCCAGATTCCAATAACAGCAAAATTGATTAAAATATTTTATGTCTCACTATGATTATCGAAAAGGGAAGAATATTTGCAATTCGTCTCATTATTCCAATGTTTATATTGATTTTCTCTTAATAAACTTAAGTTATTACAAAAAAGTTGCCAAGACTAAAAAGCATACATCTAGCAAGTAATAAATTAATATTTATCATTAAAATTTAAAAAAATGAAGATGGTATATTGTAAAACCTAAATGGTCAGACTGCAAAAAAACAAAAATAAATTCAATTCAGCTGTTTTTTGTTTTCTAGTCTTAAAAATAAATTTTTTTATTCTACCTAAGTATAAGGGTTTTTCTGCAGCTCCTACATTCACACTTTCCCTAAAAAATTAAAAATAATGCTTTAAAATTACTTAATTACTAGGTTTTGGGAATGCTTCTTTTTTCTGGTATTTTTTGCTTTAAAATGTTGAAATCCATGCCTCCACGCCACCAGAGTATCATAGATTTTTATCGCTTTACTGGTGGATTTAAAAAAAATCATAAGTTAACACTTTCCCTAAAAAAAGTAAAAATTAATAATTTAATAACACTTTTAGGGTGCTTCTTTTTCATGATAGTTTTACTTTAAAATGTTGAAATCCATGGCCCCATATTTTCTTTGTAAATCATAAAACTGAAAGTTTTGCAGATTTATCTTTTTTTGGTGGATTTAAGATAATCTTAAAGGAATTGAGTTTTTGCAACAAACTTAAATTTTCTAACCCCTATATCTTTGCAACCTGATGGTGTAAACCTTTGATATTTCAAACTTAGATTATTTGATCTACCAGAATTAATAGTTTGAAATATCAAAGGTCTAGGAAAACGGGTTGTTAAGTTATTAGAATTAGAAAATCTAAGTTTGTGGCAAAAACTCAATTCCTTTACAAAGCAAATTAATGTAAACTTTAACCGGTTATCAACACTTACAAACCCATCCTCGAGATTATGATGTAACTCAATGTAAAAAATTGGATCTGTTCGATCTAGTCTTTTTAGCGTTTATTGGATACTAAAAAAACCAACAGACTTATGCCATGAATATTTATTCATCTTTGATTTTGTTTACCTTTGCCGGATTTCTCTTAGAATTTCCTTTTCGTCTGCCAATATTTTCCTTTCTTTTCTAGGTATTGATTTTGTTCGTTCATCCAACTTCAAACAATATTCATAATTCAATGTTTATTTATGGAGGAAAATATCAAAGACCTTCAGAAATTTTTGTGTAAATTATGGAAAAGCTTTGTTCGAGTAATAAAAACTGAAAATCATTCCTTGTTAAAGGGATCTTTCTGAAAGAAATTAGAAATATTAATATTATTAAAGCAATTAAATACGTCGTTTACACAGATCTAGGCTTATTTGATTTATTGTTTTTGTTCCTCTCAACATTTAAAACCATAGAGCACTTTCTTTAGAGGGTGTGACTGGCAACGTATGGTAGTTGAACTGAGATTGCAGTATTATTGAAAAACATTTTAGGATCCATTTCAGACCTATCAGACGTTTTTACGGTGCATATTTGTTCAGCTAGCGCGCAAATGCGATCTTTAAAATCCTCATCGATCGTCCATTTCGGAGGAGTTTAATTTAAATTATTCAATAACAACGACGAAAAATGTAACAAAAATTCTACATCAAACTAATTAGTTGTTTAGGAACAGGTTGAGAAAACATAAATTAACCCTTATCATCGAAAATCTTATAAGATCAGTTATTGGTTTCTGTGATGTCTCAATGTTCAAAACCATGTTTTCTGTAGATTTCCTGGAACTTTTAATGAAAAGACGACATTTGAAGAATTTAAAGAAATCTGTGAACAAATTCATAAAGGATAAGAAAATCAATATAACGATGAAAAAGAAACAATTGATTCTAACATTGATTTATTGACAAATTTCTAATGAAAAATATGTTCCTATACATCTATTAAGTTTATTGTAGGAATTTTGTTACATTTTTCTTCGTCGTTTTGCATAATATTTATAAAACCGATTCTCAAAATCATCCCTCCAAAATGGACATTCATTAAGGATTTTAAATATTGAATTTGCGCTCTTGCTGAACAAATATGCACCATAAAACATCTCATAGGTCTCAAAAGAATCCTAAAAAAATCTCAATAATACTGCAATCTCAGTTCAACTAACATACATTGCCGGTCACTCCCTATATCGTTAAGGCTTAGATTATGAGAAGTAATTGGCAAAATTCTCATAGATTTTCACATTAGAGCTTGCAACATTTGGATCACTGTGCGTCTTTAAAAGTATTATTTTTTAATTCTTGAATCCCTTTCTGAGTTCTGAAAGTTTTCCTTTAAAAATGTATGTTTTATATCTGAATATATTTCCTGAGTTAGATCTAACTTTGATCCATTCTTGTTAATCCTTTCTGCGGAGTCAGCTGATCCATTTTCTTGAACCCTTTCGGAGCTTATACAAGGAGTTTCCTGACAAAACCCGGTTTTTCTCACTGCTGATTCTTTGGGTGCTGGTGTCAAAATGGCGCTCTGAGCACACTCCGGTATTTTAACATTTCTCTGCAGATCTTGATCCCCTTTAAAATCTAAATATAGTTTCTGTTTCAGGAACAATTTTTTCCGTGCATCAAAAAATAATGATTTTTCTTTCTTACCAATTGATGCTAAGGTGGGAGCTGGGGGCTTCATCTCAAACTCTTCAGCTGTCTGAAGTGCAGCCCCAGGTTTACAAGCTATTACAGCAGGTTCAATAGGTTTCCGAGCACCAGATGGTGGCAAGCTTGATGTATGTGTTACCGGACCTGGGACCGAATTTAATGAATTATAGCTAGGTCGCTGAACTACCTACTCATAGTTATTTAAATTCTTTAAATCGGTGATTCAAGAATTGAACCGCGCGGTAGGTAGTTTAGCGACTTCTCCAATTCATAAAATTCGGTCCCTGGAGTTTTAAATGCAGTTGCTCCACCGGAGGTAGAAGATTGCTTCCCTGCTCCTCCTTCTTTAGAGGTATGGGAGCTGGAGGTTGTGGGGATACTCAATTGGGAATTCTTCTCACCCTGCGTAAGAAATAATTTTAAATGTACTGTAAGTATAATTGCAAAGATATCAATGCCCGATTTACAACGGTACCCTTGAAACAGTTCTCTGATAAAAATGTGGAAGGACTGTTGTTTTCTGGCTCGAAAAGTGTTTATTTCTGATAATTTCGCTACATATATAAACAGTCATCTACAAACATGCTGCTGACTGTTTAGTAAATCTCTTTCAGGCTAGATAGGCAGGGCGGTCCGCGTCAATGATTCATCTATGACTTCCTGACCTATGATGTAACCTCATTTTTTTAAACACTCTTTTAAAGGGAGGGGGGCAAAGGTAACAAATCAATGTATTTTTTGTTCATTCAAATGTTTTATTTACTTTGAACATTATTTAATCTACATTTTTTAAAGTAAGCTATGCATTTATTTTAATATACCTGACGTTTTCCATTGTTTGAAAACGAATCCTCTTTTTTGACAGATTTTTCTTTTCCGCGTTTTGGCCTAGAAAATAAAATCATTTAGTTATAATACTAGTATCTTGAAAATAATCAAATCATTCTAGTTTTCGGAATCAAGAAAAAAGCTTAGTCAATTTTCTATTAACATTAAAAAACCGCAGGTTTTTGAAAATTAAAGGAAGATTCTTTTGTGAACGAACGGCAAAAACGTTAATTTTGAGATCGTTAACGAACGAAAAATACCTTACACAACCAAAAGAATGGAAAAAACGGACAAATGGATAAAAAATACTTTACGAAACAAAAAGAATGGGATAAAAAGGTGTTGACAGATAACGGCAACACGCTAGACAAATCCGGATAATAGGCCGGTTAGGATTTTGAAAGGGGTGTTTATTATCCCCAGACGATTCTTTCCCGATGGCCGAACAATACACACACAACAGAGTAACCCCGTCACAGAAATTCGATAACAAAATCTTTATTTCCTAAAAAATAACATAAATTATAGGTCGTGTTTAATTGTACAATGTTATAATGAATGTTAATAGTAGAAAAAATCTTACGAATTATTTAAGTATAGAAGGGGTGACTTATTTGTTGATCAGTATTGATATACGTTTTTTTAACTTCTGAAAAATTATAGTTGAATATTTAACGAAATTCACTTATGCTTCTTATGAAAATATTTTGCTTAACTTTAATGATTTCACAACAACAAAATATTTTAAGCTCCGTCGGAGGAGGACAATGGAATTTGCGGGCTGAAAATTTGGTTTGGCTGTCTCCGACAGGAGATTCCAGTATAAGACGACATTTTATAGAGGTTTTGAAATTAATGGTTAACAAAAGGACAATTGGATAAAAATAACGACTTTTGTTGATTTTCTGCTTAAGAAATGAATGAATGAATGAATGAATGAAGATTGACGAAGAATTAATTCCCAAAAATATTATTTTTATTTTATTATTTTAATTTTCAGATAATTCGCAATTCTAAATAATCTTGGTAAACGTGGTAAAACTTTAGAAAACTTTATCTACCCTATAGCTGCTATAAGTAGAAAGCGCTGTCAGCAAACAATTACTGTTTTCTTTAGAAACTGCTGATCAAGATGGTTCTTATCCAAAATACATTTTATAAAGCTAGATATAATCAGATACACGGAGAACCAGGAAGCTATTGTCAATCAATTTTTGAGACTGGCTCAACTTTGAAGTGTTTTACCTCATATTAAGCCACTTATACATTTTGTTTTTTTTAGACGCTTAATGTCTTCGCCACAAACTCTGATTTTCTAATCCCTATATCTTTGCAGCCCACATGTCGTATGACCTTATATATTTCAAACTATGAATTCTGCTAAATCTATAGTCTAAATTTTAAGTATAAAAGGTTTACACCATTCACTTCCATTAGGTTGCACAGATATAGGGACCGAAAAAATTGAATTTGTGGCAAAGACTGAATTTCTTTGTAAAACTTACTTGTTTGAGTAGAGGTCAGCTTTCCTGGCCTTGACCTTATCCTTCCTTCTCACAAGGTCATTGTTAAACCTCACCATATCATTCCTAAACAAACAACATATTATTAATTAGGCCTTTGGGGCGCTTCTCGCACTCATCTTCTATTTCAACTTTAACTGTGGCTTTATCTTTGAGCATCTTCTCTTTGTACAGTATAAAACAAAATTTTACAAAAAATAAAAAAAACTTTTAAGCACAAATTTTGAAATTTTGATTATTCATAAATCTTCCAAAGGGTCACATGAGGTCCCACACAAAATTTGGGACCGATCGGTAAAGCCGTTTTGACTTTTATTGGATACAAACAAACAAACAGACAGACAAGCTAAATTTATATATAGATGGGACTGTCATTGTAAATTTCAAGAGACGGCCCATTTAAAGTGGTCTTTGCTTAATCCTCTATTGACCCTTTAAACTGACTTGCATAATCTGTATGTGTACTGTACAGCCTGCTCTAGCTGCTTAAAAGAAATACTTACAATCAGCAATGAAATGCTTTACCCTTTAAAATACTGTTTTATGTGCACTGCCTGCGTCCCAAGTTAAACAATCTTTCCATAAAAAACCCTGAGTTTTTATACCGTAAGAACTAGAAAGACGACATTGAAATCAAATGTATTTTATGGTATGACAAAGCAAATATTGAGTGAAATGGGTCTGTTTAAACTGCACAATTGCCGCGTCTCATGTTCATTGGACAAAATACAGTCAAAACATCGTCCTCCTGTTCCAAAGTTGTATGGCTCTCACAAGATTTTGTGTTTAGTATACCTTGACATTACTTTATGATGTTGAATAAAACACGCTGCACTCCCTAGCAGTGTTAATGTTAACACCACACCACCAGTAGAAAATAGGACATAGGGCAGGTAACCTGAACAAAAATTAGACAAATTATCTCATAGAAAAAAAGGACTGTGAGCGTAATTTCAAGTGACTCTCAATGTAAAGTGGGCAATGCCAGATTTACAACAGTACCCTTGAGAGATTTGACTGATTAAGCATTTATTAGTTATCAATGCTTTTCTTTCCTTAAGCTGTTTATTTTTATTTGCGGGTTCTCTGCAAAGCTATCTTGTGCATTTCTTGTTCTTAAGAATCAATGGAGAAATTCATAGAAATATTACATTTTTTGAGTCAGAAAAACGACGGTATCTTCAACATTTTTGATAAGATTAAAGTTTCAAGTTTACTGTTGTAAATTGGGCATATTGCCTGGCACTACAGTTCCTTGTAAAGTTGGTACAAAGTAACTTAATTAACTTACATCCTGTTTCGTCCTCCTGTTCCTGGCACTACAGTTCCTTGTAAAGTTGGTATAAAGTAACATAATTAACTTACATCCTGTTTCGTCAGATAAATCCCCATCTAGGCAATCAAATACTCCGTCACAGGCAACACTAAAGTAGAATTGTTAATTTGAAAAACAGAAAAGGTATTAAGTAATAAAGTTACAATTTTAGTCCTTAACTGCATCAGAGATCAAAGTTCTTTGCACGTATCTACATATGTATAAAGTTGTAATTGCTGTTTGTCTATCTATTTGTCTGTTTGTTTGTCCGATCATAACTTAGGAACCCCTAGACCGATTTGCCTCAAATTTTGATTGGGGAACTCTTTTAAACATACCTGGAAGGCAGGCAGAGGTAAAAAGACGAGTTACATGTAGTTTCTGCCTCTTTGTATACTTTATAACCTACCTGGAAGGCAGGCAGAGGTATAGAGAAAAGTTACAGGTAGTTCCTGCCTCTTGGTATACTTTATAACCTACCTAGAGGGCAGGCAGAGGTATAGAGAAGAGTTACAAGTAGTTCCTGCCTCTTGGTATACTTTAATACCTACCTGGAAGGCAGGCAAAGGTAAAAAGAAGAGTTACAAGTAGTTTCTGCCTCTTGGTATACTTTATAACCTACCTGGAAGGCAGGCAGAGGTTTAGAGAAGAGTTACATGTAGTTCCTGAAACTTGGTGTACTTTATAACCTACCTGGAAGGCAGGCAGAGGTAAAGAGAAGAGTTACAGGTAATTCCTGCCACTTGGTGTACTTTATAACCTACCTAGAGGGCAGGCAGAGGTACAGAGAAGAGTTACATGTAGTTCCTGCATTCAGATCAGCACAGAACCTTGAATGTTTGCACATAACTCCTTGGTCTCTCCCACATTCAACTGAAAAATTCAAAAATCTAATTATCCTTAAAACTAATTACATGTTGCACTGTGCACATATATAGAAAACCTCCTCTGATTTCAGAGGTTTCTTGAATATGTATCTGTTTCTTTTTCCCTAGAAGCGGGTAGAAGTTTTACTAAATCCCTGGTGATAACTCTAATTCCCAGGAATGTCTCACTAATGTTAATGTTGAAAAACATTGTGAAAATTCATTAGGAAAGCTATTTTTAAGCACATATTTAATATTTATATTTTTTCTTCAGACGCCTATTAAAGGGACAGTAAAGGAAAAATGAAAGGGGGTATAGGCTGAAAGCTAATCACTTTAGCTCTTGATCGCGACCTATGAAAGTTTTATCTGATGTCCCTGTCTCGAGAAACTGATATAAAACTGTGTTAAAATTATACGAAAATTCATATATGTAAAATTTAGAAAATCTGAAACTTAAATCACGTGACCAGAACTATAACCAATGGCAGAGCAGTATACTGGTCACGTGTCTCCGCCTGTATCACGTGACCACTTTACTGCACTGCCATTGGTGGAATTTCTGGTCAAGTAATACGGACGTAAAAATAATATTATGGATGAAATCTATTGAAAATAAAAACAACAAATATGAAAGTAAACCTAAATTACAATTAGCTTTCTCTGGGATATCATCGTTTTCAGATTGGTTGCTTATTTGCTTAATATGATCTGTTAAAACCCACTACTTTTATACAAAATTGTATATATATTAATTTTCGTATAGATTTGACACAGTTTTATATCAATTTCTCGAGACAGGAACATCAGATATGACTTTCATGGGTCGAGATCAAGAGCTAAAGTGATTAGCTTTCAGCCTATACCCCGTTTTCATTTTTCCTTTACTGTCCCTTTAATTGCGCAGCTTCTAAATTTCCTCTCCCGTAGTTAAGGGTAGTATTCTACTAAGGGTAGTATTCTACTAAGGGTAGTATTCTACTAAGGGTAGTATTCTACTAAGGGTAGTATTCTACTAAGGGTAGTATTCTTTAAAACGTTACATTCAAAAATTGGATCCAACGTTGGATAATTAGCTTTAACCTGAAGTTTTAAACTGATATTTATCAATATCCTGAAGCCGATGCTTTTGATCCTTCTGTGTCATATACTTCTTCAGCTTTGCAGCAATAGTTTCAGATAGTTTAGCAGATACATCATCCCCAGCAGTACCCCCAGCCTTTAGATCCTCTTCAAAACTAAACCTGGAAAAGGATTTCAGATGAATTAGAAATTTCAAGGTTTGGATTTTTCTCCAGGATTGGGCGCTCTTAACGGAAAGCGATTGTTTTTTCTTAATATGATTTATCACATTTTTCTAAAAATTATTAACACCGTTAGAAACGTTCAAATAACGAAATGGAAATGAATGATCCAACTGGATTTCCTCATTAACAAAGATTTTGAAACATAAATAATATGCTCAGCCCTAGTGTTCACCAGGTACCTGCCAAGGTAGGATGTAGATGGGTCAAGTACGCCAACCCACTTTATCAGAACAGTCACCTCACCTAGTAAAGATAATCAGAATGAACAACAATAATATTAACAATAATAATAAGAATAAAAATACTGATAACAATAATAATAATAATAATAATAATAATAATAATAATAATAATAATAATAGTAATAATGATAATACTGATAATAATAATAATAATAATAATAATAATAATAATAATAATAATAATAATAATAATAATAATAATAATTTTAATATTATCATTTTACCTGTAAAATCTTTGATTTCTACAGGTTTAGTTACATTACTGTGACAGAGTTTAGCGTATGTGTTGGAGGATTGTATTACAACATATTCACTCAGACAACTAAAAATAAAGGAATCGAGTTTTTCCCACAAATTCGAATTTTCTTATCCCAATATCTTTACAACCTGATGGTGCAAACCTTTGATTTTTCCAAATATGGAGATTAGAAAATCAAAATTTGTGGCAAAAACTCAATTCCTTTCTAAAACGAGAACCAGAAAACTGTGGAATAGGAAGACGACGTATTATCAATACTTATCACTTATTCAATTGAATAGGTCTGTTTATACTACAAATTTCTGTGACTTACAAGTTCATTGGACTATTTAAAATCATAATTTGAGTCTTACTGTCGTCTTTCTATTCCATATTTATATATTATATACTATATTATTTTATATATATATTCTTCTAAATTCAACAGTCTCAGATCCGTGAAACAAAACTCTTTCTATAATATATATTCACAATTCAAGAGTTCCAGCTTTCTATATAAGTATATCCCTAGCTCCTTTGCCCAATTTATATCTCAAAAAGCTGGAACTCTTGTATTGTGAATATCGAGAGCAATGCTTAATCTTGATCTTTTATTAATCTGCAGATTATTTCATCTTTATTTGATATCCCGCATGGGGATTGAAGGGAGCTTTGTTCAGGGGAGAAATAACAAAAATAGAGATACGGAAAGGTATAGTTTTTATAGATCCTCAATTCAAAAATGACCCTAGTGGGTATCGAAGTCAATAATAACAATAATAACAAATTATATAAGTACATACATATTTTATATTTTTCACCTTTTCTTCTCTCGCTTAGAAGCAAATATTTTATTGTTTACGTCTAGCCGGAAAAATCCAGTTTTTTCAGTTTTAAACCTAGATAAAAATCTGTGTGAAATGTTTTCAATTGTATAGTTTTGGAAAATAAAAATAAAAGTTTTTAATTGTCCCAGTAATTTCGCAGATTTTTTTCTAAAATTTTTAAGATTCATTTTGATGTACGTTTACCAGATAAGACAGGGGGTTTCCACATCCAACAGATGGGGTCCAAACACCTGAAATAAAATACTGATCTAACAGAAGATTCTTTTATAGATAAATGTTTATATTTCTCTTGTTCCAAATTATTGAAATAAAATGTTGCCTGGGACTGAGTAGTTGAATCTAGATTGTAAGAGAAAAAACAGGTGTCCGCTTCCCCTACAGTAAACCTAAACATTGCAGTACACCTAACTATTACAGTACACCTAACTATTACAGTACACCTAACTATTACAGTAAACCTAAACATTGCAGTACATCTAACTACTATTACAGTACCCCTAACTATTACAGTACACCTAACTAATACAGTACACCTAACTAATACAGAACACCTAACTATTGCAGTACACCTAACTATCCCAGTGCATCTAACCATTACAGTACACCTACACAATAATGCGTATGATTATGAAAGCATTTCAGTACAGCTAAGCATTAATTTACAACTAAGCATTGCAGTTTACCTAAGCTCTGCAGTACAAATACACATTGCAGTACACCTAAACAATTCAGCACACTTAAAATTGCAGTACGCATAAACATTTAAAATTGCAGTACACTTAAGCATTGCAGTACACCTAAACCTTAAACTTTGCAGTAAACATGAACATTCAATTTTTCAGTACACTTAATGATTAATATAGAATTTAACAATAAAGTACACCTAAACATAAATGTACACATTAGCATTGCCGTACATCTAAACAAATTGCAGTAAACCCAAACATTGATGTACACATCAATGTTTAAAAAGAAACTATCACAATAAATTTGGGAAAATGCAAGGTTATAATGCAAGGAAAGTTATTTCAGAGGTGTACGCATCTTTTGTACTGCAGTGTACTGTCTCTGGGCGGTAATGTAAACACATTTCACATAAAAAATCAATGAAATATTCTGGTCATAGGAAACTATTATGTGAATTATCAAAGTTATCAAAATTTAATGCTTATAACCTTCTCGGATACTAAACGAACACCTGATGCATCTATTCTTGTTTACAAATTCCGCCCAGAGAGAACTGGTTTCAATATGTAAGCAGAGCATACGCAACTGCAATGAACTTTCCTTGCATTATAACCTTGGAAAAATGAAAACAAAAAGTGTAAAGCTACATTAATTTTCTCTTTTAAAAACATTTTTATAATAATAAAACCCTTTCCTAGATAAATGGTTAGATACTGAAATAAGTAAGAAGTAAAACACTATGACATAAATGTTTTGCTTTAGTTCTGTGAAAATATTTACTGCGGATATTTTAAATAATGTTATATTAAGTCGGCCAATAGATGACATATTATATTTTTAAAACTATACTTACATAAATAAACTGCTGAGGAGATATAGAAGAAAAATCATTGTTTTGCTTTCAGAACTTGTGTAGTGTTGAGTATCTACCTAGATATATACTGTTCTTCATTCTTACAGCCTCTCTCAAATAGATAGATAGATAGATAGGTGAATTGTTGGATAGATAGATAGATAGATGGAGGATGATATAGAGATGGCCTCCCTTCATCTTCCAGCACAATTTCTCTCCTTCTCTGTCCCCCGAGGTTCCTGAGGTCGCAGAGTTGGTAAAATAAACATGAGGAAATTTCGGAGTTTAGATATTTTGAGAAAATTCCGGAGATTGAAAATTTTAAGAAAATTCCGGAGTTTAGATATTCTGAATAGATTCCTGGTAGATTCCGGAGTTCAATTCTGTATTAAGAGTTTAGATAATATGAGTAGATTCCAGAATTTAGATATTCAGTGTATTATTCTGGCGTTTACAGAGTTTAGATATTCCAAGAAGATTCAGAAGTTAAGATGTTCTAAGTATTATTCTGGAGTTTGAATATATACGAGTAGATTCCAGAGTTTAGATATTCCGAGTAATATTCCGGAGATTAAATATTCCGAGTAAATTCCAGAGTTTAGATATTCCGAGTAATATTCTGGAGATTAAATATTCCAAGTAGATTCCGAAGTTACGATATTTTTAGTAAATTCTGTAGTTTAGATATTCCGAGTAATATTCTAAAGTTTAGATATTCTGAGTAGATTCCGGAGTTTAGATATTATAAGTAGATTCTATAGTTTAGATAATACAAGTAGATTCCAGAGTTTAGATGTACTGAGAAGATTCCGGAGTTTAGATATTCCGAGTAGATTTCAGAGTTTAAATATTCCGAGTAGATTCCAAAGTTAAGATATTCTTAGTAGATTTTGTAGTTAAGATATTCCGAGTAATATTCTAAAGTTTAGATATTCTGGCTAGATTCTAGAGTTTAGATGTTATGATAGGATTCTGGAGTTTAGATATTCTAAGTAGATTTCGGAGTTTAGATATTCCGAGTAGATTCCGAAGTTTTGATATTCTAAGTAGATTCTATAGTTTAAATATTCTGAGGAATATTCCGAAGTTTAGATATTCTAAGTAGATTTTGTAGTTTAAATATTCCGAGTAGATTCCAGAGTTTAGATATTCTGAGAAGATTCCAAAGTTTAGATATTTCGAGTAATATTCCTGAGTTTAAATATTCTAAGTAGATTCTATAGTTTAGATATTCTTAGTAGATTTCAGAGTTTAAATATTCCGAGTAGATTCCAAAGTTAAGATATTCTTAGTAGATTTTGTAGTTAAGATATTCCGAGTAATAGTCTAAAGTTTAGATATTTTAAGTACATTTCGGAGTTTAGATATTATAAATAGATTCTATAGTTTAGATACAAGTAGATTCCAGAGTTTAGATTTACTGAGAAGATTCAGCAGTTTAGATAATACGAGTAATATTCTGAAGTATAGATTCTAGAGTTTAGATTTTATGATAGGATTTAGGACTTTAGATATTCCAAGTATTATTCTGGAGTTTAGATATTCTGAGTAAATTTAAGAGTTTAGATATTCTGAGAGGATTCAGGAGTTTAGATAATACGAGTAATATTCTGAAGTATAGATATTCTGGCTAGATTCTAGAGTTTAGATGTTATGAGAGGATTTAGGAGTTTATTTGGAGTAATAATCTGGAGTTTAGATATTCTGAGTAGATTCAGGAGTTTAGATAGTCTGAGAGGATTCAGGAGTTTAGATATTTCAATTATTATTCTGGAGTTTAGATATTCTGAGTAGATTTAAGAGTTTAGATGTTCTGAGAGGATTCAGGACTCAGGAGTTTAGATAGTTCGAGTATTATTAGGGAGTTTAGATATTCCCAGTATTATTCTGGATATATATTCAGAATAATATTCTGGAGTTTAGATATTCCCAGTATTATTCTGGATATATATTCAGAATAATATTCTGGAGTTCAGATATTCCCAGTATTATTCTGGATATATATTCATAATAATATTCTGGAGTTTAAATTATGAATAATGTGCTGGAGTTTAAATTATGAATAATATTCTGGAGTTTAAATTATGAATAATATTCTGGAGTTCAGATAAATCGAGTTTTCAGAGTTTATATGTTCAAGTAAATTACGGAGTGTAGATATTCCAAGTAATGTTAGCTAGAGTTTAGTTATTCTGAATAATATTCTGGAGTTTAGATGTTCTAGGGGGCCGTGCGCTGTGGCTAGGACCGGCAATTGGGGCCAAGCGCTGCGGCTTTGGCTGTGGAAATCGTTAGAATATAGTCTTTTTAATTTGAAGTTGAGAGAGGAAGACATTAAATTAGTTTTATGAGTCCGTTTTTTAAGGCATTTCCGTGATGATTTTAAGAATCGGGTTTATAAAAATTATTCAAAAACGACGAAGAAAAATGTAAATAAATTTCTACAGTGAACTAATTGTATGTTCAGAAATATATTTCTCATTTGAAATTTGTCAATAAATCAATGTTAGAATCAATAGTTTCCTTTTCATCATTATATTGATTTTCTTATTCTTTATGAGTTTGTTCGCAGGTTTCTTCAAATTCTTCAAATGTCGTCTGTTCATTAAACATTCCAGGAAATCTACAGAAAATGGTTTAGAACATTGAAACATTACATAAACCAATAACTGAATAAGATTACTTATTTTCGATAATAAGGGCTAATTTTTATTTTCTCAACCTGTTCCTAAACAACTAATTAGTTTACTGTAGAATTTTTGTTACATTTTTCGTGGTCGTTATTGAATAATTTAAATTAAACTCCTCCGAAATGGAAAATCTATGAGGATTTTAAAGATCGCATTTGCGCTCTTGCTGAACAAATATGCACCATATAAACGTCTGGTAGGTCTCAAATGAATCCTAAAAAATGTTCAATAATACTCCAATCTCAGTTCAACCACCATACAATGCCGGTCACTCTCTTTTAACTGTTTTAATACACAAGATTCATTCACCTCAGCCTATAAGCTGAGGGGTCCGGAAAGCAGAAACAAATTAAATATCACCTATAGTCGATTTTGATTTAATCAACATGCACATCCAAACCCCTGTTAATACCGTACATAGAGAAAAGTTAGCGCTTTCTTGGACAACATTTTTTTAAATATTTACTTTTAAATTGATTTTACGCGCGGGCTTTAAAGTTAAAAAGTTCTGGATTTTATTGACTTTTCACTTTGTGATCATGTCATAAATTGTCTACGTCATATTGCTTTTTACGCAATTTAACGAGAAAGGAAAGGCAACTGCAATAAGCCACACAAGAGAAAGTCAAAATGAACCACACAAAACATCTTACGTTGTTTGGCCAGGATATATATATATTTTTTTGGCTACTTTGTATAAAATTTATGTTAATAAATCAGGAGGAAAATTCTCAATTTAAGGATCTTAATTCATTGTGCCGAAGGCTTACCAAAGTGTACACAATATAAATCTAATATCATATTACCAGTTAGTAAGTAGAGCGTGGTAAGGCAAGCTGATTTATTGAACAAATATTCAAGTGAAAAAGTACTAAATCCAGATTAAAATTTGGTTCGCAGGCCTTAAGCCTATATTTGAGTAACATGAGGAAGATATTGTATTTTTTCCGTAATATCGAACAGAAAACATTTCATTTTAAAGGGAGTGACCGTCTATGTAAGGTAGTTGAACTTAGTATGCAGTGTTGTGGAAAACTTCTTTCGGATTCATTTGAGACATATTAAACTTTTTAAAGATCTGAAAATCCTGAGTTTGAGCGCAAATTCGACGTTCAAAACTCCACTGTGGGGGTTGTTACGTTTTCAGAATAATTTTTTTAAAATTATTTAATAACGACAACGAAAAAAAAGTAAAAATTATACTGTAATCTAATTAGATGGTTAGGAACATATTTCTCAAAAGAAATTTGTCAATAAATGAATGATAAAATCGATTATTTCGTTTTCATTATTATATTGAATTTTTCATTTTCTTTGAATTTATTCGCAGATTTCTCCAAATTCTTCAAATGTCGTCTTTTCAATAATAATTCTATAAAATCTGCAGAAAATCTTTGTGAATAATGAAAAACCAGAGTAATGAGAAAATAGAAACTAATAATTGAACAAGATTACTTATTTTCGATTAATAATTTAATTTTCGATGATAAGATTAATTTTTAATTTCTCAACATGTTTCTATACATGACGTTTGTAGTTTCTTGTCGAACTTTTTTACATTTTATGTCGTCCTTATTTAATAATTTAAAAAAACTAATTCTGAAAACGTATCCACCCCCAAAGTAGGAGTTTTGAACGTCGAATTTGTGCTCAAACTCAGGATTTACAGATCTTTAAAAAGTTTAATATGCCTCAAATGAATGCGAAAGAAGATTTCCACAACACTACATACTCAGTTCAACTACCTTTCATAGCCGGTCACTACCTTTAAAATATTCTTTTTGTAGAAATATCATGTTGGATCGAATCCCAACAGTTCAACAGTTTCAGAAGAAACTCTTCAAGAAGATGGAAGATGGTTTCATGGAGCTAGCTAAGAAGGTACAGGGTTACCCATAAAGAATGAGAATGTGAGGACGACCTGAAACTCATAAAATATGATCATTCAAGGCTAATTTTTGTCCTCTGCCTTAAATGATGTCTTTTGAAGGACTTTTTAATAATTAGACAAAGAAAGAAACACTGTATCAAAGAGATCTAAGTCTAACGCCTAGCATCACTACTGAATAAAAAAGGAACCATAACTCGATTCCATGTATAATTTTCTATATTTCAAATTATGAATTCTTCAAGTTTAAAAAATCTTTCACTCGTTTTTGAAAATTGATAACTCAACTTTTTATTGGAAAAAATTAAAAAACTTTTATGATTGAAAAATTACATTTTTGTTATCCTTCAGTTGTTTAAATGTCGGCATCCATTAAAAAAAAACATTTGATAGTTGATTGGAATGTTGTTGAAAACACTTTATCTGAAAATAAAATTAATGTTTTCATGAATTTTGAAATCTATTTTAATTTATAACACAATCTGGAATATTGGGAAAAATATCAGAGGTGGGCGATTATATCAATACAATGAAGACGACTTTCGATTTCCATTTTGATTTATATCAAGCTTTAAAACAATATGGTACACATAAACATAGAAGTGAGGACTGAGGAGAACCTGTCAATTAAAAAAGCTTCTGTTTGATTACTTGTAAACTTGTATTTAAAAAAGGCTTGTTAAAATCCAAACTTTAATAAAAAGTCGTCTTTATTGTATTTCTTCTCAATGTCCTAGATTGAAAAAAGACCTAAGTTGACAATTTTTCTCTCCTTGCTTGTTTGTGTTGCACCTTCTCCCGGTCTTATCAGGTATTTTAAATAATTGGTCATCCACAAAGGAAAAGACATGACGACCTAATGTGTTTAAATTCAATGATCTGTATTCATCGATCTGTATTCATCGATCTGTATTCAATGATCTATATTTTGTCTTGAATATAATCTCGATGATTCAACAAGTAACAAATTTACAGTATGATAGGAACTAAATAAAAAAGATTAAGAAAATTCCATAAAGTCGTCTCCGAAGTCTCATTCTTTGTGGGTAACTCTGTATAGTTAGCAGGTGTGTAAAGTTATATTGTGGGTAACTCTGTATAGTTAGCAGGTGGGTTAAGTTATATTGTGGGTAACTCTGTATAGTTAGCAGGTGGGTAAAGTTATATTGTGGGTAACTCTGTATAGTTAGCAGGTGGGTAAAGTTATATTGTGGGTAACTCTGTATAGTTAGCAGGTGGGTAAAGTTATATTGTGGGTAACTCTGTATAGTTAGCAGGTGGGTTAAGTTATATTGTGGGTAACTCTGTATAGTTAGCAGGTGGGTTAAGTTATATTGTGGGTAACTCTGTATAGTTAGCAGGTGTGTAAAGTTATATTGTGGGTAACTCTGTATAGTTAGCAGGTGGGTTAAGTTATATTGTGCTCCAGCCTTTTTGCTAAATAAAAGAAGATTTCTAATCTCAAATATAAAGTTTAGAAGAAAACGAATATTTTATAATTAACAGGTTATTAAATGGACTGCAGAGATAATTTCAACTGATCTTCTACAGTGATAGCCAGAAAACTCTGAAATAGTAAGACGACTTTTAGAATCAAATTTTACCTTTAAAAAGTCCAAAGAGCATAAAACACAGCAATTGTTCAATGGAAACAGACCGATTTTACAAAATTTTTGATAAAATAGATGTCTAGAAAAACTATTTGCTTTGTAACTTTATCAAATACTCTTAATCACTATCATAATGTCGTCTTCCTATTCCATTGTGTTCTGGTTAACACTGTATTTAGAAAATTGGCATGTCCGATTGACAACGGTGCCCTTTAACCCTTTGTCTTATCAAGGATGATTAGATAAGCCTTATTCTACCTAAACATTGATTACTGTTGATTGTGAATTCTTTGATAGCGTGACTTGCGAATCGAAGTATGCTGAAAAAAATGTTAGAATTAAACCCTGACAGAAAAACAACTATATTTCCTTATTATTGCTCAGAAATAGGTTTACAGGGTACCGTGGTTTACAGGGTACCGTCAGGGTACCGTGGTTTACAGGGTACCGTGGTTTACAGGGTACCGTGGTTTACAGGGTACCATGGTTTACAGGGTACCTTGGTTTACAGGGTACCGTGGTTTACAGGGTACCGTGGTTTACAGGGTACCGTGGTTTACAGGGTACCGTAGTTTACAGGGTACCATGGTTTACAGGGTACCGTGGTTTACAGGGTACCATGGTTTACAGGGTACCGTGGTTTACAGGGTACCGTGGTTTACAGGGTACCGTGGTTTACAGGGTACCGTAGTTTACAGGGTACCGTGGTTTACAGGGTACCGTAGTTTACAGGGTACCATGGTTTACAGGGTACTGTGGTTTACAGGGTACCATGGTTTACAGGGTACCATGGTTTACAGGGTACCGTGGTTTACAGGGTACTGTTGTAAATTGGACATGGTATCCTTTTTTATTTTAAAATGGAAATTTCGTGTACAGTCTTTGATATATCCAAAATTCAACATTGAAATTGTTCATGGTTCAGGCTAAATTATGAACAGGAAGCGATCAAATTATGGAATTCGGAAGCATCGGTAAGAACTGGTTATTTTCCTAATAAAGATTTAGGCGTTTTGCCGTTTTTTAATTCGTTCGATAAACGCTCTTGCAATAAACTATAGTTTTTTTTCAATAGTAAGTTCTAAAACTTGTTCAGTAAAAATAAGAAAGTTTTCATTTTTGGTCTGACTAATCCATTGACAGGAACGATCATTATTGAGTTTAAATAGTTTTCGTTCAAGTTAAAAGACGATTCTCTTTTTTAATTCTTTAAAGGATCCAATTCGTTCGTTCTCGTTAATTTTTCTGAAAAAACACTAATTTTTACAAAAGTTTCGTTCGTTTAGAAAAAAAACGATGCTAATCTCTATTTCCTATTATAATATAGATATAAATATTCAAATATATTTATTGGTCTGTTATTTTATCAATCTGATTGTTTTAAAATTGGTTCAAAATAATTGATTTGATTTGATTTAAAGTATATAAAATTCATTCAGTTTCTAAATATTGATTCACTGGTCGTTCCAAATTTAAATTTTTTAATCCTTCTATCTATGCAACTACGTTAGATCAAATAGGTAAAGTTTGAAATATCAAAGATACCCACCCTCACCACAAACGATATGGGGATTAGAAAATCAGAGTTTGATGGTAAAGTGATAAGTTCCTTACATGCTACTTAAGTAACCTATAAAAAAAGAGTATAAGACTGTATTTTAAAGAATTATGAAAATAATAACAGAAAGACAGCCTATCTACCATTATTTTTTTTTAATGTGAATTAAGAAAGATTTTATATTTAAATGGTTGATACAGGTCTTTGTTTTAGGATAGAAACAAAAATCATGATACGTTGATGAAAGTCTACTATATTTAGGATACAAGGATATTTGTTGATGAAAGTCTACCATGTTTAGTTTACAAGGATATTGGTTGATGAAAGTCTACAATATTTAGGATACAAGGATAAACCATGACTGGTTGATGAAAGTCTACTATATTTAGGATACAAGGATAAACCATGACTGGTTGATGAAAGTCTACCCTCCTGATACCAGATATCATTCAATAATTTTCAAGTAAGTATCTAAATAAAAAGAATGAGAGAAAATAAAAGTAAAAAAAGAAGAAAAAAATGAAGAAAAGTAAATAAAAAGAAAAGAGTGAAAGAGAGTGAAAGATGAGAAGGAAATCTGCAAGTGAATTAAGAAGGAAGAGAAAAAAAGAAAGATATTGGAAAATGGAAAGTTGATTAGTGGATTAGGGAAAGGGAAAAAGAGGGTGAACAGGGGATTGAATGAAAAAGAAAGACGCTTGAAAATGAAAAGAAGGATGTTAAAAATAAAAAGAAAGAGAATGAAATAGAAAAAACCGGTTGGAAAATGAAAAGAAGGGCGTTAAAAAGAAAAAGAAAGAGAATGAAAAAGGAAAAGGACAAGGTGGAAAATGAACAGAAGGATATTGAAAAAGAAAAAGAAAGAGAATGGAAAAAGAAAAGGACAAGGTGGAAAATAAAAAGAAGGATGTTAAAAAATAAAAAGAAAGAGAATGAAATAGAAAAAACCGGGGGGAAAATGAAAAGAAGGGCGTTAAAAAGAAAAAGAAAGAGAATGGAAAAGGAAAAGGACAAGGTGGAAAATGAACAGAAGGATGTTAAAAAATAAAAAGAAAGAGAATGGAAAAGGAAAAGGACAAGGTGGAAAATGAAAAGAAGGGCGTTAAAAAAGATAAAGAAAGAGAATGGAAAAGGACAAGGTGGAAAATGAACAGAAGGATAATAAAAAATAAAAAGAAAGAAAATGGAAAAGGAAAAGGACAAGGTGGAAAATGAACAGAAGGATATTAAAAAATAAAAAGAAAGAAAATCGAAAAGTAAGAGGACAAGGTGGAAAATGAACACAAAGATATAAAAAAAGAAAAAGAAAGAGAATGGGGGGGGGAAGGAAAAGAACAGGATGGAAAATGAAAAGAAGGATGTTAAAGTGAGTGTTTGCGAAAAAAGATTGGAGGTTTAGGCATACGCTGAAAAATAAGCGCTTTTGATTGCTACTAATCTTACTTCTATCTGTTGCGTCTATTAGGAGTAAATTGTTAAAAACGACTCATGCTGAAGAACGTAGCGTCCATACAAATTCAGAAAGTTGCAACATTCAACTCGAGTCGTAAAAAAATCAATTTAATTCCAAACAAATCATTCAGATATTACAACCAATGTAATCGATTTTTCCCCGACGCATTCGCATAAAGATAATATTTCATAATATTTTTGATTTTGTTTTTTAAAATAATATTTCGCTGGCGCTGGATTTTCGAACATTCCTGGAAAATATGAAAATGTCATCTTCATTTTCAAAAATCCTCGAAACAGGAATTAATGTTTTCAAAAGTATCTATCATATCATAAAAAATAAAAATATTTTGAAATATCAATATTATATATCAATATTATACGAATGCGTCGAAAAATAATCGATGACTATTGGTTGTAATATCTGAATGATTTGTTTGAAATTAAAATGATTTTTTTAGGATCCGAGCTGAACATTGCAACTTTCTGAATTTGTTTGGACGCTACGTTCTTCAGCATAAGCCGTTTATAACAATTTTCTCCTTATAGACGCAATAGATAGAAGTAAGATTAGTAGAGATCAAAAGCCTATACCCCCTTTCTTTTTTTCGTGAACACTCCCTTTAAAAAGAAAAAGAAATAAAATTGGGAAAGGAAAAGAATTAAGGAAAAAAATGAAAAAAGTTAAAAAAAGAAAAATATATTTAAGAAATAAATATAATAATGGTCTAAACTGTTCCTTTTAAAGCTATGATCTTAAAACTACTTTTCATTCCGAATTTACGGCTGTATTTCTGTATTTCTGTTTCGTTTTGTATGTTTAAATTTGAGAAATTCAATATGGTTTGCGAATATGAAATGTTTTTAGTTGCGTTAAAATTAAATTATAATAATTTCAAAAACTTGTCATAAAGTGAATGAGTAAGCATGTGAACATTTAATTTTTTCATATGTATATACTTTACCACACTAAAATTAACTTTACTGTACTAACTGTACTGCTGTACTAAACTATTGTATGTTGTACTGTACAGCGTAAGTGTTATTATTATTTTAGAGCTGAAAATGTACTAAAGCCTGATGTGTTGTACACTATGTACCAAGTACACAGGTACGATAAAACGCTACCATCGTCATGTAAAAGTTTATGTACATTTTTACTGGGGGTTTCCAAGTTTTCTTTTGAATGTGAGCTCTAGATATCAACATTTACTTCTGGCGGGGTCGTTTATTTCATGAAAATGCATTAAAATAAATGCAGCAGTTGAGAATCAGGAGTTTTGATTAAATTGATTAAAATCTGGTTAAAGTCGTCTTTGAATTCTCGTCCTTTGTTTGTCCCCTGGTAATTTATCAGGTAAACAGTAGAGAGCAGATATTTAGATTTCCTTTCTCTCCATCTTCCAGGGGGGGGGGGGGCGGCATACAGGGTTACTAATTAAAGGATGAGACTTCAGAGACGACAGTACAGGATTTATACAATATTTTTTTCATAAATTATTTTTACCCTATCAGCTGTAAACTTGGGTCCAAACTTATTTAATAGCTTATAACCGTTGGGGGCGTTATGTTTAAAGGGAGTGACCGGCATATGTATGGTAGTTGAACTGAGAATGTAGTATTGTGGAGATTTTTTTTAAGGATTTATTTGAGACATATAAAACGTTTTAATGATGTTTAATTACTGAGTTTGAGCGCAAAATCGACGTTCAAAATATCATTAAAAATATTCCGGAACAGGTCGGATGTACGTAATTTCATGTAGATTTAACCAGGGTCCAGAAAGGATCATTCATCCAGTCAAAACTAATTATATAAATAAGATAAAATTCGGAACTCGGATAAAAAAGCGTCCAGGCCCGAATCTAAAGAGTTTCATCACACAAATGACCCTTTACTATATTTTCCGAGACGGTACAAAAATAAAATCCGACACGGTACAAGATCCGAGACAGTACCATTTTCTATGGTTGGGCCAGTACAGAAATCCGTGAGTCGTGACGTAGCAACTTCTGAGAATCAGACCGGTTCGTCAAATAAACCGGACTTGACAATGAGTTAGGTTTAGGTGATTTTGTTCAAGTATTTTTATAATATGTGGTTTTCTAGGATTATTCTGGAAACTAGAAGCAAGAATAATATTACATGGGCTTCAAGCTGTCAGAAGGTTCCAGTCATAATGGTCAGTATTTTAGACAATATGACTGTGCTCTGTTTATTAAACTTTTCAAACAAGAAATATGACAGTGACAATTAAATTTTTTCATGGTTAAAAAAAAGAATTAGGGCTGTGCGTGTTTTTTCTTTTTATTTAAGAACTAGAGCTGCACATTCTTATAATTTTTAATCTGAGCTGTGCATTTTTATTATTTAAAAACTACGACTGCGCATTTCTATCCTTATTCTAATTTAAGTGATCAGGGTCTTGCATTGTACAGTGATAACCAGAAAACAATGGAATAGAAAGACGACATTATAGCAATACTTAAGCGTTTTGATGTTGTTACAAAGCAAATATTTTTACTAGTAACTTAGCAAAGCACAATTTAAGTCTATTTACAACTCTACACTCTACAATATGTCTGATGTTCACTGAACTAGTTTAAGTCCTAACTTGAGCTTAAAGGTCGTCTTTCTATTTCAGAGTTTTCTGGTTATCACTGTATAATCTTTATTTCAGTTAGGAGTTCCATATATCTTGTGAAAGAACGTGTCTATTGTATTTAAACATATTTTCACATAATAATTGAAATCATATTCGCAGTCCCAACTATACCTAGAAAACATCGTGAAATAAATGGTTAAACACCTTCTTTAAGAATAATTAAAGATAATCCTGAATGTTTAGGATCCAAGTTTATGGAAATCCTCAAATGGTTCAAATATATATTCCAGGTAAGAATATATATTCCAGGTAAGAATGCTTGAAAATTCTGTAAAGGTGATTTTTAACTTTCAAGTGATCCTCCAGTTTCAGTGGCACTTCATATTCACAACGGATACCCTTTAAACCTCTGGCGGATATACAGATGAATAAGATATCCAAGTGTGTCTAACTGAAAATTGATTTGGTTTCAATTGTGGTGAAGTGCGCAGGTGCTCAAGGGACATTTAAGAAAATTTTGAATTCGACAATTTTTCTCAAAACCCGATTTAAATGGAGGATAACTTGAAATTACGAGTGGGATTTTAATTTATAATATTATTAATAATAATAATAATAATAATAATAATAATAATAATAATATTATATATTATGTAATTTATATATATTTGCGTAAGGTTTGACGTACCAATTATATAGTTCGGGGGTAGGCAATTATATCAATCTAATAAAGATCGTTTTTTCTTTAAGTTAAAATTGTTAACAAGCTTTTTTAGAATTACAAGTTTGCAAACTATGAAAGAGAAGCTTTTTAATTGACAGCAGATTCTCTTTGTTTCTTTGCTGTTTAAAAGTTCAAAAGCTTGATTTGCGAATCAAATTTTAACTCGAAATTCGTCTTTTTTACATTGATATAATTGCCTGCCACCGTATTTGAATGCTCATCTATTTACTATTGTTCTTCCAGTTATCTGGATTATTAAAAGTATATTTTTTGCATTTGGATGTATAAATAATTATTATCCAGAAATACGTTAGTTTTACTACAGCGATAACCAGAAAACTCTGAAATAAGACGACTTTTAGCAATACTTAAGTGTATTTGATGGCCTTACAAAGAGAATAGTTTTACTAGACTCTTATTAAATCACTAATTAAGTGAAATGGATCCGTTTATAAAGCGCAATTTCTTTGTCCCATGCTTATTGGACTTTTTAAAGTCATAGCTTGAGTCTAAAAGTCGTCTTGATATTTCAGAGTTTTCTGGTTTACCTAAATAAAATTTAGTTTTTAAGCTTGAGAAAGTTCTGTTTATCGGACAGTTTTACATATTTCATGCCAAAATAAAGTATAAGGAACGGAAGATTGAAATAATGAAAAATAATATATGCTTTCAATCATAACTCCTTTTATTAAAGAGCTTTTTAGAAGAAGAAAAACCGAAGATATCAGTTTTTTCAGACTTGAGCGTAAACTATAAACAAGAAGTGGTACGAGGTCACAAAGTCCTACCAGTATCGCATTAATTTGACCTTCTCCGTCTCTGGTTGGTTTGCAGTGATTTGGCTGAAGAAAATGAAGCTTGTATCTTGTCCTTCAGATTTTATACTATTTTAATATATATCACTTAAACTCTTAAAATAGACAAACATGAACACACATTTAAAAAATAAAATTCGAGGATTTTTTACCATTGACTCTTAAATAGCTTTTTAAAATTTACAAGCATTGAAAGATAAAATGCAATCTTTCGTAATTTTACTCAATTCTTTCGTTTTTTGTTATATGGAACTCTGCTGTAAAGTAAATATTTTTTCTTCATTTTAGTATAAATGTGTCCACAGCGCTTTCTGTAAGTGTTGATCTCTACCCTGATATTTATTGCGCTATTTTAGGTAAAAATTGCTCACAGGGAGTTTACCCGATTCACAGTTTGAACCTTTGGCTGATCAAGGATGACAGACTTTTCCTTATTTTTCTACAGAAACGGTTGTCTTTGAAGAACAGCTCGTTTTCAAACTGTTTTATTTTTGATAAAATTTGAATATTTCCTTGCGCAGAATATAAATTTTCACATTTGAATTTTTAAAAACAGCGTATGATTTTCCAGGAATAAATCTTAAGTCAGCTGAGTTCAAATAGTACGCCAGCGTACACGCCAGGTTTGCGGATTTTTACACAACATTTAAAAGATATTCGCACTGAGTTCTCTGTCTTCGATGATCAGTCAAAGGGTACCGTTGTGAATCAGGTGTGCCCATTTTTTAAATGGAAGAACTATTGAAATCACAATTATACAGTCACTTTAATTCTCCAAGAAAAACCAACATTAATATTATCTTTTTTATTTGTTAAATGCATGGGAACTCATAAATACGTATATCGTATTGGTATACACACATTTGTTTATAAGATTGATTTATATGATGATTAACTGATTGATTGATTGATAAGTCAACGGATTAACTGATTAAATCATTAATTGACTAGCTTGGGAACACAGCTCTGTCTGCAGTTTTCCCTGCAAAAGTCAACCAATTTAACTTAGAACTTTTAAACCAAGCTATTGATTGATTGTATATTTAGACTCATTTGTTTCTGCCGTTTGGAATTGAGTTTTTTGAAATAGTTTGCCAGATTTATTGATTGATTGATTTATAAGTAGAATGATTAAATGATTAACCAATCGATTGATTGATTGATTGCTTGATTGATTGATTGACTGATCAATTGAATGATTGACTGATAGATTGAATGATTGATTGAATGATTGACTGATCAATTGAATGATTGACTGATCAATTATTTGATTGACTGTTCGATTGATTGATTTATTGATTAGACTCGTTTACTTCTGCCTGTTTGGAGCTGAGTATCTTGGAATTGTTTGCAAGACAAGGAGAATATCAAGAGAAGGATTTTCTCAGGTTTTTAAATTCAATAAAATAAATCGGATTTTTCTGAAACTTTAAACTCATAATCAATAATTGCTGGGTCTTTGCTCATGTTTCTCCATTTTTAATTCAAAAAACACAAACCTGATTTTTCTGAAACTGTAGATTCATAATGTTCAATAATTGCTGGGTCTTTGCTCATGTTTCTCCGTTTTTAATTCAAAAAACACAAACCTGATTTTTCTAAAATTTTAGATTCATAATGTTCAATAATTGCTGGGTTTTTGCTCATGTTTCTCTCTTTTTAACTCAAAACATCCTAACCTGATTTTTCTAAAACTGTAGATTCATAATGTTCAATAATTACAAAATCTTTGCTCATGTTTCTCTCTTTTTAACTCAAAACATCCTAACCTGATTTTTCTAAAACTGTAGATTCATAATGTTCAATAATTGCTGGGTCTTTGCTCATGTTTCTCTGTTTTTAATTCAAAAAAAAAACAAAATCTGATTTTTCTAAAACTGTAGATTCATAATAGTTAATAATTGCTGGGTCTTTGCTCATGTTTCTCTGTTTTCAATTCAAAAACACAAACCTGATTATTAAAATCTCGCAGGTTTACACTGGTTGGAGATATTTTTTATTTTAATGTGAAAGTTTCTTTCTACAATCCTTCACTTTCAGCTCAACTACCATGTCTAGCCGGTCTCTTCCTTTAATATTTAGTTTAACTGATGAGAGTATAGTAGATGTTATCAATACTAGAACTACAAGTGGAATCTTTAATGTCAACAGAAACTTTAGGAATTAAAGGAACTGATTTTTTCCATCAAATTTTGATAAACTAAACACTCCACAATTTGCGAATTTCAAAAAATGTAATTTCTTTGCTTGAAATGTTTTTAACTTTTAATATGTAACATTTTGATCCTTATTAATAGCGAAGGAAAAATGTTATGAATGTATGCATGAATTAATATCCGGGTTTTAATAATTTCAAAAAATCATATCTTGTAACAAACCCCCAAGAGTTCTGATATTTCAATACAAGGAAGAGTACTTTTCGATACACTTATTGAACTATAATAAGCTTTTTTTAAATAATAAGTTTACACCAAAAAGTGGCAAATAATAAGTGGCAAAGAGTGACAAAGTATTGATTTCTAACAAGGTTTTTTTGAATAATAAGTGGCAAAGAGTGGCTGTTCATTGACAGCTTCTCTTTGTTTCAATGTTGTTGTGTATCCCATTTTGTTTCAGAGCTTGGCAAAAATAAAATTGAATTCGAAAGTCGTCTTCATTGTATGGATATATACGACGACGACTGATAAGATCCCATATTTCGATGTTTATTTATGATTTGAATCTTTAATAAAGTAAACTCCTTGGAGGCATTACATATGATAGAAATGGACGAATAATAGGTACGTTTTATTATTTCTTCATTAATATTAAAGGGACTGTACGCGTAATTTAAAGTCATCCTCCATGCAAAGATGGCAATGCTCGATGCACAACGGTACCATTGAAACTTTTTTCTTATTAACAATGTGGAAAATATTGTCGTTTTTATTGCTTTCTAAGTATTTAATTCTAATAATTCCTGTATCTGTTCCTGCAGTTACAGAAATATGTAAATTAGTTTTGAAGAGATCGTTGAAAATGATCAGGTTCAAAATTACAATCATTGTTTTCTAATTGCCATCTTTGCATGGAGGGTCACTTAAAATATAGGCGTACACTCCTTTTGTATTGAAAAATGTTCAATGCTTCTAATTAAATACTTTTTAAAAAATCTAAGCTTACCATTAAAAATTTTTTTTTTACAAACTTTAAAATTTGGATTTACAGGACTTTTTGCCCTCAGTTGTTTTTGGAAAAAAAATTATTTGACCGGAACTTTCGGCATAATTTCAAGTGACCCCAAATTCAAAGCCATGTTTGGTTCACAACGGAACCCAGCTATATATATACATGGGTAGGGGCTCGGACTGCACAAATGGGATTAGTTGCTCGAGTAGATAAACAGGAGCTCAGAGACTTCCCTGTCTCAGACTCTATAGAGGTAATTCATGCATAAGGGAAGTGTGCATGGTTTTTAAAAGAGATCCAGGACTAATTTGAAAGTAATGCAACGTGATAACAAGAAAACTTTCGACTTTTAGAATTTTAGATTTTTTTACAATTTTAAAAAGTCCAATGAGCATGAGACACAGTGGCGGATATAAGGGGGGTTATTGGGGTTATTTACCCCCCCCTAGAATCCTGGGGGTAAATACCCCCCCCTAGAATCCTGGGGGTAAATACCCCCCCCTAGAATCCTGGGGTCAATAAACAGTCTTTCATGAATAAGTGTGATCGTATCAGTCAAAATTGTAATCAAAGAAACTCATAAAATTTGGAAAAAAAATTTAAATTTAAAATTCTCCGTTTTTCACTTTTATCTTTATTTTTTTTATTTGAGCCTAATATTTCCCCTCCCTTCAACCTTTGAAANTCGTTAAGATCTTAACATACTACATTGACGACAAGAAAATTTAACAATGAGTAATGATCATATTTTTTCAAAGTTTGGCAGAGTAGCTTTTCTAAAGATTTAAAAAAGTAACATTTTTTTCCTCTTAGAGTAAAACTATTATCTTTTATATTACTGCCTTTTTTCAATGTTTGCCAGCAAACTTAATATAAAAAGTTTAGTTAAAAAAAATAAATTCAGTTTTTTTTACAGATCTTTGTAGTTAATGTAAAATGAATGACTATAATGAAGGGTATAAAACAAGGTGAAAGCTGAAAGGTATGTAATGAAGCCTTTATTAGATTGAGTTTGTAAATCCCAGAAATGGGTGGAAATGCAAATCAAACCAAATTAAAACCAATAATATTTGATATACATCATGAAAATTTTTTTACCCCCTCCTCCCTACAGAATCCTTATATCCGCCCCTGATGAGACACCGTAATTGTGCAGTGTAAAGACACACACCCATTTCACTAAATAAGTGATTTGAATGATAATTGTCTAGGGTATAGTACCGACCGAGCGAAACGTAGTGAGCTAGGGGGGTGGAGGGAGGGGGCGTAGCCCCGCAATTTTTTTAAAAAGAAATAAGCAGCGAGCATTTTAAGTGCTCAAAACAGAAAATTACTCTTATAGCATGTAAAAATATTTCTACCTTACAATTTTTTCACTCAGCCATAATGAAATATATTTCCATTTCCATTGGCATTACATAGTTTCTAATCACAATTTTACATATTGTCAAGATTATGATATTAACTGCAAAAGGTTCAGGATTTTTTTCATGAGACTAATTAAGTTACAAGTTACCCCAAAGGATGCGATTTCAAGATTGTAGAGTTTAAATCTGTTCTAAACTCCTATTCTTTGTGGTTACTCCTGTAGGTTTAAATATAGCGATGGGCAATCGCTAGATTCGTTTTACAGAAACTTTTAATACTTTTGGACATTTAAAAGATTTACGGGTTCAACGATTTGAAATTGTCTTTTGTAGAAGTTTACTATTAACAAACATGCAAATTTGTTATCCTAGGTGAAAATAAGGCAAAAACGAACTAAAAACGTTAAAAGTTTCTGTAAAATGAATCTGGATATTGCCAATCCCTATTAAAATTTTAAAAATAAATTATTTATATGTAAACTATTAAGCATGAGGATTAAAAGTAAAGTTTGCAAAGTTGTATTAAGATATAAGATCTAATCTTCAAGAATAAAGAAAGCCTGTCAACTTTGTTAGGCATTTTTATAATTATTTTTTTTTTGTTAAAAATGAAGATAAATAAACCCTGAACCTATTGAATATATTTAATTCAATTTTACGGGAATTTTTGTCTATAAAAGCTTTTAACACTTTTGTGGGTTTTACGGTTTCTAAGATGTCTCTATGAATGTTCATTAGGGTCAGATTATTAAATCTGTTATTGTTCATTCTGGCTTTTTGTTAAAGCATATTAAAGTATCTGCTGGAAAAAAGTTACAGTAAACTTTTAGGTTAGTCTCCAGAAAAGGGGGGGGTTAACAGATACTTTTGACCCCCCCTTTTTTCAAAAGGGAGGGTCGTCGACCCCTTGACTCCCCGGATCCGCGCCTGGCTGGGGCGGCTTATGATTTTCCAGAGGGGGTGGATATAATTGTAAAGTTTAATTTTTGTCCCACCCATTGTAAAAAATTCCCCCACTAGAGTTTTGTTTTGAATTTGGTCAAATTTTTTAAAATCTTTTCATAAAATTCAAAACGAAAGGGCTAGAAGGTGCCTGTTCTCTTGAAATGAAAGGGCTAGAAGGTGCCTGTTCTCTTGAAATGAAAGGGCTAGAAGGTGCCTGTTCTCTTAAAATGAAAGGGCTAGAAGGTGCCTGTTCTCTTGAAATGAAAGGGCTAGAAGGTGCCTGTTCTCTTGAAATGAAAGGGCTAGAAGGTGCCTGTTCTCTTGAAATGAAAGGGCTAGAAGGTGCCTGTTCTCTTGAAATGAAAGGGCTAGAAGGTGCCTGTTCTCTCGACTTGTGCTCCTAATTTTACCACCAACAAGCTGCCTCTGGTGTCTAGGAAAACAATATGCTTTATGACAATTAAATACACTAAAGAACTGTTATAATGTCGTCTTCCTATTTATTTTTGTAGCACCGTATTAGCTTTGGAACTTTTGTTAGTTGAAAACATCAGGACAAATATTTGAGGACGATATTTAAAAGTATTCCTTAAATTCTCATTCATTTTGCGATTCTACCTCTGAGTTTGGATAACGTTTAGTCAGGTTTATTAGTTAGTATTTAGGTAACGTTTAGTCAGGTTCATTAGTTAGTATTTAGGTAACGTCTAGTTAGGTTCATTAGTTTGTATTTAGGTAACGTTTAGTCAGGTTCATTAGTTTGTATTTAGGTAACGTCTAGTCAGGTTCATTAGTTTTGTATTTAGGTAACGTATAGTCCAATTCACTAGTTTGTATTTAGGTAAAGTCTAGTCAGGTTCATTAGTTTGTATTTAGGTAACGTCTAGTTAGGTTCATTAGTTTGTATTTAGGTAACGTCTAGTTAGGTTTATTAGTTTGTATTTAGGTAACGTATAGTCAGGTTGATTAGTTAGTATTTAGGTAACGTCTAGTTAGGTTCATTAGTTAGTATTTAGGTAACGTCTAGTCAGGTTCATTAGTTAGTATTTAGGTAACGTATAGTTAGGTTTATTAGTTTGTTTTTAGGTAATGCCTCGTCAGGTTCATTAGTTAGTATTTAGGTAACGTCTAGTCAGGTTCATTAGTTAGTATTTAGGTAACGTCTAGTCAGGTTCATTAGTTTGTATTTAGGTAACATATAGTTAGGTTTATTAGTTTGTTTTTAGGTAATGCCTCGTCAGGTTCATAAGTTAATGGTTCATAAGTTAATATTTTGGTAACGTCTAATTAGGTTCATTAGTTGGTATATAGGTAACGTCTAGTCAGGTTCATTAGTTTGTATTTAGGTAACGTCTAGTCAGGTTCATTAGTTTGTATTTAGGTAACGTCAAGTCCAATTCACTAGATTGTATTTAGGTAACTTCTAGTCAGGTTCTAGAGTTTGAATACAGTTTGATTGAGAGCTTACTTGCAGGAAACTATACTCAAGGAGTTCAGGTGAGATGGAATCAAGGTTGTAAAATAAGGTTGGATACTATGGACGCTCTTCAATTTATGTAAAGACGACCTTTATAGCACCAGTCACTCTAAATCCGCATATGATGTCACTGCTTATTTTAAATTATAATATATTTTGCGGCTCACAAAAAATAAACGAACTCAAAAATTGAAAACTTAAAAAAGAATTTCATTTTTTAGCATCAAACTTACTATCCCAATCAATATTTGTTAAAAGTGATGATATTTAGTTAAGCATCAGTGACGTCATATGAGGATTAGTGTCTAATGCAACAAAGACATCATTTACCTACATTGAAGCGCATCCAGTGTATCTATCTAACCTTATAAACAACCTTGGATAACATTTAATGTACACTCACAATATTAAGTTTACAAGGGCGAGACAGGGCTGGCAGAATATTGTTTATAAGCCTTGAAACCTTTAAGAAACAATAAAAAGGGAAAAATGTTTAATTTTTTCTATTTTGTGGTTTTCAGCACTAGCACAAGCACTAGAATATTTCAGCACTAGCACAAGCACTAGAATATTTCAGCACAAGCACTAGAATATTTCAGCACTAGCACAAGCACTTGAATATTTCAGCACAAGCACTAGCATATTTCAGCACTAGCACAAGCACTAGAATATTTCAGCACTAGCACAAGCGCTAGAATATTTCAGCACTAGCAAAAACACTAGAATATTTCAGCACTAGCACAAGCACTAGAATATTTCAGCACTAGCACAAGCACTAGAATATTTCAGCACTAGCACTAGCACTAGAATATTTCAGCACTAGCACTTAAACTAAAATATTTCAGCACTACCACAAGCACTAGAATATTTTCCAACCTGAAGTAAAAATTTAACCAATTTAGAACATGTCTTAAAATGGAATATTTAAAATTCTTTACCATTGTGTGAAGTGTTTTTTTCCCAGGTTTATCCTAATATTCAGTTGTCCTTCGGTGAAGTTTCCAACAGAATTGCTCTGAAGGTTTGACACTTTCTTATATTTTAAATGTTTTTTAAAATCATATTACATACAAGACAAATCATTTTTATGCCTAACGGACAAAAAATGTTAACATTGAAAAACAAGTCATCAGCAAGAGCACCATGAATCTAGTTTTTTTATTTATTTTTATTTTTAGGATTGCTATAATTTCATCCCTGGTGTTATCCTTCAGTTTATTTATCTTTTTATCTCAGTAAGAAGACCTTGGTTTGTTCTGGCAGGTTTAATTTTATCGGAAACAAATTGAATTTTGAAATTTAAGAATCCTTTGATATTGAATATCTCTCTTTTTTACTTCTCGAATTAATTGAATTTTGTTTTAGGTTTAGCAACTGTAGGATTTGCTACTTTGGCAACAATTTCAATAGCAAGCATTGCCAGTATATCCTTCACTTCATTATCATTGATCCTACCCCTCCTACTTCTAGGTATTAAAGCAGGATATACTTCATTATCATTGATCCTACCCCTCCTACTTCTAGGTATTATAGCAGGGTATACTTCATTATCATTAATCCAACCCCTCCTACTTCTAGGTATTATAGCAGGTTATACTTCATTATCATTGATCCTACCCCTCCTACTTCTAGGTATTAAAGCAGGATATACTTCATTATCATTGATACTACCCCTCCTACTTCTAGGTATTATAGCAGGATATACTTCATTATTATTGATCCTACCCCTCCTACTTCTAGGTATTATAGCAGGGTATACTTCATTATCATTGATCCTACCCCTCCTACTTCTAGGTATTATAGTAGGATAATTTTAATATTTAAATATTTATTTTAGTAAAGCTTATCGTTTGCATACATACTAATTTATAGTTAGGTTTCGATACATTCATCATTACAGTAGCTTACTACTTTAACATACATTATTACAATTAATTGTATATATCTATAATGATGCGGAATAATTCTATTTGAGTGTTAAATTTTTTTTGCACTCCGCGGCCAAAAATGCGTTTAATTCTTCAATTTTTTTATGTTGTTCGTTTCTCTGCTCCCTTTCTCTTTGCGCAGATGACTGACGAGTCCTCTTGGAACTGGATACAGATTTTTTCTGGGACATTAGTATAGACTGGGGAGTTTCCTGGAACTTCAACAGGGAAGTTGGAGTATCTTGGGACCTAACGGCGAAAATGGGAGTCTCCTGGGTTCTCACAATGGAAGTGGTAGTACTCTCTTGGGACCTTACAACGAAAGTGGGAGTCTCTTGGATCACGGAAGTGGGCGTCACTTGGGACATCACCACAGAATTGGGAGTCATCTGGGACATCACCACGGAACTGGGAGTCAACTGGGACATCACCACGAAACTGGGAGTCAACTGGGACATCACCACGGAACTGGGAGTCATCTGGGACATCACCACGGAACTGGGAGTCAACTGGGACATCACCACGGAACTGGGAGTCAACTGGGACATCACCACGGAACTGGGAGTCAACTGGGACATCACCACGGAACTGGGAGTCATCTGGGACATCACCACGGAACTAGGAGTGATCTGGGACATCACCACGAAACTGGGAGTCATCCGGGACACAACCACGTTCATAAGAGTCTGCATTGACCTCACCACAGGTGCTTCCTTGGAAGTTGGGATGGTTTCATTTTCTTTTAATTTTGTTCTGCTCTTTCTCACCCTTTTCCTCCTTTTTCTCCTCCTGTTCGGCATCCTGGAAATAGACTGGGGGCAGGGAGGGAGTCCAGAGTTCCTCAAATAGTAATCACCTTTTCTAAAAATGTTTATTTCTAAAAATGTTTATTTCTAAAAATGTTTATTTCTAAAAATGTTTATTTCTAAAAATGTTTATTTCTAAAAATGTTTGTTTCTTCGCATTCACATTTATCACTAGAAATAAAGGGTCGCTGGAAACTACGTCATACAATCCAATTCTGGAATATATGGTGTTCCATTAAACATGAAATCATAGAAATCTTCTTTGAACTTTGATTTGATCTCAAAATTCATCTTTATCTATTCTCCAGACTACTGCAGATGATCAGAAAAGCTGGAGTCTCCATCACCGTGACGTCTGTAACTGATCTTTTTGCTTTCTTCACGGGATCACTTACATTACTCCCCTGTGTCAGGTAGTACAGGGGTTCCTTTACGTTACTACCCTGTGTCAGGTACAGGATGTCCCTTACATTACTACCCTGTGTCAGGTACAGGGTGTCCCTTACATTACTTCCCTGTGTCAGCTACAGGGTGTCCTTTACGTTACTACCCTGTGTCAGGTACAGGGTGTCCTTTACGTTACTACCCTGTGTCAGGTACAGGATGTCCCTTACATTACTACCCTGTGTCAGGTACAGGGTGTCCCTTACATTACTCCCCTGTGTCAGGTACAGGATGTTCCTTAGATTACTACCCTGTGTCAGGTACAGGGTGTCCTTTACGTTACTCCCCTGTGTCAGGTACAGGGTGTCCTTTACATTACTCCCCTGTGTCAGGTAATACAGGGGTTCCTTTACGTTACTCCTCTGTATCAGGTAATACAGGGTGTCCCTTACATTACTCCCCTGTTTCAGGTAATATAGGGTGTCCCTTACATTACTCCCCTGTGTCAGGTACAGGGTGTCCCTTACATTACTCCCCTGTGTCAGGTACAGGATGTCCCTTACATTACTCCCCTGTGTCAGGTAATACAGGGTGTCTCTAACACTACTCTTTGTGTCAGGTACAATGTGTTTGATTTTGTGTTTTTTCAAAGATTACTTTTTTATCTCTTTTTAAATTTCTTCACTTTTACAATCGTGTTGTTACCACTTAAAAAAGAAATAAGAGATACGAGATTTAAGATTAATATGCCGACTCATACAGCGTTCGCGGAATCCGGTTTATTAGACTATTATTCTCATTTAAAATTTTTAAAAATCAGTTTGAAATTTTTAAAATTTACTTAGCTTTTCTTTCAGATCATTCTCAATAGTGTCTGCAATAGGAGTTCTTTTCTTGTACTTTCTCTCCAGTACTTTTCTTATAGCTTGTATCAGCATTGAAACCTCAAAGGTAATTTCTTTATTTTCCGCCTTTTGTTATTAGGGTTGTTCATCGTTTTTGAAAACGATCGTTAAACGAACGTTTTTTGTTTCTTTTTTCGATCGTTTTTGAATTCGTTTTCGGAAAAAAAGGACCGTTTTAAAAACGACCCACTCGTTTTAAACTTAGAAAACGAATAACGATTATATTTTAAAAAAACATCGTTAACGAAACGACGAGGCTACGAGCTTTATAAAAACAATCATATTGAAAAACGACTGTTTTTAAAAGACTAACTTTTAAAAAACTATCGTTTTTAAAAACTTTTTATAACGAAACGATCGTTTTTTAAAAAAGTGCAAACGTTAACATCCCTATTTGTAACTAACGTTATCTACCTTTGATTTACCCAACAGAGGGACGTTAAATTAAAACATCCGTAGCGCAGTTAGGGATATTAGAAGGCAAAATTGGCCGATTGAACACGTGGTTGATATATGAGTTTTTGTATAACTTGGACACAGACATCAGATAGAACTAATATGGGTCCTAAACATTTTAGGCTCTAACCTATACCCCCTTTCATTTCCCTTTAAGTAAAATTTTTAATATTCCTTAAAAGTAGTATTTTATTTTATCGTCTTTTGAGATGAAAATGCGATAATTTTTTCTCGAATACTTTGCAGATCAATCCTAATAAAAATAAATCCACCCAAGTGAAACAATCAATTCTAATCAAAATAATGAATATTGATAATGAAAGAAATTAATTATTGCAAAATTTCTACAGTTCTGAGTTCTAGGAGGAAGAGAAGAAGGAGGAAAGGCAGTGTTGTTGTTTGAGTCCTGCTCCTGGTTCTACTGACAACTGTACTGCAAGTGGTTCTACTGACATCTGTACTGCTAGTGGTTCTACAGACAACTGTACTGCTAGTGGTTCTACTCAAGATTCTACTGAAGATTCTACGGAGAGCTGTAGCTTCAGGGAGATACCAAATCACCGATTATCATAAGTCGTCTTTGATTTATACACGGCATTTATTTGATAACAAAAAAATCTTATACTCCGAATATTGAGATATCTGAAAAAGGTTTGTTTTTTCCCAAAAATGTAATCTCAACTGAATGATACGTATTTTGCTACATATTTCCCCTTTTGAAATGTTTAACAAATTTAAATAAATACAGATCACCTTATATCATAAATTGGATCAGCTCTAAATTTGGACGCCAAAAAAGTTAGATAGGTTTTTTTGAAATTTATTTCAAATGTTACAATTTTTCATTCTCTGTTTATTCACAAAAACTTTGACACCCTGGAGACATTCAAAAATCATTGTTGAATGCAATTTATTTTCTCAAATTATTTTCATGTTTATTGGATCTCCCTGTATAGTTTGGATATGAGGAGTGAGGTTGGATACCTCCTCACTGAGAGTATTATCTTCAAGCTGGCGGTTATCTGCTTAGCTGGAGGGGTTTTAGGGGTCAGTGTTTGGGGGTCAACCATGCTCAGGTCAGTGTTTGGGGGTCAACCATGCTCAGGTCAGTGTTTGGGGGTCAACCATGCTCAGGTCAGTGTTTGGGGGTCAACTATACTCAGGTCAAAATTACAAATGTTTTGATTATTTTGAAAAAAAGCATATTATATTATATTTTTTCTTTTCTATTCTATTCTATTCTATTCTTTTCTATTCTATTCTATTCTATTCTATTCTACTATATTCTATTCTATTCTATTCTATTATACTACAGTTGTCGACGTATCATTAAAGACGACTTTCGATTTCAATTTTTGATTTCTACCAAGCTTTCAAACAGCATAGATACACATAAACATGAAAACAAAGAGAAGCTGTCAATTAACAGCCTCCCTTTGTTTACTTGTCAACTTGTAAGCTTGTTATAAATCAAATATTAAATAGAAAATTCGTCTTGATTGTATTGATATTAACGCCGAACAATGTATCCTAGGGATGATTTTGACCCAGGTGTATTTATCCCCAAGGACTCCTATCTAGGATTGTTCTACGAGGCTGAAAGGAAAAGATTAAACAGGGCAATGTATATCGTCAAATTGTATCCAGGACCGAGTTCAAGGAATTGAAAAAAGGTTGCGGAACTATCAACCTACCGGTCCGTGAAACTTTATTTCTCAAATGCTTACTGGCTCGATCCTGAACCTTAAAATTTGAATCAATGGCTCAGGATTTGAGCCTGTTAATACTTATAAAGAAGTTTGAAACAGCTTTACCTAGTTCAGCAACTTACCTCTCCACATCTCTTAATTCGGTCCCAGATATCTATGGTCTTTCAGTTCTGGAACTTTTTTCATGATAACTTTAAAGCTTTCAAAATGTAAAGTTCTGTAAAATTAAAATTTAAAATTCTGTCTTGCTTGGTTTAAATTTAGTCATTGAGATCTTAAAAGAAATCTATCCTACAGCTTTTCAATGCAATTCTGTGTATCCGTCCAATCTGTCTGTCTGTCTGTTTGTCTGTCTAATCTGTCTGTCTGTCTGTCTGTGTAATCTGAACTGACAGGGAATATTTTCCTGAGGTTGGGGATACAGTGGTTCTATACTTTGCTAACGTTAATCATACACAGGTATTCTTTTCATTATCATTCTTGGGGTCATTATTCTCGTGATCGTCATTGTCATGATTATCATTCTCATGATTATCATTCTTGGGGTCATTATTCTCGTGATCGTCATTGTCATGACTCATGATTATCATTCTCATGATTATCATTCTCATGATTATCATTCTCATGATTATCATTCTCATGATTATCATTCTCCATTCTCATGATTATCATTCTCATGATTATCATTCTCATGATTATCATTCTCATGATTATCATTCTCAAGATTATCATTCTCATGATTATCATTATCATTCTCATGATTATCATTCTCATGATTATCATTCTCATGATTATTATTCTCGTGATCGTCATTGTCAAGAATATCATTCTCATGATTATCAATTTCATGATTATCATTCTCAGGATTACCAATCTCATGATTATCATTCTCAGGATTATCATTCTCATGATTATCATTCTCAGGATTATCATTCTCATGATTATCATTCTCATGACTATCATTCTCATGATCATCATTCTCCAGATCATCATTATAAACAATCATAATTCTCATTTCATAATCTTTGAAGAATGCAATAGTTTCAAAATCTTTTAAAGCATTTTGCTGAATATTTAATTTAAAATTTTGATTTTAATAATAGAAATTTTGTTTCAGGAATTTGTTAGAATCCGTAATCTGCTCCTAACTCTAGAGAAGGAGAAACACATTGCTTTCCTTGATAATTGGACTGAGGACTTCATGAGTTACCTTAATCATTATGTTTTCAAGAAATCCGGAACTACATTTATAGACACAGGCTTGTACTGTACACTGTACTGAAAATCTGAACTGTAAACTAGATAATCAAAAATCTTAACTAGAGAACTACAATTCTGAACTAGAGAACTAAAAATATGAACTAGAGAACTAAAAATATGAATTAGAGAACTAAAACAATTGTATTTGATTTGAAAACCAATTATCGGCAGCAAATGTCAGAAATGCTTTGCCTGCAAAGGGCTGGGTGTCGTTCCTGGGGAACGCTTGTTCTTTTAACTGGAACGAACGGAAAGGAAAGAGCAGAAAGGAACGAATGGAAAGGAATGAACAGAAAGGAACAAATGGAAAGGAACGAACGGAAAGGAACGAAGGGAAAAGAACGAACAGATAGGAATGAACGGAAAGGAAGGAACGAAAAGGAAGGAACGGAAAGGAGCGAACGGAAAGGAAGGAACGGAAAGGAACAAATGACAAGGAGCGAACGGAAAGGAACGAAAAGAAAAGAATGAACAGAAAGGAAGGAACGGAAAGGAATGAACGGAAAGGAAAAAACGGCAAGGAGCGAACGGAAAGGAACGAAAAGAAAAGAATGAACAGAAAGGAAGGAACGGAAAGGAATGAACGGAAAGGAAGGAACGGAAAGGAAGGAACGGAAAGAAAGGAACGGAAAGGAAGAAACGGAAAGGAAAGAACAGAAAGGAACGAATAGATTGGAATAAACAGACAGAGAACAAATGGAAAGGAACGAACGGAAAGAAACAAACGAATTATAAAAAGTAGGAACACGCCCACCGCAGCCCAGCCATAACTGCATTGTAACAAACCACGGCTATACCAAAGAAAAAATGACACATTTAGATGTCTTACAGATCTCAAATCTATATGATAAAAGAAGACATTCATATATATATATATGTTAAGTTGCCTATTGCTGGCCAAACGGCTGGACCGATTGGGCTGACATTTTTTGTGGACTCTCATGGTGGCCGGTGGTGTTATAGGCTAAAAAAAATCCAAATTTTTTCTTAAACATTTTTTTTCACATTTTTTTTTCAAATTTTTTTCCATGGGCAACGCCAGGCCCTTCAGCTAGCACTAAATAAAACAATATTGGCAATTTTGCATTAAATTCTAAACTTTTAATCCCTTTCATCCTTTAATCCTGATGATCCATTATATTTCACAGTTTGACTATCTAACATAATTTATACTTTGAAATATTTAATGTCTACACCATCAGGTTACAAAATTTCTAGGACGAGACAAATTTGAGTTTATAGGGAGTATAATTTCTGAGTTAAGCTATATTTTTTACCTGAAGTACAAGTACAGGATGAACCTAGAGTCCTATGACAAGTTGTTGAAAAATGGAACCTTCTTCCAGGAGAAACTTATCCAGTTCCTTTACTCTATCAAAGGAACGTTTTTTTAATGTTTGGAAAAATCCGAGCTATTCCCGCGTTTATTCTTTAACACTTGGTAAGCTCACGACTCTTCTCTCGGCGATGTGTATGAAGGGCTCATTTCTTAGTTACCATTTTTAATGTTAATTGTAGTTAGTTTCAAATTTAATTGAAAACCAAAAATATATAAAGAAAACACACCATCCAGGCTCCCCACGCAGAAGTGTTTTCAAAAATTTTGACACAATGGATGTCAGCTGTGGTGGTTCAGATACAGTCTTGTTCAGTAACCTCAGATATAGACATGTTCAGGTAGCATTTGATCTTTAAAATAGACATGTTCAGTAACCTCAGATATAGACATGTTCAGGTAGAATTTAGTCTTAAATACAGTCATGTTCAGTAACCTCAGACATAGACACGTTCAGTAACCTCTGATATAGACATGTTCAGGTAGACTCTAATCTTTAAAATAAACGTGTACAGTAACCTCAGATATAGAAATATTCAGGTAGCATTTAATCTTAAATATAGTCACGTTTAGTAACCTCAGATACAGATATGTTCAGTAATCTCAGTTAAAGCCATGTCTATGTAGCATTTAATCTTTAAAATAGACATGTTCAGTAAGACAGATACTGAAGATATTGACTAAAGTATTATTGAGAAACTTGGAGTTCTTAATTGAGTTGTATCTTGTAAAACAGATACTTGAGAATACAGATAGAGTCGTATCCGGTTTGATATTGACTAAAGTATTATTGAGAAACCTGGAGTTCTTGATTAAGTTGTATCTTGTAAGACAGATACTTGAGAATACAGATAGAGTCGTATCCGGTCTGATATTGACTAAAGTATAATTATTGAGACGCCTGGAGTCCTTGATTGAGCTGTATCTTGTGAGACAGATACTTGAGAATACAGATAGAGTCGTATCCGGTCTGATATTGACTAAAGTATAATTATTGAGAAGCCTGGAGTTCTTGATTGAGTTGTATCTTGTAAGACAGATACCTAAGGATACGAAAGGTAATACCTGGATTGGTACTGATCTAAAAGTATTTATTGGAGTAGGGAATTTACTAAATATCTATAAAAACTGAAACCATTCGATCGTCGTCATGAATATCAATACAATGAAGACAACTTTCGATTACAATTTTTTATTTCTATCAAGCTTTCAATCAGTATGAAAACAAAGAGAAGCTGCCATTGAACAGCTTCACTTTGATTTCTCGAAAGCTTGTTATTTGAACCAAGCTTGTTCGCAATAAAATATTTAAAAGAAAAGTTGAAAAGTTGCTGTATTGATATAAACCCCAACCACTGTGAAAAACGATTTTTATTCAATTCTTTCTTTCCAGTTAGGAGACTCTGAGGAAAGAATGAAAGCAATGATGGCAGTTAAAGATCTCATTAATGCATCAAATATTCAAGGTTTTACAATCGTAAAAACATTTTTGAAAAAATATCCATGTTAACTAAGTTATTGACAGGTTACGTGTTATAATGTCACGTGACTATATGTTATGTGCAGGTCACGTGATTACCATGCCATGTAACTATATGTTATATACCATATTACAGTTTTACCACGTCACCACATTACATAACTATATGTTATTACCATATCACAGTTCTACCCCGCGTCCCACATTACATAACTATATGTTATGAACAAGCCACAATGACGACGACTTTTTTATTTAAGAAGATTTTTACGAACTACAAGTTTACAAATAATTAAAGAGAAGCTTTTTTAATTGATAGGTTCTCCTGACTTCAATGTTTATATGTATCCATGCTGTTTAACAGCTTGATTTAAATCAAATTTGAAATCAAAAGTCGTCTTTATTGTATTGGTATAATCGCCTAACACTGTATGTCACGTGACATTTGTTATGCACAGGTCAATTGTTTACCACATCAAGTAACTATAGGGTATGTATGCATAGGTCACGTGTTTACTATGAGATACGTAATTATATGTTATGTACAGGTCACATGTTTACCATGTCACGTATCTATATGTTATGTACAGGTCACAAGTTTACCATGTTACTTAACTATATGTAATGTACAGGTCACATGTTTACCATGTTACTTAACTATATGTAATGTACAGGTCACATGTTTACCATGTTACTTAACTATATGTTATGTACATGTCACATGTTTACCATGTTACTTAACTATATATTATGTACAGGTTACATGTTTACCATGTTACTTAGCTATGTTATGTACAGGTCACATGTTTACCATGTTACTTAACTATATGTAATGCACAGGTCACATGTTTACCATGTTACTTAACTATATGTTATGTACATTTCACATGTTTACCGTGTTACTTAACTATGTTATGTACAGGTCACATGTTTACCATGTTACTTAACTATATATTATGCACAGGTCATATGTTTACCATGTTACTTAACTATATGTTATGCACAGGTCACATGTTTACCATGTTACTTAACTATATGTTATGTACATTTCACATGTTTACCATGTTACTTAACTATATGTTATGTACAGGTTACATATTTACCATGTTACTTAACTACATGTTATGTACAGGTTACATGTTTACCATCTCACATAAATAAACTACTATATAAAGGTCACGTGTTTACCATGTCACGTGATTATGCAAATCTGGAGACGGAGCAAGTGGTGAAAGCAGAGATATTCAGGAACTCACATTATTTCTAAATATTGATTCATTGCAATACATGCAAGGAAGTTCCCTAAAGGAGTGACGCGCGCTTGCTACGTAGAATTACATGAAAGAGAGATATGTGTATTTTAAAGGATTAGGTTAGGTTAAGACACATTCTAGCTGGGCTGAGTGCTGCGGCAAGGATAGGCTAGTGGGGCGAGTGCGACGGCTAGAACAGACTCAGTCTCTGTCTTAAAATTCAACGCAGTATGTGCGAAACTTCTATGCGCTTCTGCCTAAATTCAAGGGTGGGCAAATTTTGACTACAGAATACGCCAAATTCTGTAATACACAATGAACTCCGTTTCGATGGGTAAAAACTGGTTTACCGGTCATTTACATTCAATCTAATTAGACTTTTGTCGAAACAAAAATTTACAGTTTCGATATGAGGGGGTAAAGGTTTAAAAAATGAAAGGAAAGAAAGAGAAAACTTACATTTATTTCTTCACTTTAGGTCGTGTACATACTGAGCAACATTTATAAGTTACAAGAGTAGTTTTTGTGTTTTGATGTAAGTATAATTTGAGTAGAAACATGACATTAGTGTTCCTCTGTGTTCTCATCATCTCCCTGTTCCTGCTGGCAGACCTCATCACCTCGTTCCTAGTCGTCTTCACTGTCATACTCACCCTTGTCAATATCATGGGTAGGAACTTATACGTTTCATTTATGGATTTGTCATTTTCTGTTGTGCGCAAATGCCCCGTAAAATTCCAAAACAATGAGAGGGGATTGAATTTTGTAGATCCAGAAAAATAATTAAATTAGTATTTATTTAGGTTAGGCCAGGCAAGGGGGCTGAGCGCTGCGGCCACATGTCTTACATTTAAGACCTCACCAGCTGCTAGTCTCTACGCAGGCATCCCACAGATATCATTTCTCTGGATCTACAAAATTCAATCCCCCTCTCTCTGTTTTGGAATTTGCGCACAACAGAAAATGGCAAATGCCTTTCATTTTCTGATTGATACTAGCGCATCTAGCGAAAAAAATAATGCTCATTTTAAATCATTGAGTAAAAGAAACTTTCAAACTGTACTTTCAAATCCAACTTTAAATCCAATATGCTTTTGCGTTATTCAAATTCATATTCTTAAATTCTATCTACAGGCTGTCCCACGAAACATGAATAGTTTAAATTGTCTTCTTACATAATTATCTATGTTGTTTGAAAATTAAAGAGAATGATGAAAAATATTGTATGCCAATTATATTATTGTAAAATTGATTTCAAAGTAAAATATATTTGAGTAAAAGATGTTTTTAACTAAATAACAAAAAGTCTTTAATATCCAATATAATATAAGGAAGAAGACATTCAAAACTATTCAACAACTGTCATGTTTTGTGGGACACTCTGTATTCTGCATTTTTTTATTTTTAGGATTTATGCATTTTCTGGGACTAACTCTAACCGGGTTTACTTGTTTAATGCTCATACTCTCATGTGGACTCTCAATAGGTATTATTTTATCCAAAATGTTATACTTCAATAATTAAATATTACATTTTCTAAAAGCCGTCTGAACCAATATATAACGCTGCTTTTACATGTAGTCAATGACTTATGCATTTCTACTGAAGGAAAGCAATGTAGAAATGATCAGAATTAAAGAAAAATTGGGTTCAATTGTTAAAGCGGGGTAGTTCAAAGTGGTAACTCTCAAATCCAACCATAATTATGCATCGTAGATTTAGCGTTTTTTTTTTGGGGGGGGGGATAGACAAACTACGACATATTAAACACTTTGTTGTTAAAGTTTGCGAAAACTTTCAGAACGTTCATAATTTCCGAATAGATTATTAATTACAATTGGTGGCAACAGAGAAATGTACAAAGAGAATAGAATATATATTAGAGAGGAATTTACTAGAAAAAAGTGTAAAACGGCCATTTTGTTGTACTGTTTCTATACTGCAGGTGTATTTTACATATTTATGCTATACAACCTTTTGGGCCCTGGAATATCATTTTAAAGAAAAACTAAATTAATGTTAAAAGAAATCCGAATTATGAAATAGGCTGGTTTCATAATTGACCAATGATCATTTCAAATAGACTCTATGCCTTTCACTTTAAAAACGATGATTATAAATCAAATGATGTTTTTTATTCACCAAATTCGTTATAAAGTTTATTTAACAGCTTTAAAAAAATCAAAATTGAAATGAATAGTCTAGGGAACATACTGTATGAATGTACTCTACTGCATATCATTTGTGAACATTTACATGATTTGTACACTTTGAACTCCCTTTCAGGCTGAAAGGGACTAAAAAAATTCATACCGAGAGATTCTCTAAATTCCCCTCTAATATATATTCTATTCTCTATGAAAATGTACCAGTCATACACGACGTCACAAGTGTCAAATATAAAGGGAAAACGAAATTTTCTCCTATTAGTTGACATGTTTTCCAAGATTAAATAAAAAAGTGTAAAAACAGAAAATACATATCATAAAATTGCACTTATTTTACTGTAAGATAAGCACTTTATTCTAAATTAACACTATTTTTAATAATTTTGTCTGGCGCATAAAACTGTTGACGCAATTTTCTTGTTTTACTAAGTACAACGTATGCAGTCAAAACATAAACAAACAAAATGTGAACATAGCAGACGAAACTCTTACAAATTACAGCTTTCTCAGTAGGTATCACTATACTAAATCAAAGAATTATTTAAAAAGACGATATCGAATTCGTCACTGAATTCCCATGTTTATTACTTCGGACACCCTGTATTTGATAATTTCTAACTGTGGAGGTTTAGTGATTACAAAAAATATGTTCTTTTTAATCACAAAAACTCGGGCCAAAATTTGAATTAGGGGGTTCCGGGTTTAAACTACCCCTTCTCTCGGAAATAACCAAAAAGTTAAATAACTTCGTAATTCCCTTTCATGGAAAACATTTTGGAAATAAAACCAATTGATTTTGACTCAACAGAATAGCATAAAAAAGGAAAAGAGTTGTAATTTTAAAAAATCCCTCAGTCTGAAATAGAGGAAACCTCAATTTATGCTAAATAACGTTTTGAATTTGTTCTTATCATATTAACGGGTTAGTCTGCGTAATTTCAAGTTATTCCCCGTTTAAAGAGTTATACTACCCGTTCACCTAAATAAAAGAAAATTCTAAAATTCCCTGCCTTGCAAAAATCCAATTAAGGGTCACTATTAAGGATTTCAACTTGTTAAGGTTAAGAGAGAAAAACAATAATATCTCCATCATTTTTAGCTCAAACTGTTGTTAATTGGGGGTGCACCTCTTTTAATGGAGGGTGACTTAAAAATGATGCCTCCAGTCCTGTTTAATAAGTCATCAAGCATTGTTTTTGATAAAGATTTTGCTGCTCATGTTGCTCATGGATACATAACCTCCTCAGCTGAGACTAGAAAAGAACGAGTTTTTCAGACAATAAAGGTCAGATTTTCAAACAATAAAGGTTAGATTTTCGAACAATAAAGGTCAGATTTTCAGACAATGTAGGTTAGATTTTCAAACAATAAAGGTCAGATTTTCAGACAATAAAGGTCAGATTTTCAGACAATAAAGGTCAGATTTTCAAACAATAAAGGTCAGATTTTTAAACAGTAAAGGATAGATTTTTAAACAATAAATGTCAGATTTTCAGACAATAAAGGTCAGATTTTCAAACAATATAGGTCAGATTTTCAAACAATAAAGGTCAGATTTTCAGACAATAAAGGTCGGATTTTCAGACAATAAAGGTCAGATTTTCAAACAATAAAGGCCAGATTTTTAAACAATAAAGGTCAGATTTTCAAACAATAAAGGTTAGATTTTCAGACAATATAGGTTAGATTTTCAAACAATAAAGGTCAGATTTTCAGACAGTAAAGGTCAGATTTTCAGACAATAAAGGTCAGATTTTCAAACAATATAGGTCAGATTTTCAAACAATAAAGGCCAGATTTTCAAACAATAAAGGTCAGATTTTCAGACAATATAGGTCAGATTTTCAAACAATAAAGGTCGGATTTTCAAACAATAAAGGTCAGATTTTCAGACAATATAGGTTAGATTTTCAAACAATAAAGGTCAGATTTTCAGACAATAAAGGTCAGATTTTCAGACAATAAAGGTCAGATTTTCAGACAATAAAGGTTAGATTTTTAAACAGTAAAGGATAGATTTTTAAACAATAAATGTCAGATTTTCAGACAATAAAGGTCAGATTTTTAAACAATAAAGGTCAGATTTTCAAACAATAAAGGTCAGATTTTCAAACAATATAGGTCAAATTTTCAAACAATAAAGGTCAGATTTTCAGATAATAAAGGTCGGATTTTCAGACAATAAAGGTCAGATTTTCAAACAATAAAGGTCAGATTTTCAAACAATAAAGGTCAGATTTTCAAACAATAAAGGTCAGATTTTCAAACAATAATTTTATTTCTCTGAGCCTTCAATCTAAATAAGTTTAATAAACCCACAGAAAAAGCTTTGAGTGATAAATCATACAAATACAACAAATAATTCACTCAGGCATTAAAAAACTGTGGCTAGGAACCAACAAACACATATATATAAATATCAATCATACTATAATCAAAACGATGAGCATAAGTATATATAAAAATAGTTACCACAGTGATCCCAGAATTCTGGACACGGCTAAACTTGCAAAACGAATAAACATATACTGATATAAATTATTTACTACTCCGCGAGAAATCTTGCGCCTGCGTAGTCAGTCTGTAAACAGTTCCTAAACTAGTTCTTTCACAATACATTCCGTACAGATCTTCAGGGGGAACTCAGAAATACACAGGGGTGACAAGCAGACTTTATACACGCAGCATGGCTCGCGTAACAAAAGGTCAGATTTTCAGACAATAAAGGTAACATTAAGACAGTAAAGATAGAATTTTTTAACAATAAAAATAACATTTTCAGACAATCAAGGTTTCGGAAATATAATTGTCTCATACAATTTTGGTAAAGGAAGACGACATTTTCACTGCACTGCACAATTGCTGTGTTTCATGTTTAATAGACTACTGAAATATCATAACTTGAGCCTAACAGTCGTCTGCATATAACTCAGTTTTAAGGGTCTCACTGTATTCATTTGTGAAAGATGCATACTTTTACGAATACTGATGAACTGTACCAGCCCGTCTAGTGTACCCAGTGTGTGGTTGACCAAACGTGTTTTATGCAACAGAATAGGGCAGCTGATATATTCTATTTAGGAATGTGGTCCAGCCATCTTTCATGGGGGATTTTCAACTTTTGTTGTCTTCCTTCCACTAGCAGCTTCTCAGGTGTTTTCTCACAAAAGTATTTATACAGTGATAAAAAGAAAGCTGAAGAATAGGAAGACGACATTAAAGCAATACTGAAGTACACATTCGATGTTGTTACAAAGCAAATAGCTTTACTTGTAAGTTATTAAAACCCTTAGTAAGTGAGATGGGTCTGTTTACACTGCACTATTGGTGTGTATCATGCTCATTTGACTATTTAAAGTCATACCTTGACTTAAAAAGTCTACTTGCCTTTCCAAACTTTTTCTGGTTATCACTGTATCAACCCCTCCCACACATAGAACATCATATAATAGTAATGTACTAAATGTTTTTTTTAATGACACTATACTATAAAATTGTTTAGGGATACGTTTGTATGATGATTTTTCAAATCATGACAATGACTGTTTGGTTTGGCCTCTTCAATGGCCTAGGAAATAATAATATTGAATCAAAATTCAAAATGAGCTCATAAGGGGCTCATACACCTGTGAAATAGGAATACGACTGTTCGAATTAAGTTATGATTTTAAATAATCTTTAGACTTATTTCCATTAATAAGTTGTTTTTTTAGCTACATTTTTTAACAAAAACAAAAACAAATAAATTTTCTTAAGCTCGTCTTCCTCTTCCACAATTTTATAGGTCTCACTGCAGTATAATTAAAAAAGGCTAATACCAATACCTTTGCTTTAGTAGAACTATCAGTTTTGTGGGAAAGAAAAAATCGAAAGACGACATTTCTTGATAGTATTGGCTTGCCCTTACAACATGTGCAGAGGCAAACAAAATTCAGTTAAAGGCGAAACAAATGTTGAAAAAGAAAAATGAAGGGGGAGAGGGGGGGTTAATTCAAGTCGCATTGAGATACAGGGTGTCCCACGAAACATGACAATTGGTGAATAGTTTTGAATGTCTTCTTCTTACTGTATTAGATATTAAAGACTTTTCGCACTTCAATTCGTTGAAAAAATCTTTTACTCAAATAAATTTTACTATGAAATAAATTTTTCTATAATATGACTGCCATGTGATATTTTTTATTATTCTCTTTGGTATCAAACAACTTAAAGAAATATGGAAAAAGGCATATGATCCTATTCACCAACCGTCATGTTTCGTTGCGCGTGTTGGATTTTTTGGTAATAATAAGAGAGAAGGGGGGGGGGGGTGGGGTTTAAAAACTGACGGTGAATATGCGAAAAGGGCGTTGCCACCTTTTTTAAATAAAAAAGTACACTGAAGTAAAAGACGTTTACAGAAGTTTTCCTTTCTCTGATTAAATCTGAAACATAAAATATATTTTAATTAAACTTAAGTTTATATATTCCCTTCATGTTCTTTCTTTTCCTAGAATATTATTAGTGTTTTTACAGTGTTATTACCAACCCTTCTCAGGAAAAACAGAATAATATTTTCCATCTAAAGTTTGTAAATGTTAACTCTAAATTAAACAATGAAAAGGGAGTCTTGTATGACGAAAGGGATTTTTTTTTAAAGTGACTGCAAGCGTAATTTCAGGCAACCATCAATGCAAAGATGGCAATTCCTGTTTTACCCTTGAAACCTTTATCTGATCAAAAATGTGGAAGAAAATATCGTTTTTATTTTACATAAAAGTGTTTCATTCTGATAATTTTTCCATTGATTCTTTGAGGCAAAAAATATGCAGAGAAACCTCATCAAATGAAAAGGAACAGTTAGAAACAGAAACACGCATTTCTAATTCATACTTGATCAGATAAAGATGTTGATGGTACCGTAGAAATAACGCTTAAATTGTCCATTTTAAGACGTTTTTTGTGCCTTTTAGATGTTAAATTGCCAAGTGAGTTCGAGTAAAATCTTCCAGACCAAAGTGCAGCGTTTTCATAGCAAAAACTGCTCATTAACAGTGACTGCTTTAATTGTTCAACGAAAATAACAAAACATTTCCTTACAAAACGATTCTTCACTGAATGTTTCCTTACAAAATGTTTCCTTACTGAACGTTTCCTCACAAAACGTTTCCTTACGAAACGTTTCCTTACTGAATTTTTCCTCACAAAACGTTTCCTGTCACAAAACGTTTCCTTACGAAACGTTTCCTTACTGAATTTTTCCTTACAAAACGTTTCCTGTCAGAAAGTGTTTCATTACAAATTTTTTCCTTTAGATAAACCTTTCATAAAAAATACAAATAGTTTGAAAATCTATTGAACATTAAATGTGACTATTTTTGTGGTTGCAATCATAACGAAAACAAACTTAATCATTCTTGAAGAAATCTACCACACTCTCCATGTACATCTGAAAAGGAATGGAATTCACACTCTGTCACGGAGATATGATATCTTCTCGCCTGGCAACTCTGTTTTAGATCCTAATTTTGTTTGCATCGTTGACATTAACACCTACTGCTATTTATGGCTATACTACAAGGGCTTTGGTTTTGCACATAGAACCAACTGCACTGGGGATAAGGAAGACTGGACAATGCTGGTTCTTCCTCTTTAAGAACCGTTACTGCACTGGTATTTCCAACATTTTTTTTGACAAAATCTTGTAAAACTTCACTACCATGGTTGTAAGATGAAATGATTCGATCAATGATAGGAGGGTCGGTACCAATCACCTAAACTTTAATTGCCGGGTTCACAGTTCACTTCTTTTCACACATATTTATCAATTTTTGGTACCCTCGATATTCTCTTTATAAGTTCTGATGATTTCCGTTGTATATCGTGTATTTTTCTTGAAATTTTTGGCGAATTTTCAATATTAAAATATGCTATATTTCATACAAATACACATTTTTGGATACCTTTTGTAAGGAAACGTTTTGAATCGGGAAACGTTTTGTGACAGGAAACGCTTTATGGCAGAAAACGCTTTGTAGAAGGAAACGTTTGGTGGCAGGAACCGTTTTGTATATGAAACGTTCTGTAAGGAAACATTCAGTAAGGAGACAATCAGTATGGAAACATTCAGTAAGGAAACTATCAGTAAGGAAACGTTCAGTAAGAAAACATTCAGTGAGAAAACGTTCAGTAAGGTAACGTTCAGTAAGAAAACGTTCAGTAAGGAAACGTTCAGTAAGGAAACGTTCAGTAAGGTGACGTTCAGTAAGGAAACGTTCAGTAAGGAAACGTTCAGTAAGAAACGTTCAGTGAGAAAAATTATAAATTTTCAAATTGAAATACAAGGATATCTCAGACAAAGCTTAAAGGTAACACCTGTTAACTGGGTCTTATCCCTTTAAAAAAATGCCACTTAGATCACGGCAACCGTTCAAAGGTTCATTTATAAATCTCTTTTTATAAAAATGTTATTTTCCAACACAAAAAATGATGTAAATCTGTTTTGTTTTGTTCCAGTCTCATTGGTCCAGTTTCTGGGGTCAAATCAAAACAAAATGACGTCACACTGACTGGTCCTGTCACCGGAATTCAAGAGGTATTTAAAAATATTGACCATGACATTAAAAAAATATATTTTTACTTTGTGATTTGCTCTTGAAGAATATTATTATCTAAGTAAAAGAGACTGTCAGCGAATCTCCATACAAAGACGGTAAAAGTGCTTAATTCTGTTAATGTTTTTCAGCACAAGTCACTTTTGCAGAGAAACCACAATTGAAAATAATTAGTTTTCAAAATTATAAGCATTGATATATATTTCTTTGCATAGCGTCTCACTTGAAATTACACTTATAGTCCCTTGAAATTGATTTATAGTCCCTTGAAATTACAATTATAGCCCCTTGAAATTACACTTATAGTCCCTTGAAATTACACTTATAGTCCCTTGAAATTACAATTATAGCCCCTTGAAATTAAACTTATAGTCCCTTGACATTGCACTTATAGTCTCTTGACATTGCACTTATAGTCCCTTGACATTGTACTTACAGTACCTTGAAATTTCACCTACAGTCCCTTGAAATTACACTTATAGTCCCTTGAAATTACACTTATAGTCCCTTGAAATTACACTTATAGTACCTTGAAATTACACTTATAGTTCCTTGAAATTACACTTAGCTTATAGTCCCTTGAAGTTTCATGAAAGCCTAACAAGAAATTTTTTCATCTTTTATCCATGTAATCTTAAAAAACATAAAACAAAACTATAGACATTTTTTAGAATAAATCTTTTAAACCTTTTTGTAACACAATGGGACCTATACAACTTTGGAATATGAAGACTACATTTTCATCAATCTTATGTTATAAATTATGTTATAAAGCAAATAGTTTTACAGTTAGCTTAAAAATCAACTTATTGAGTGAAATGGGTCTGTGTTGCTGTGTTTAATTAATTTGTAATAGTTCATTTTTGTTTTAGGGATATACTGTTGACTGACGAGAATATTAAATCGAAATATGTTTTAGAAACAGTTTTATAAATGTTAGGATAATTAATGGATTCAGAAAAAAAGCAGATTTAGGATAATTGATCGCAGAAAAATTGTAAATCTGACTTTTTTTGTGACGATCTTGTTTAAAAATAATTTGTTGTTAGACTTATTTTAGTAAAATATAAATACTTTACGAAACCTCGATATTATTCACAAAAGGTAGAAAATCACGCAACCTCGATAGTTTCCAGCATTCGTGCAAACTAAACATTTGCGTGATTTTTTGACCAACCTTGACCCAGAGACGAAACCACACTTATCGCGTGCGCATCCCACTATTTATCTATCTATCCCTGCTTTTTGTTTACGTAAACGGAGGGAAGATAAATCGGTTTGTAACACGAAGTGCAGAAAAATGCAATTCATACAATGTTGAATAAAATCGAAAGAGAGTAGCTGCAGCGTTTAAGAAAAATACAACGGATTCTTTTAAAAAAACATTGTAAATTTTTACGTTTAAAGCCTTAAAAGATAATTTTTAAGTACAACTTTGAGTTTTTATGAAAAACCTATGATCAGGAAATTAACGCTAGAATTATTTAAATTTAAAGGGGGGTAATCAAAATAAATGTCAAAACTGGCAGAAGCGGAGGTTTAACCAATTATTTTGATTGTAACTAATTTTGTAGTTCTTGCAACAAATTGTATGCTTCGTTTTATTCAGAAACAAACAATAACGTGAATACAATCTATTGTTCAATTTAATTCCGACATTTTTTCTACATCCACAGGGTGTCCCACAAAACATGACAATCGAAAGTTTCTTATTTGATTTGTGATCTATTTAAAGTTATTGTAGTTGTATTTTTTAGTGACCTTTTTATTAGAGTGGCATACCCGGGCCCAGATTTATATAAATTTCACAAGAAAGGGATCATCATTTGACGTACCGTTCCGTTTAGTCTTACCTAGTCTGTATTTGTACAGTACTGCTTGCCCTGGATAGTTGAAATTCAGCCCGGTACATGAAAAGAACTAGAATGTACCTTGAATTCACATTGAAACACTTAAAACCAGAGATAAGAGAGTTACAGAGATCAATTAAAAGCTCGATATTTTCCACAGCAGGTTCTAGTGTGTACAAGTATTGTACACAACCGATCAACAGACATCAGGGGATGTTTAAGGATCTTTTGAATATGAATTACATAAACTTTTAAAAATGGACTAAATTCATAGATTCTATGTTTCATGTTAAAAATTTGAGTATTTCTTTAAAATTTGTAAAACTTAACCCCTGAATGTTGGCTGCTAGATGGCAGTCAAAAAACCTTTCATGGAACTGTATCATGGCGTGCCGGACACTATTGGCCTGCTTAGCCTATCCAGGTAGAGATTATGAGCAGTCTGTGTTAGTCTGTGCTTAATAACTTTTTTGATCAATAGTGTAGTATAGATTGCAAATGACTTACATTCCTTATTACGTCACAATAATAGTCCATTATCGTTGTCAGGTGGTACATACGGAAATCACGTGACCAGTATACTGCACTGCCATTGGCTGAAGTACTGGTGACGTAATACGGACTTTACGGATTAAATGTATTAATATTATCAATTATATCTATTAACCCTATCTCCGCTGGGGTACTTGAAAACCAGGATACGCTGGGGGGGGGGGGGACCAAACGTGTTTTATGCAACAGAATAGGGCAGCTGATATATTCTATTTAGGAATGTGGTCCAGCCATCTTTCATGGGGGTTTTCCAAGAATAAATAAAAAAGTGTAAAAACAGAAAATACATATCATAAAATTGCACTTATTTTACTGTAAGATAAGCACTTTATTCTAAATTAACACTATTTTTAATAATTTTGTCTGGCGCATAAAACTGTTGACGCAATTTTCTTGTTTTACTAAGTACAACTAGTATTAAAGCCCGGTTTTAGGCCTAAAGGGAGGGCTTTGGGTATGTAAGAAAAGTCAGAAAATTTCAACAGCCTCAGACCAATACTTTTTGAGTTATGTAAAAAAAACTACAGGGGGGGGTCAAATTGACCCCCCCCAGCGGGAATAGGGTTAAAATAAGAATTATATAATCATAACAGGAGTACACTTGAGATTCTCAGGTTTCTGTAAGATTTAGTCTTTTTTCAGATTGGTTTCGTATTTGCTGAATATGATCTGTTTAAACCTACAATTTTTATACAAAATTGCATGTATATGAATTTTCGTATAAGTTTGACACAGTTTTATATCAATTTCCCGAGACAGGAACATCAGATAGATGTCTTACAGGTATCTTTCAACGCCTGAGTTTCATCCTATTCACCTATTCATTTTTCCTTTACAGTCCCTTTAAGAATGTTGAATTGTAGAACAAAACACGTTTGATTTTAAATAAAAGAAACCAAATGCTTCTCACTCTCTGGTTAGTCCGGGATGGTTGGGACACCCTGTACCTCCATTTCATGAATGTAAACTTTTTGTTAGATCTGATATCCCTGCTTGGTTTTGATTGTTTGTTAGAATTGAACAGAAAACTAAAAACTATAGTTTCTATCTGTTCTTATTTCAAAAGAAAAAGTTGATTTTAAATTGCGATAGATTAAAACATTGTTGATAGAATTTAAATAATTTATCGAAAAATTTACCGGCAAATAATTTCAACATATATTACGTAAATCTTGTCTCGTGTTGATGAAATCCACGAAAAGCTACCTAAAACTATGGTTTTCGATCGGAATTACGTTGCGTATAAATGCGTGGATTTGTGCAGAATTAAAGCGCTCGCAATAGCGCGGAAGTAAAATCCCCTTGCGTTGGAATCGCTAAATAAAATTCAGCCAAACTCAGAATTGAGGTTGTCATGATAACTTTTAAATTTTTGTATTAAATTAAATTTCTATATTTGTATCATCGGTATGAGAAAAACCAAATAAAGTGAAAGATATTAAAAGGATCGTTGTGAATTATTAATGAGAATTTTTAATCTAAAATTATTAAAAGAAAAACTAATACATTTTAACTTTGGACAAGCAAATAAATTTCAATAAATATCTCAGATATAATATATACATACATACAATACCTGCAATTTATGTAATGTCCAAAATTGGTGGTTGGTTCCACTTAAAATCGTATTCAATGTTTCAAGGTTTAAGCCGGTGCTCAATTGAAACCGGTTTTTGGGGATTTGAGACGGGGCTCATATTCATTAAATTCAGACTCAGAAATAAAAAATAACCACTTAAACAAATGTTATTTTATTTGTAGTTTTAAGAAACCACTTATTCAAATAAAAGAAAGTTTGTAAAGGTGTAATCTAATGTTGAAAACAAATGTATACACATATTAATTAAACCTATGTATAAACTCACATCTCAGTCGTTTTCGTGCTTGTCTTTGTTTTGTAGAAATTCACACTTTAAAGGTTACTCCTGCAATTGTTCAATGGCGTTGATAATTACCTTACACGGCCAACTGATGTAAATTACAAGTAAGATATAAATCATGTTTTCAATTCAACTTCTCTTATTAAAAAGCTATTGTGAAGAACAAACATGGTTTGAATTTTTATCATGTAAGTGAATAAATTTGCGTCTCTCATACTTGTGCGTAAAATCGAAACTAGAGAAATTAAAAGTTCGCAAAGTCGGATCAGTAATTTCACATAAATTTGACCTTCTTATTTGGTTTGCAGTGTAAATTTAGAGTGTTTTTATACACACATTGCATGTTATGATGATTCTTGAGAAAGCCTGAATAAAGAATTTAAAATGAACTTGCAAAACCTCAATGAGCAGAAATTCACTGGAAATTATTATTGTAACATTTCGGCGGTATAACAATACATTTTCAGTTTAAAATGTTGTTAGAATATTATATGTATGACTGATTTGCCTCAATTTTTTATGGGATGTTGAAGAAGGTGGAAGGGTGGAGAAGACATATTGTTTGAAAATATATTGTTTCTTAATGCTGATTGTTGAACCAGAATTTGTTCACAGCATGTCGGGGTAGACATTGTAAATACAAGTTTATCAGTTTTATGCTAAATACAGGTCTTAAATTTTTCATGGACCCGTCTTTAATTATCTCATTTGAATTTAGTACACAATCTTATTCAGTGGAAACAATTTTTTTTAAAATGTCATTAATTGTGAATTAATTGTACTCTTATCATTTACACGACGTACATTTTAGACGCCATATTTTCCCTCAAATTTTATGAAAATTTATTTTACATTACAATAAGAAAAAATTCATTCAAATTGTTTCAGTGACTGCAAACTACAATATATTTGGTTACAATATTAGAAATTAAAAAAAATTTTGTTCTTAGCAAAAGTTACTGTTTAAAAAGCGGATTTATAATTAAATATGTATAAATATATAATCAAATATGTATAAATATATAATTAAATATGCATAAATATATAATTAACATTTAGACATATTTTAGAAATTAAAAACATTTTTGTTCCTCTTGGTAAATAGGACATACATCCTTTCATTCTTTCACGTTCAATTTACGTTAGTTTTAAGTGACGTACTGTTGTTAGTGTGCGTAAACTTTTATAGCAAACTTTATTCATTAAATGTAGATTTTCATTTTCTTTATTGGGCTTTCAGTTAGAAATATTAAAAAAATAAAATTATAGTTATAGATAAAACCGTGAATGAATTTGTTGAGAGTATATTTAACTCTTTCTAGTTTTGCTTACATTGCAATTGCGTGAAAATAGGAATTGAGTTTTTGCCACAAATCTCAATTTTATAATACCTAAATCTCAACAACCAGATGATGCATACCTTTCATATTTTAAACTTCATAGTTTGAAATATCTACGGTCTACGACATTTGGTTTTAAAGAAATTGAGATTTAAAAATCCGAGTTTGTGGCAAAGACTCAATTGATTTTGCCCTGAAGCTATGTAAAGTGATGTTAAAGTTTGGTATCTTAGGGAGAGAAGTGGGGGGGGGGGTATTTTGATCCGGCTTCTTTAATATAGTCCAGCACCTGGCCCCCTTTCACAATTATGTTTTTACTACGTGTAGAACAGCCCTAACATTTCTTTAAATAAAAAGGACAATTTTTAGGTCAATCCAAAAACAGGGGCTAAACACTTAGAACATCTTACCTTTTATTTAGCCGCCGCGCGCTTGAAGAAAAAA